ATGTTAAGAAAATAGGATTAATAGTTTCTATTATATTATTAAATACTATTTAAGATAAAGCTGATTATTCAAGTAGAGTTCTTCTATAAGATCCCATAGTAATGATTTAAATATCTACTGATGCATTATTCTTCGTTAATGGAGAATAAGCAGATACTAAAGAAACTAGATATCTACCTAAATAAGATGATAATTTAAAGTAATTGCATAAATAAATGCATAATTTATAACTTTTGAATTATTCCAAAATATCCAAAATCATATAAATTGAATCAATATCTATGTTTTCCAAATCATAAACAAAATTGATCATATGATCAAACTCTTTATCATTATCTTTTCTATTTGATAATTAAACAGCTTTGTATTTTTGTGAATCTAAGTGATTCCTAAATTCATCAGAGAACAATAATGATTTCTGTATCAATTACTATAACACATTATTAGAAATAAAAATATTACTTTTAGATTTTAAAAGGGATTTTTATGATGATTGATTTAATAGTACAATTTTTGAGAATTCTGATTAATGACTAATCTTAGATGACATTGATTAAATCAATGATTTTTAATCTTATATTAACCATTCATCATCTGGATCAAAAATAAATAAATGATCCATATTTTATTCATTCTCATTTTCTATCTAAAATGATTATGATTACTCATTTTCTTTATTATTTAATATCTCTAAACTAGATTCATATTAATTAATAATTTAATCATTTAATAATTAAGAATCCTCTTAATTAAGTATTGAATTCTAAATTGTAAAACTTTCAGTCTAATTCAAAATTGATTGCTCTTCTTTATTAATTTCTTAAATATCATATACTATTTAACTATTTTCAATTTATTATATATTTATATCTTGTATTTCTTATGCTAGATTCTATAAATAATTAGGAAAAAATTAATTTAAAAATGCCATCCTCTCTTGCTGATTGAATTGATTTTTGTACTTATTTAATAATATAATAACATTGTCCCAATCCTTATTTAAACTATAACAATCAATAGCTCTTCTGATATCACCTAACATCTCAAAAGTCTATGCTGCTTTTGTGTAATTAAGGGCAAAAAATGCTGATTCTGCCATCTCATTCATTTTTCCTAATTTTTCATATAATTCTTATGCTTTCTAAAATTATTTACCAGTAAAATAACATTAAGCAGCTCTTGATAATAAACCAATATCTTCAAAAATAATGGCAGCTTATTAATATTGTTATAGACTATTAGTTATATGTGCATTACTGACTAAAATATTATAAGCAATAGATTTCTTTTCTAATTGTTATTCTTCTGCAAATTTAAAACATTTTGCTGCTTAATCATAATTATTCATTCTAAACATTTTAAAGCCTTGTCTTTTCCAATTCTCTTTATTATTATTTTATAATTATAATTAAAATATAACATCGTTTGGTTGAATTTATTAATCTATAATTTAGATTGCATCTAGTTTAATCCAAATATTTTAAATATTTCTTCTCTTTTCTAAAGATTAATCAAAAATAATTAATTTTTATTTAGGTCTTGTAATTGCTACATACAATTACTTTAATTCTTAACATAAATCTATTGAAATTTCTTTATTTTCTTTGTTACTTTTCATTTTCAATTACCAAACTTCTATTAATTCATTCTTAATCTCTTCAGTGGAAGCTATTACATCTGTATAATGAACTATTTATTAATAATATTAATACTTGTTATATATTTATCATAATCAGCCTTCTTTAAATATTCTGCTTAAGGTTCTAAAATATTAAGAGATTCCCAATCTTCAATAGATGCAGTTGAGTCATGGAAAAAGTTGAATAATATGACATCATCAAATTCTAAACCTTTAGCTTCATAAATGGTTAAACATAAGATATTTTATAATTCAATAGGTAATCTTGTCTTAGATTCTTGGTCTTTGACAATTATGACTTAATTGCAACCAAATTCAACAGTATTTTTATCGTTTGAAAAGAAATCACAAAGATTATTTAACAATTATTTAACATTATCACTTTTAATTAAAATAGGTTTAGGACCTTATAAATTTGATGTTTCCTTTTTTAATTTATCTATTTTTTATGGAAATAAAATTTCAATCATTCTAATAACAGAATTAGCTAATTATAATATTTTATTATGAGATCTAAAATTGATACTTAAATCAAATATTTTAAGATTTCTATGTATTTTTTTCTTATTATTTCTATATGACAATAAACAATTTTAAATTTCATAAAATTTGTAACTTATCCCTTTTGCTATATTTTAAGCATTATCTCCACAACAAAATAATCCAAGTTCTGTTAATTAATCTAATAATATTAATACTGCTCTTGGTACATCCTATAATTCATCAAGTAATAGATAATGAATATTTTCAATGAAATCATTCCCATTAGCTAATTCTTAATTAATATGATTGACTACATCTAATAAATCATAATATCCTAATTAATATTTATATTATTCATAAATTTAAAAAGCTTCATAAATAAAACTACATTCATCTTAATTTAATTCACTTAAATATTAGTAATTATCAAAATTCATATATCTATCAGGATATTTATGTGATGTTTCATGACCTTTAATTTTTGTGCAAATCTCTGACCAAACATATATTGGATCAAAACATTTAGGCATTGAAAATTATGATTTAATTGTCTCTACTATTTTTGGCCAAAATACTCTAACAAATACATCTTATGTAACTTCATGCATTTTTGTTTAAATATAATCAGAATTATCAATTTCATCCATCAATTTTTAATTAAACTATTCCAATTTCCTTTACATATTTTCACTATTTTGAGATAATTACATCTATCCAAATTACTCATTATGCCATTAAGAACTTCTATTCTATTTATTTTCAAAAATAGCAAAAAAAGAATTGATTAATGATGCATCAATAAGAAATAAAAATTTTCTCAAAGTTAAAAATATTGGAAATTGATTTAAATCAGAAAATCTTTAAAATTTTCCCATTTCTCTTTCATATTCATCAATATCTTAATCATCAACATCATCTTCTTAACTTTATTGTTATTATTCTTATTACTCTTAATCATTTTTTATTGCATCTATAATTTGAATTGTGCTCTGATCCATTTCATCTAAATCATCTTTAACTTGAGTATCATCTTAATGTTTTTGCTTATTTTTTTTCTTATTAATGACATCTTATATGTTTGAAACTAATTTATCATATGATCTTTTAACTTAACATGCCAATAAAGGACTTGCTGTAACAAAAACAGTCTTTAATACGCAATCCTATTATTATTAATTGAGTTATATATCATTTTTTGAACAATTAATTTAATCTAATTTACTTCTAATTTTAAATAGAATATCTGTTGTGAAGAGTCTAAGTAAGGCACAAGTAGTTTTACCTGTACCACTTCTACCAATTACTAATCCATCCCCATTAAATGAAATAATCTCTTATTATTCCTTAGTTAAATTAACTTTGAAGTTTGGAATATTTTAGATTATTTTAAACAATTAGAATGCAGATGGTTATTAACTATATTTTTAAATTAAATAATGATTAGCAGAAAAAGCATTCATTCTAGCTATTTTGTTATTTAAAATTATTTATGTTTAAACTGGAATCCATCTTTTAAATGTTTCATCATATACATAATCTTAACCATCTAACAATATTGGTTGAAATTTTCTTGGAAATAATCTATCATACCCAGATTTAGGATTTTCTCCAATTTTTATTCCTTAAAATAATTATGAATCATTTTTATCTTCTTTAATTAATTTCATATTGGCAAAAAAATTAGGTGATGTTTATTAATTTCTGAAATACTTCTCTATTTCATAATAACCCTTAGAATTCTTTTAATTCTCAGGTACTAATCCAACCAAAATTATTTCATGACAGAATTCAAAATGTGTAGGATTGCCATCTTTATTTAAAATTGGATATAATTTAGGAATAATTTAGATAACTGTTTGTATGAAATTGCGGAAATTGAATCCTATGATATAATCATATTCAAAAGGAAATTTTACATTCCCTCCTTCATAAGGTAAGACCTTTAAAACTGATCTTGTTGAACTGTTAAATTTTCCTTATAACACTAAATTTAATTATATGAAAATATGAATGATATCTAATTCTGTAACATTATATAGACTATTGAGAAAAGTCTCTTAATATATAAAAAATCAATAAATACTTGTAACATTAAATTACCATATTTTTTTAGGAAAAAAATGTTTTATGTTGAATCCTTTAAAATAATCACCCATTTCATAAAAAAATTCAGTTTCATCACCTCTTTATTGTCTTTCATTAAATTCAATTAGATATTGAAAGTATCGTATTACAAATTATTTTGCTGATAATACAATATGATAATATTGATCTATTTCAATTAGAATTTAATTTAATTAGTCTTAGAAAATTTTACGTTTTATTTTTAAGTATTCTTGGTCTGTTCTATAGATAGTTTTCTTCATTTAATTAAATTTTAATAATGATAAACTCTTAAAATGGATTTAATTAATTCTTTCACATATAATATAAGTTATAAAAAGAGTTAATTACCTGTAAAAAATTCACTATTCTACATTAATTAAATTTTATGTTATTATCTTAAATTCTTGAATGTAAAATTGTATAAATTTTTTAAACTTGAATTTAGCTGTAAATTAAAAGTATGTCAGAACCTTCTATTCATTAATATGGGAAATTAAACATTATTATTTAATAGTAGTTAAAGCCTGTCTATGTTTCAAAAGAAGATAGAAAAAATTGTAGCTATTAATAATAACACTAAAGAAAAAAGAGTTTTAATGAAGTGAAAAAAGTAGAAATTCCTGTGTTTATGGGAATAAATCAATAAACACATTGGATGGAACTTTGGGATCAATTTAAGAAAGAAACCTCCATAGATGAATAAAATTCAATATTAGAGAAAATATTGAAATTAAAAACTTGAATTATATTATATAAATATAAATATATATAAATGTTAATACCTATCAATCCTGTTAAATCAGAAAAAAATAAAAAAACCTTGTTAGTTTCATAGCCCATTCTATTTTAATCAAAGGGAGCAAGTAGAAGTGACTTAATGTTGGATTAAATTCATAACTCAACAAAAACAACTACTTTTAGATCTAATGAAACTGGCAACTTTTATTAGACTTAATATGGATTAGGAGATAAGACTAAATAATTTATTTAAAATCAAGAGCAAATATAATAACAGAATAATTGTAAAAGAGTAATGAAATAAGGTGTTGATACATTTGCTTTAACACAGTCAACAATGAATATTTTTGAGGGTAAATTAATACGTGAATAGTAGAGGCAAATAATGAAGAGCGAAAAAAGTATATAGATTATACAGGAGGTCCATAATTTGAAAGTGATAAATAGGATAAAGTAATCAAATATTCAGTTGTTGGATATAATTAGTTTCTTAAAATTCATTAAGAAAAATAAAGACAATACTAGAGATTAAAGAAAAATTAATAAAATCAAAATCAAATGACTACAGATGATTCATTATTTGATGAATAACCTCCAACAAGAACTAATCAATAAGCTTAATCAATTATTCTAGATAAATAATAAGTAAGGAAAACTCCAAAAAAAAATAAAGTAGATTAACTTTACTTAAGCAAAAGAGATTTGAATAAGATAGTTAGGGAAGCTGAAAAACACATATAAGAGGCATAAATAGAATAGGAGAAGGTAGAAGCAAAACTACCATTTCATTTAAGAAATGCTATTTCAAGGGAAGAAAGAGCTATGAAAAAGTTTGAAAGTACTAAGACTCAATGGGATAATGTTAATATACAGATAGCTTCTAATTGTTAAAGGGAACCAGAATAAACAATTATGAGTAGGGCAGATTAATATAGAGAAAGAAACTAAAAGATTTAAGCAATTGAACTTAATAAAGGTGAAGAGGAAAAGAATAGTAGTAGATATTGGTATCTAAAATTAAGATGGTATGATCACAAAGATAATAGACCCTAATTTTCTTTACTTACTTAATCAAATAAATCAAAAAGCTGTTAGCAGTTTGAAAATAGGTTAGTGAATCGATTTTTATCAGATTTTGATGCAGAGAGACTTGGTCAATAATAGTAATTTGTGTTGTCTGATATTTAAGCCAATTTTAATACAAAATTGATTGATAATCCATTTAAATAAGTTTAAACTGTTATTTCAGAAAAAAGTAAATTAGATTTTATTTATTCTAGAAATTAATGAAGATGATGTTGCTTAATCTCCAAAAACAAGATTATATACTAATAAACTTATGAAATTATATAATCAAAAATTATAGGACAAGTCTAAGAAAAAATTTGTGGATACCAAAAATTTTCTATTCTTAGCAGGAGAAAGTTAAAAGGATAGAGAATAAAAGATGTTAAATAGGGAAACAGGTTAATAGTTTAAGATGGCTGAAATTCCAAATGAAGAGCCTGAAGTAATAGTTAATACTTGGAATAAAAAGAATTTAGCTAAATCTGGAGAATATATTTTAAATTGATTTTATTAATTTTTTTTAACAAATTTAAGCATGAGTTCAATAGAAATCCAATAAGAGTTTAGTAAATTATTATAAAATAATTTAAAATTGAAAGAGTTATATCAAAATATATAATTAGAGATGATTAGATAATTGATTATAATTTATTTAAGAAATAACGGAAAATGAATAAATTTCTTTCTAATTTTGTTTAAATTACTCAAATATTTTAATCATAATAGAATAATATCTTAAATAATAATATTGTGTTTTTAATCTCAATAACATCAAAAAGTTAGAACATTGATAGGCATTATTACACTAATTAATAAATATGATACTATGATAATTAGATGAATACAGACTTAAAGTGCTTAAGAGATTGGATTACTATTCTTTAATATTATTCAAAAAGCCATCAATTGGAATGAACATTGTGAATTCCATTAAACTAAAAATGTTCTTAATAAGAATAAGATAATTTATGACTGAAACTTTTTGTTAATATTCTTACTTATTTTAATGATAGATAGCTATTGATATAAAAAATAAATATAATTGGATATATAATATTTGAGAGAATAGGAAACATGTATTATTTGGATAGGTATTTCTACAAAGGATATACTTTTAATAAATTTAAGATTGTTGAAAATCCAATATCAAGAAGGGATGATGAATAATTGATGATTGCAAAATTTAATAAATTTAATGGCAATTAGGGTTTATTGAATAAATTAACCTGATATCAATAATATCATAATTCACTTTTTGCAAAATATTCAGCTTTCTTATCTTGATCTGGAACAATAGTTCTTTGTCCAGGTTTCCAATTAGCAGGACATACTTCACCATGAGTATCTGTATATTAAAATGCTTAAATCAATCTTAATGTTTCATCAACTGATCTTCCTACTGGAGCATCATTTATTTGAATTGTTCTAACTAAACCTTTTTTGTCTATTATAAACAATCCTCTTAATGAAGCACCATATAATTCATCTAATTCATCTTCTACTAAAACACCATATGCTTTTGATATCTTCTTTGAAATGTCTGCCAACAATGGGATCTTAAGATCACCAACTCCTCCTTAATTTCTTGGAGTTTTCAACCATGCCAAATGAGTAAAATGAGAATCTGTAGATATACCCAATACTTCTGCACCCAATGCTCTAAATTAATCAAGTGCATTTGAAAAGGCAACCAATTCTGTTGGACATACGTATGTAAAATCAAATGGGTAAAATAGCAATACTACATACTTTCCTTAATAATCAGAGAGAGATATCTTTTCGAATTTCAAATCTGGGGTGACTGCAATACCACTAAAAAAGGGAGCTCTTTATCTTGGCAATAAATTCATATTTCCATATGCAAATCTTGCTACAGGTGCATCTTCAGATAAACATATCGTAAGTAGAAGCAACAAAGGCAATGTCTTAATCATTATGATTATTAATGTAAGAATTGTAAGAATTTCTCGATAAATAGAAAGATTTGAATTTCAAAATGCTTGAAGATATGCTATCATCCTAAAGTCTTCAAATCCATAACCTTTCCATGGGACTCAAATCTTTTTAACATTGTTTAGAGAACTTTAAATAAAAAGATAGATCTAGAAACAAGAACCTATACAAATTGTATAGTAATGATGAAGCAACCATATTTATTCATCTAGAAAAAGAAATTTCAAACATATACTGTAAATCTGATTTCACTCTTTCTATTTCCTTAAGAGATTATTCTGGCAATTTGGCAAAAAATGAAGAATATACAGTCTACATTAAATTGTACCCTATTCCTTTAATGAAGATTTTCAGCTGATAAATTTCCTAAAGAAATAACAGTCAATTCCAAAGGAAAGCCTATTTTGGTGGGAAAGACCAAATTGTAATTTAAAGGAAAAGGAGAATTTAAAAAACTATAGATAACAGAAGTTTTATAATTATTCCTATATTAGTAATCATCAAATTTTCCTTAAGGCAAATTTGCTTTAGTCTTATATTCTAACTCACCAGATGTATAATCCTTAATAATTGAAAATTTGGAAGTATAAAAGAAAAAGTGAAAAATTATATTGTTTATTAAATTTAATCAATGGACCACGAGATTCTCTTTTTTAAAACACTTACAAGAGGGTATAACTGCACAGTGTTCAATCTCGAATCTTCTTGTAATGCAACTTGCATAATATTATACATAATTTATAAAAAGAGGTTGTTGTTGATATAAAATTAATATAATATCTGTTAACAAGTTAGCTAGAAAACATGATAATCAATATTTTAAGAAATGTGATTCAGAATCAAATCATTTACTAAATTTATTATATAAAATTCAACCTAAGTGATACTTTGACAAAATTATATTTTAAATATTTATATATATTTAATCATTATTATTCAACTTTATTTTCAGCACATTATAATTATACTTTTATAAAATTCCAAATGATTAAATGCTAGGAATTTCATACAATTTTCCAATAAAGATTTCACAATAATTGTTTAAATCAAATTCCAAAGTTAATCAAATATCTATTCGAAATTTAACATATAATTCTTATTAATTAATTATATTCACTATTTCATTATATCTTTAAATAATTATAAGTAATTTTTAAGCATTATAAAGGTAATAAAAATTTTATAATAATCTCAAAAATTTATTATAATTTCTATTATACAAAATAAAATTTATATAAGGTTTCTGAAATACTTTAATAAAAGTATATTTGAATTAATTCTTAATATATATTTGTATTAATTATTAAAGGAAGGTAATTCTATTGAATTTAATTTTATTGAACTGAAATTTTGTAATTTTATGTATATATAAATGAAATTTTGGTGGTAAAATAATAATTTTTATATATAAAAATGTTTAAATAAAGTACTAATAAAAATGTAGAATTTGAAGAGGTTTTAAAAGAAGAGAATAGACCAACTAAGAAATTAGCATAATAGTCAAAATAGTAGATAGTAAATAGAGAAAACTTAATTAATAACTCAAATTAGATTACAATAAATAATTAAAATTTAATTGTCAAGGATGTTTTAAAGTCGAATGAAATTTAAAAAAATTAATATGTACTATCAATTCTAGAAAAAGCCAAGAAAATATAAGAAAGCAATTTCTTATTGATTATTGCTAGTGAAAAGTTGAACTTTAGAAATGATGAAAAAAATATTGAGATTTTTCTTTTTGACCATTATTACAATCTAAATAAAATAAAGAAGGGAATGTAAATTAGATTAAATGGCGATTTTATTGATTCAAGAGCAATTATCTTCACAAAAGATATTCAAAATAACAATTCATTTACTCTAGAACCAGAAAAATTAATTTCACCAACTACTTTAAATAGTCTAACATTCTGTAGAAGGAAATAGTTTATTAAAGATTTTTTTTAAAATCAATGTTTTGGAACTACAATTGAAATGTTAGGAGGTAAGATAATTCATGAATTTTGTTAAGACATAATTAAAAATCTTCAAAAATATAATTCATTATTTGAAAATATTGAAGTATTAGATAAACTTTAAAATGAATTAAATTAAATTTAATTAGATTAAATTCCTTAATCATTTATGGAACCGATAAGTTTATTATATTAAAAATATCTTTCAGAATTCTACTATTTAGAAAAGAAAACTATAACTGCTATGATAATTTTTATACTTCCTAGTTGTGTTAATACTCTTAGATGGATATAATAATATATAATTAACTAATAATCAATAAATATAAAATAATAATATACATAAGATGTATACTAAATTTACATTTTAAGATGGGTTAGTAATGAATAAAAATTATCATCTTCAATTTATGGATTTAATGGGTTTCCTGATATTGTTGTAGAAGTGAAATTCCGTAAAAATTTTTAGTAATTTTAAAATTGTTTTATTCCTTTAGAATTGAAAACTGGCAAAAAGAGTGAAAATTATGAATAATAAGTATAAACATATTTACTTTTAATGAATAACTTTTATAAATAAAACAGCTAATTTGGATTATTAGTATATTTAAAAGAATTTGAACATTCAATTGTTACTTGTAATTAAAAGGAAATAAATGAGTTATTTTTTCATAGGAATTTATATATAACAGAATCTTATATGTTTGAAAAACCTATGAATTGTTATTCTAAACTCCCTGATTTAAAAGATGAACTTTAAAATGATCGATAAGTTAATAAATGTAATAAATGTGAATATAAATCTATTTGTTATGGATTAAATATACTTACAGAACAATCTGAGTTAACACTTTAAATTCCATATTACGATTAGGTTAATTAATAATTGTAATAAAAATCTAAGGATTATTTAAATGAAATGTTGAAAAACTTAAGATTAGAAGAATAAACTTCAAATATTCCTTAAGCAATTTATATTATTCAAGAGACAAAGGCTCATTAAGATGGAATTCAAATTATATTGTAATCTAAAAATTATTATCTAAAATAATAAGCAAATTAAATTTTATAATAATGTTTATAAGATATAAAAAATAAACAATAAAAACTATTTTGTATCAGATTATAACATAACGTTAAGTATACCTTATAAAAAGCATGGCTTAGTAAAGGTTTTTAAATAATTAATTTAATTGAAGATTAATCAGATTAAGAGGAACACAATGTAGATGATTTAAATTTTGATTATGCCATTAGGTTACAGATTGTTTTGGAAAATGAATTAATTAATTAATCAGAAAATCATTTACAAATATATGATGAATTTATTTATAAAAATTCTTCTAAACATTTTTTTAAGCATCACAAATTTATCATTTTTGAATTGGCAATTAATAAAGATTTCTATCAAAGAAAAAAGGAGATTCTTATATTTGGAATGGAACCTATATTCAAACCAATTACTGAAATAGATGATAATTAAAAATATGCTTTTGCAATTCTTAAGGAAAAGTTTTAGAATAGTTTAAATTAATATTAAATTAAAGCTATTGAATTATGTTTATTGGCTTAAGATTTTGCTTTAATTTAAGGACAATATGGTAAGAAAAGAATGTTAAGTCATTTATTATTTTTATTAGGATACACAAATAAAAAAGTATTATATTATGCTGCTGATCAATAAGTTATAGATGAGTAAATTATAGATTATATTTAAACATTTCCAAATGAAAGTGAATGGGTATTGAGATTATAAGGAAAACATGATAAAGTTCCAGAGAATCTTTAATAATATACTTTTAATTTTGAATAATTTACAAATTTAACAGAAATTGAAAATAAATTAGAAGAAAAACATTTTTATTTTTCAACTTGTTAATATTGTACTGATATTTTATAATCCTAATCATTTGATTATTGTATTGTTGATTAATCGACTAAAATTACAGAACCTTAATGCATTTCTTGTATTCTTAAGAGCAAAGTTTTCATTTTATTAGAAGATTAGGAATAATAATAACCATTAATCAAGTCATAAAAAGCTAAATAATTAAAAATTAGTTTGTTTTAAAGATTGTCATAATAATTTAAAAATGTTGGTTGTTAATAAGAGTTAGAATTTTCATTTGAAGAATTTGAAGACTTAATATGACTTAAATTATACATATTATAAAATATTAAATCTTTTATAAATTTTATTTTAAATTTTATATTTAATCCTATTTCTGATGTATATTTATTTTTAATATAAAGAATATTCTAGAAATTAATGAAGATTTATCAGACTCTTTTTATAATTATAAGTGTCTATGCTTCTAAAATTACACTAAACGAACGTAAATACTTCTAGGATGAAAATGGAGCAATACGCATTTTTCATGGATTTAATGTTGTATATAAATAACCACCTTACATTCCAAAGACAGAAGGATTTGATTATATGGAAACATTTAGTGAAATAGATTGTTAAATCATAAGAGACAATGGTTTCAATGTAATTAGGTTGCATGTTTCATTTGAAGGGGCAATGCCAAAGAAAGGGGAGTTAGATGAAAAATATTTAGATAAGATTTTAATGATAGTAAGAATGACAGCAAAGTACAATATATATGTTATTTTGGATGCTCATCAAGATTTATATAATCGTTAATTCTGTGGCAATGGATTTCCTGATTGGGCTACTTAAAAAACAGATTTTCCATCTCCAAATAAAATGTAAATGAGATTTGATTCTTAAGGGTATCCTTTATTAGAGGATTGTTATTAGTAACAATTTGCTTTGTTTTATTAAACAAATGATATAGGAAGACATTTTGAATTGCTTTATTCTAACCATGATGGGTTGGCTGATTATTTTGGTTAATTTTGGCAGTTAGTAGCAGATAAACATAAAAATGAATGGAATGTAATAGGATATGACATTTTTAATGAACCTTCTCCAGGACATTTTGAAAAAAGTAAAATTGACTTTTTATGGCCAGGACATGCAAATAACAAATATTTATTGCCATTCTATAAATTAATTCATAATTATATCCGAAAAGTTGATAATGAAAAATTAATATTTTTTGCACCTGATTTTCTTGATGCATTTGGAGGTGGTTTTGATAAGAATATAGGTGGATAAGAATATATTAATAAAGAAGTATTTAGTTATCATGTTTATTGTGGAATATAAAAAATATCATCTTGGTTTTGTAATAAAATTCATTAATTGATTTATTTTTTGAAGATGAGAAATGTTGAACATCTTAAAATAGGTGGATTTTTAACAGAATTTGGAGCTCTTGAAAATGATGAAGATTCTATTTATATACTGAATTATATACTTGATAAAGCTGATAGTTATTAATAATCATGGGCTTATTGGTAATATAAAGGATATTATGATTATACAACTATGTCAACAATGTATGAAGAGGGACTATTTAATGAAGATGGTACATTTTAAAATAAAAAAATTATTTCATTAAAAAGACCTTATGCTTATTAAATTTGTGCAGATTATTTAGAATCTAATTAATATTATTCTGATACAAAAGAATTTATTTTATAATTTAAATCCAAGTAAGGTTGTTAGACAAAAGTATTTATTCCTAAAGAATTAAATTAATCTTAAATTTTTGATTATAAATGCTAAAATTGTTAATTATTCTGGATTGAAGATTAACATTATGAAGTAGTGGGAGAAGGAGAAATTGATTTATATTTTTAATTATGAAATTTTGATAATATAATATTTGTATTATATATTTAAACAAAATTAAACTATAAGATAGATAGGCATATTGATATTATTTATTCTTTTTATAGAATTATAAATCTATGTATATGTATATGGATTTTTATTAACAATAATTTATCAACTAAATTTGATATCCATATTATATACATTTCTAAATTGATTAGAAAAATGATATAATTAGAAAAGTAATGTATAAAATTGGTTTGAATAATGTAGGATTTTTTATGAAATAAAATGAAATTAGATTGTTATTTATAAATAATTTTAAATTTAAGTATGAACGACAGTGTTTAAGCTATATAGGAAAGTTATACTAGGATTAAGTTATTGAGTAATGATGTCTAGATTAAAGACTAAACAATCAATATACTTTAAGAAAGATTACAAGAGTTAGAGGAATAATTGAGTTAAGCTATTAAATAAAAAGAATATGGGGATCGACAATTTAATATATTATAGGAAGAACATGATTAAATGTTTGATAATTAATAGAAAAAAACAAAGTAATTGCAATAATTTAATTAATAATTATTGGTTGCATTGAAAGAAGTCTAAGATAAGAATTAAGAGCTTTTAGAGAAAGTGAAATTTTAAAGTTAAGAAATATCTTAAAAGTAAATGGCTCAATAAGAAGTTACTGAATAGATATCATTAATAAAAGATGCAGTAAAAGGTTTGGAGGATGAATTATAATAATTAACAAAGAAAAATTCAATTTTAAAAAAAGAAAAATAAGAAGCAGAATTATAATTAAAATAAGTAACAAATGAAAAGAATAAGTTTGAAAATAGTGTAATGAATATGCTTAAGTAATTAGAAACAGAGAATGAACTATTAAAATAAGAATTAGAAGAATATAGATAAAGATTAGAATTACAACATTAAGAATTAGTTGAATTGAAATATATGAAGATTTAATTTGAGGATTTAGAAAAGAAAAATTAATAATTAAATGAATAATTCAATATTTAAATTTAAACTGCTATGGAATGTGAAAAGAATTATGCTTTATAATTTGATGAAATGAATAAAGCTAATGAAAAATTAAGTAAAGAATGTGAAATTTAAAATGATCATTATAAACAATAAAAAGATTACTCAAATTAATTAGAATAGTAAAATAAAGAATTCTCAAAATTGTTTAATTATATTTAATAATAAATTGATGAAACTATTGCAGAATGTTTAGTTACTAAAAAGAAATCAAATGTCTATGAAAGATTATATGAAGGTAGAAAATCATCTTCTGCTTCCAGTCGTAGATCTATACCTAAAAAGAAGAAAAAATATAGCTATAATTAAATATAAATTGAAGAATTTTTTATTGATATTAAAGAAATCATATAGAGTTTAATATCTACAAATACTCAATTAAAGGATGAAAATGATTAAGTTTGTAAAAATATCTAAGAAATGCATAAAGTAGGTGAATAACTTAGATATAAAATTGAATAATTGAATTCTGAACATATTAAAGCAAAAGATTAATTATAATTAGAACATTAAATTATAATTGAATAATAAGAAGATAAAATCAATTAATTGTAAGATGCACTTGAATAATAAAATTTAAAAGCATAAAAAGATAATCAATATATTAATCAACTTGTTGAATCATGTCATTAATATGATTAATAAATCTTAGAAAAAGAAAAATTAAGTTAATAATGTCTATTATAAAAATAAGATTTAGTATAAGAATTTGAAGAACTAAATAATTAATATTAATAACTTTAAGTAGAATTTGAAGAATTACTAGTAAGAAAAGCAATATCTTAAAATAAAGTAGCTTTAAGCTATAGTTTATTATCATATTTGCTTAAAAATAAGAAAACTTAATTTTTGTTTTCACAATATATTTAATATGCTAATTATATTCATTATTTTGTTTTGCTTAGAAACGAATTCCAAACAAGAAATAACAATATTTATATAAGATTCAGAAAAGTAGCATATGCAATTATTTTTGTCAAAAAATTGAAAAAAGCCTTGTATTTTAAAGATGAAGTAGTAAATCTTGAATTTGAAGATAATGAAGTTATTGATTAAACTTTTGAAAAGTTCATACCAATATTTCATTAAATTGAAGAAGGAAAATAAACAGATTTTAATGTAGTAAATAAAATGCTAAAAGAATTAAAATATTAAATAAACAAATACGATTTAAAATATTAAGGTAGATCTATAAATTCATAAAGTTACTATTAAATTTTGAATTTTGCTAAAGAAGATATTCTCAAAAAAAACTCAGTTATAGGTTAAATTGATTATTATAAATAATAATTAAGTTCCTTATAAACTAGAGTTTATTAATTGGATGAATATGTTCAATAATTAGAATAAGAATTATCAGAAAAAGTTAACTTTTCAACAACTCAATAATAATAAGTATATTTATAATAATCTGAAGAATAATCAGTCAATAAATTTAGAACAGATTCATCTCCTCCTTAAAAAAATAATCTATCAGTATCACTTTAGAATGAACTGATGTCAATTTTGAGTAAAAAGTCTTCAGCTAATTTATCAAAAGCTGGTCAAATAGTTAAATAAGGATTTTGAATTAAAAAATATTATTAATTTAGACTAAAGATTATCAATTCAAATTCTAATTAATGGTTATAATCAACACTAATTTAATATTTTTACTTATATCTTATATATCAATCCTTTTATTTACTTTATTCAAATTATAAATATACTATATTTCCAATTTTTAAAGTCAATCATTTTATATTAATTTAAACAAATTATCTTACTATTTTTCAATTGAAATATTTGATTAAATTTTTCAAAATAAATATAATATGAGTTTTCACTGAATATATAGAAAATAAGAATTTTGTATTTTATTATTTAAATCTTTTTTTTATTTGCTTTGAATTCTAAGTTTTTAATAATATCTATATTAAAAACCCTAAAATTTCTACTTCTTCAAATTGAATAATAAAAAATTTTTAAGAATTCATATAATAATAAATCCAAAGATTAAATATATTATCATGAACTTTAATATTATAATAGTTAATACTATAAAGTTTATCAATACAAAATTGATCTTCATTATACTATTTATTATTTGATAATAAATTAATTTAATAGGATTTAAGGAATTTTGTATTTTTTTTCCATATTAAATTAAAATTTCTCTTAAACAGTATATATAATTTAAAAAAACAAGTTCAAATCTATAATTTAGTAATGTACCTACAGTTGGACTTCAAATATTAATAATAGAACAATAAAATTTAGTATTTAATAGTTATTATAAGTATTATTATTTTTTTTGAAGAACTTAGATATTATGCATATATACAAATAATTTTAATTTGACGTGTTTTATTATTATTAATGTTTGGAATTTCATCAATATACATTTTAGATTAGAAGGGAAGAGTTTTGATTTCTAGGCAATATAGAAATGAATTGCCTGCAAATATTCATGAAACATTTAATAAAAAATTATTAGAATTTGATGAATATACTTAGAAACCTGTGATGATAGATAAAGATGGATATACATATATATTTATAAGGCATAACAATTTAATATTTATGACAGTATGCTCTTAAAATGCTAATTGTTTGATGATTTTTTCATTCTTATTCAGATTGGTATAGGTGTTATAGGAATATTTCGTAAATGTTGAGGAAGAGTCTATTCGAGATAATTTTGTTGTTGTTTATGAATTGTTAGATGAAATGCTTGATAATGGATATCCATAAACAACAGAATTCAAAATTTTAAAAGAATTCATAAAAACTGAAAGTTTCTAATTGAAAGAGAAAAAATAACCAGAACAAAGTAATTTTAATGTAGTTGCATTGGTTTCTAATAAGATATCATGGAGAAAGGAGGGAATTAAATATAAAAAGAATGAAGTGTTTTTGGATGTTATTGAGAAATTGAATATATTAATTGGTTAATAAGGAAATGTAATAAAGAGTGAGATTATAGGATAAGTACAAGTAAAATGTATGTTAAGTGGAATGCCTGAATTAAAATTAGGTTTGAATGATAAAGCATTTTTTGAAGCATAAGGTCGTTAAGCTAAATCAAGAGCAGTTGAATTTGATGATATTAAGTTTCATTAATGTGTAAGATTATCTAAATTTGAAAATGAAAGAGTTATTTAATTTATACCTCCAGATGGTGATTTTGAATTAATTTCTTATAGATTGGATATAAGAGTAAAACCATTATTTTCAGTGGATGTATTGATTGAAAGGAAATCAGCAACTAAGATTGAATTCTTAGTTAAAGCTAAATCTAATTTCAAGCCTAAGAGTACTGCAAATAATGTTGAAGTAAGATCATATTATTAATCATTTTAAGATTTTTGTTCCAGTACCTGATGATGCTGAGTAACCTTAATTTAGAACTGCACATGGTTCTGTCAATTATATGCCTGATAAGGAGGCTATGTGTTGGAGTATAAAATAATTTGGAGGTCAAAGAGACTTTATGATGAATGCTGTATTCCATCTTCCAACGTATATATATATTTAATGTTAGAATTGTATCACCTAATAGAGATAAATTTTAAAAAATGCCTATCAATATCACTTTTGAAATTCCCTACTTTACTGTCTCTGGTTTCTAAGTTAGATATTTAAAGATCTAAGATAAGAGTGGATATAATGCATTACCATGGGTTAGATATATTACATAAAATGGAGAATATTAAATTAGAATGAGTTGATATTTTTTTTTGAAATATCAATAAAATTATATATGATAAAAGTTAATTTAATATTCCATTTTTATTATAAATAATAATTGAAATAATCAATTAATTAGTTAATACATGTTTTTAATTAAGAATAATAAAAAATATAGAATATGATTATTCTTTTTATTTAAGTAGAATTAATATAACTAGTGTAAATAATAATAAATATTATAGAATGACATTGTTTATTTAGAAATTAAAAAATAGAATGTAATTATTAATAACAATTTTTTGATCTGAATTATTTTTACTTATCAAAAATGTAAATAATAATAATTTTTTTATTTGATAACAATAAATGAGATAACGAAGTGGTTAGATATTGTCACCAGCTCGTGTAATATAAAACTTTTAAATGAGTACCAAGAATCACACTAGCAAAAATGCATCACAATCTCCATTAAAATTCATTTAAAGAAATCTCTCTTAAATTATATTGAAGGATTTGGTGAAATAAGATTCAACTCGTAAGGTTAATCATGGTAGTTTAACCGAAAGAGTGCATAGTTAACAACGATCAAATTCTAGAGATAAACCTAAACCATAAGTAAAATCTTCGAAAGTTCCAACTGAAACTAATTTCCCATTTCAATAAATTTCAAAGGGAATCAACTTAATTCTAAACTAAAAATTGACAAATAAAAATAAAATCATCTTAGAAAAAGGTTCAATGACTCGCAGAAGTAGTGTCGAAGATCTTCTAACCAGTTCTATTTAAATAGGAGGAAAGTCTTCTTCTATTGATAAAATGCCTAAATAGGAAATTTCTATTTACATTCACTATTCTTCAGAAGTTACCTAAAATCACAGATTTCATCCTAATGTAACTACAGATAAAATTCTAAGTGTATTAAAGAGTAAATCAGGGAATTATTAAGTTATTGGGTTTGCAACATTAGATGAAAATATTGGCTTTGATTATTATCTCACAATACCCTCTCTTCCAATGAATCACATGATTGGAAAAACAATAAGATTGAAACCCATTATTGGTATATGTCCACCAAAACAATTGAATCTAAGTTGCTTTCAATTTTTACATGTTATAGGCAGAGGTGGATTCTCTACAGTTATATTATCTCGATCATTAATTGATGGTAGTTTCGTTGCATTAAAGTTAATAAGCAAAAGTTTTGTTATATAAAATGAGAAGTAAGATTTAGTTTAGAATGAAAGAGATATTCTTATAGAAATAACAAATAAAGGTTCGTTATTCACATCAAAAATAGAATTTGTATTTGAAACAAAAAATTGGATAATTTTTGGTATAGATTATTGTCCTGGTGGAGAAATGTTTAGTTATATGAAAAGAGTATAATAAATGACTGAATCATAAGCTAGATTTTACATTATTGAAGTCTGTTTAGCCTTAGGATTTTTACATCATCAACAAATAATCTATAGAGATTTAAAACCAGAAAATGTTTTAATAGATATAACAGGACATATTTAATTGGCTGATTTTGGTTTGGCAAGACCTAACATGCAACCAGAATAAAATGCATATTCATTTTGTGGATCTCCAGAGTATATGGCACCAGAAATGTTTCATAATGATGGACATAATTATTTAGTAGATTATTATTGTTTAGGAGCATTATTATATGAATTTGTTACAGGACTCCCTCCTTTTTATTGTGAAGACAAAAATATAATTTATACAAGATTATTGAATGAATAAGTGACATTTCCTAAAAAATTAAGTCCAGAAGTCAAAGATTTGATTCGATTACTTATGATTAAAGATCCAAGTAAGAGATTAGGATCAAAGAATGGAGTAGATGATATATTAGCACATCCTTGGTTTTAAGATGTTGATATTGCAAAATATATTCAAAAAAAAGTAGATCCTCCATATATTCCTGATTTAACCAAACTATTATTTAAATAACCTACAACAAATGATAGAATATTATTTGAATAACTAAATAGGGAGCAGAAGTTGATTACTTAATTTACACCTATGTTTGAAAGTGCCTTTTTCTATTAATAGAAAAGATACAAAGTTTATGAATTTGATAAAAACTCATCTACTTAAGTTACCAAAGACACAATTGATTCTTTAGTAAGGAAGAGAACCAAAAATTCTCAGAATAGTTAACAATCACTATTATCCCAATAATCATAATCATAACTATCATCAGTGATATGTTCAAATGATACACTCAAAAATACAAAAAGTGTTACCAACCTAAAATTTTATTAAAGTTTATTGACTGAACCATCTAAAAAATGAGTCTATATTTATTTTTAATATTTTCTCATCATAATTTCTTCTTTTTCTAAACTGGCTATTCATCTTCAGATTCCTCTGCTTCTTCAGCACTTTCTCCATCATCATCTTCTTCTTCTTCATCATCTTCTTCTTCATCATCTTCTTCATCTTCATCTTCTTCATCATCATCTTCTTCATCTTCATTTTCTTCATCTTCTATCTCATTTCCAGCCTTGTCCTTATGATCAATATAATTTAATTATGGTATCAATTCAAACAATTATGCTCTATCAGTATCTTTGTCATTAAACACTAAATGTTATAATTCTTTTAGTTCAATCAAAACTTTAAGATCCTTTTTTTTATTCAAATAATAAAATACATCTTAGCTTATTTTTTTATTTCCTCTTATATCTAAGTATGTCACTTTTGGAAAATGCTATATAATATGTTGGAGACTATTCTTATCCAAATAATTATTGCATAATCGTAATTTTGTTAGATTTGGGAATCCTATCAAATTATCCAAAGATGACAATTTGCAATCATTGAATTCCAAACATACTTTCTTTATTCATCATTTTTACTTAAATCATTATATTTTGACAATAATTTTAATGTTTCATTTGTAAATTATCCTATGTTGATATTTTCAAAACATAATTTTTATATTTTTTCTTATCCTTCTTTTTATGCTTAGATTTCTGCTTTCATGCTTATCAATGCATCCATCTTCTTATTTCCACTCATTTAATTATCAAATAAAATTAAAATTTATAATAAACCTAATTTATAAGAACCCCTTATTTTTAAAATAAACCATTTAAACCTTATAATCTTTTATTTTTAATAACTTAAAGAGAATCTAAAATAGCAATGGTTAATCAAATTATATTTTATTATTTCCAATCCTTATTATATATATAATTAATATTAGCATAGAAAAGTAAAATTATACTAAATAGAAGTGATGATTCAATATTTTCTATAATATTTAGAATTAATTTCATTATCAAAATTATAAGATACCTTTAATCTTAATATTTCAATCATAAATAGAAAATCATTTAATATCAATTAATTTATTTTTATATTTCATAATCAAAAACTTAATGATAGTAATAACTTATATAACCAACAATTAAGAGAAAAGAAATTAATACATCTTGGACTTTCTTAGAGATTTAATTAATTCAAAAAATTAATATTTTCAAACTAAGTATCATTTAAATATAATAAAATATATAGAATATAAAAATTTAGATAGTTACCTGAAATCCCTTCTTTAAATTGTTTATAATCAGTGAATTATTTAATTCATAAATTAAATTTAATTAGACTTAGGTATGTAATTTTATTCAATGAAGTTAAGCACTTTAACCAGGTTGAATCATTAATATTCAGATTAAGGATACTTATATTAAAATATATCTAGAAAAAGAAGAATTATATCATTTAATATCTATTGCTTTNATACATCTTAGCTTATTTTTTTATTTCCTCTTATATCTAAGTATGTCACTTTTGGAAAATGCTATATAATATGTTGGAGACTATTCTTATCCAAATAATTATTGCATAATCGTAATTTTGTTAGATTTGGGAATCCTATCAAATTATCCAAAGATGACAATTTGCAATCATTGAATTCCAAACATACTTTCTTTATTCATCATTTTTACTTAAATCATTATATTTTGACAATAATTTTAATGTTTCATTTGTAAATTATCCTATGTTGATATTTTCAAAACATAATTTTTATATTTTTTCTTATCCTTCTTTTTATGCTTAGATTTCTGCTTTCATGCTTATCAATGCATCCATCTTCTTATTTCCACTCATTTAATTATCAAATAAAATTAAAATTTATAATAAACCTAATTTATAAGAACCCCTTATTTTTAAAATAAACCATTTAAACCTTATAATCTTTTATTTTTAATAACTTAAAGAGAATCTAAAATAGCAATGGTTAATCAAATTATATTTTATTATTTCCAATCCTTATTATATATATAATTAATATTAGCATAGAAAAGTAAAATTATACTAAATAGAAGTGATGATTCAATATTTTCTATAATATTTAGAATTAATTTCATTATCAAAATTATAAGATACCTTTAATCTTAATATTTCAATCATAAATAGAAAATCATTTAATATCAATTAATTTATTTTTATATTTCATAATCAAAAACTTAATGATAGTAATAACTTATATAACCAACAATTAAGAGAAAAGAAATTAATACATCTTGGACTTTCTTAGAGATTTAATTAATTCAAAAAATTAATATTTTCAAACTAAGTATCATTTAAATATAATAAAATATATAGAATATAAAAATTTAGATAGTTACCTGAAATCCCTTCTTTAAATTGTTTATAATCAGTGAATTATTTAATTCATAAATTAAATTTAATTAGACTTAGGTATGTAATTTTATTCAATGAAGTTAAGCACTTTAACCAGGTTGAATCATTAATATTCAGATTAAGGATACTTATATTAAAATATATCTAGAAAAAGAAGAATTATATCATTTAATATCTATTGCTTTTGAATGAAAAACTTTTTCTAGATTAATATTAATATCTGATTTTTCCTAAATGTATAAATAGATTCAAAAATCAATTTATTTAGAGGAAAGATATATATTACAAATAAAATTTAAGAATAATAATTATACTTCAATTGATTAATATAATAATATAATCAAAAGGAATCATTAAATAAATATATATCTTGTAAATTATATTATTTTTTGGATCGAATCAACCTATAATTTATAATGAAAGATTAATAAATAAACAAAATAAAGAAACATTTTTCTGCATTAATATACAATAAAATACCCAATTTGTGATTTTTTTACAACATATTAATTTTAATGGATCGATTCTCTTAATTAAAAAATTAATTATTAGAAACAATTCACTTTTGATTATTGAAAATGGAAAAAAAGAATCTAAGTTCGGTCTAATTGAATGAAATATAAAAATCTAATATTTAATTAATGGAATCTTAGTTAAGCTTCATTTGTATACGATAACACACATTCTTTGATTAGAAATATATTCTTTAGTTGCATCCAACTAAGATTACACTAACTTAAGTATGCCTCATTATTAAAATAAGATTGGCAAGAATCCTAAATACATAATTGAATTAGATTTGCATAATACAATTTCATGGCAATTAAATCAAATGAACTAAATCACAAGCTTTAGTATTATATGGAACAACATGGAGAAATAATTTCAATCAACTCATGAAGAGCTCTTAAAATTGCGATAAACTATAAGAAATAAAATAATGTATAAATCAGTTAGTGAGCTTTACAAACCTATGCAATAATTAGGAGAAGGAAATTTTGATGAAGTAATTCAATCTAAAAATTTAGGTATATTTATGTATTGACAGAATAAATGGTAGTTCATATGAAATAAAATGTCTTGCAAAAAATTAGTTTGAAGATTCTATTGTACTAATTGCATTTTAAATTAGACACGAATTCATAATGAGATTTCTTGTTTAATAAATATTAGATCTGATTATGTATAAAGTTTACATGAAGTATATAATGGAGAAAATACAGTTTATTTAATTTAAGAGTATTTGGAAGGAGCAAACTTGTATGAATTAATTATGAATGTGACATTAGATAGAACTTAAATATTAATTATTATGAAAGTAATTTTTATTATCAATAAAATAAAGCAATTGCTTACTGCTGTTAGAGATATCCATTCCAGTAATATTATGCACAGAGATATAAAGCCAACAAATATAGTATTTAAAAACAAAGATTCCATAGAAGGATTAAAATTAACAGAATTTGATTTAGCAGTTCTTATTGATCCTTCATAAGATTTAAGAGTATGTGGAACTCCTGGTTATGCAGCACCAGAAAAATTCAAAGATAGTTATAATGAAAAAGTAGATCTCTTTAGTGTTGGATGTATTTTCTTTAAATTGTATAAATTATCTTTTTTATTATAGAGTTACTACCAGAGATTTATTTCCAGGAAAAACATCAAATGAAATATTAAAGTTGAATAAAATCTGTAATATAGATTTAAAAATACTTCAATTATATAAACTCACTCCAGAAGAAACAAATCTTTTGACAAATCTACTTGAAATTGATCCAGAAAAAAGAATTAGTGCAGAAGCAGCTCTATCTCATCCTTATTTTTAATGTGACATTACTCATAATAATGAATAATAATTAACTAAAAAAAAGTCAATATAAGGTATTCCACCTGGAGAAAGAATCAATAATCTACTTTAAAAGGAAATTAATGAAATTGAAAAGTATCCAGATGAATTGTAAGTAGATCATGAATCTCCTCATATTAGTGCAATACCCAATTTTAAAGTATTGAAAAAGGATTCATAAATTCAAACATCTTAAATAATAAGAAAAAGCACTAAATTAAAAAAAAGTGAGACTTAAGAGTATTCTCAATTAAATTTTAATAAGTCTAGATTTAAGGCTAGAAATTCTGTTCAATAAACAATTGTTTGATTATAAATCTTAAATTAAAACGTTTCTTATATAATTAATTTAAAAAATTGAATAATAAATATAAGTATTTAACTTAAGTAATTAGTTTAAAAACATCAATTAAAAAAATTAAAACTTACAATTATCTGTTTTAATCAAAAAAAATAAATTTTTATATTACCATTTATACACAAAATAATTATTTAACAAAAAATTGTGTCAAAGAAGGTTTTCAGTTTGTAAAACAATTTTTTTCATTAATTTAAAAACATCTTAATTTTCTATTTGACTTAGTAATCCTAAAACATAATTAGATCCTTTTAATTTGATTAATCTAATAAAATGTATTTCAACCCATAAAGGCATTGATTCTATTTTAGAGATTCCGCATTCTATAAAATCTACCATTGTTTTTTAAATTCTATATATATATTTAAATCATTTACAATTAAATTAATTAAGGATGATCATCCTTATATATATGTAATAATGAATACGAAATTTAAACAGAAATTACTCTTGTATTTATTTTTTCTAGTAGTTTTTATGCTAATTCAAACTATTTAAGTTTTGCAGCAATTTTACTACATTTATAGAGAAATATTGATTCTTGTTTAGTAAATTAAAAATATGTTGATTTCTCATCATTATCTTAAAATGATAGTCCATATAAATTATAAATATCTTTAATATCTATTTTTTTAGACAAATAATTTTTTTTCTTTACAGATTCTTTTAATTAGGATTTAAATATCTATGGTATTTTTGGCTTTGGTGTTTACTTTTCAGAACAATTAAAAGATTATTATAAAGAGGATTAAAAACTTTTTGTTTTTTGATTGTTATTGTAAAATAAATCATCGAGAATATTTTAAGTCAAAGAAATTTTATCAACAAATTCTTAAAGTATTGGATTTAAAGTATCTTTTTTTCTTTTCATTAGATCTCCTATTTCATTTTATTTATCTTAAGGAGTATTTTAATCAAGATGATCAATCAATCCAGATATTTATACTTTAAGTTCTTTTCTACAACTTTATTCACTTAATGTTTCCATAGTTTTACTTTTTTACAAAAGTTCAATACCAAATTCTTTACATTAATTAACACAATCTCTTTCTGATTCAACACTCTCGAAAGCATTTTCTTAAATAACCTAATATGTTTTGCTAATTTATTTTTGCAAGAGCTATTGTGTAATTTTAGTATTTGATTTTTTCTATTTTGAATTTGGGGATTATAAGTTGGATTATGAGTATGTATTAGTAAAGTCATATGTTTTATTTAAATTTTATTTTAAAAATTCAGGTTCTGTTTCCTCATCTGAATCAATATCACCTAAAGTAATTGAAGATGTATTTATAGATTATCTCTATTATTATATGAATATAATTATTACTTTTTGTAAATTATTTTATTTCTTATTTTTTAATTTAATTTCAAAGCAATATTTATCTATTTTATTATCAAAAAAAGAATAGGAACTATGAGGTGGGCTATAGAAATATAGTTATAAATATTTTTGTAATTGTTTTTGGCCCACTTAAATGGAAAGCCTAATTATTTCTTTTTAAAATAATGAGAGTGCTTATTTATTTTCAAGTAATAAATTTTATGAAATGAAATCAATTGTTGATTTTTCAATTTTTTAGGCTTGATTAATTATCTATTTTTGGGCTTAAAGATACCAATTCTAATATATTAAAAAATTCAATACTTTTAAATCTTTTTTATCGAAAGCTCTTTGTCTCAAAAGCAATTATTCAAGTACAGGATGATTACTCAATTAAGAAAAACTCTCAATTTTATTTACTTAAATAGGATTAATTACTGCATAAACTTTATCTAAATCAGTAAGATTATTTATTGAATTATCTTGAGCCAACACCCGATAATTTTATATGTGAATCTCACGCCATTTACTTTTTCTTGCTTTATTTCCACTTAATCCTGCCGCTTTGTTGAGAAGGCTTAGACAAATTTGATAATTATTTTTCTTTCTAAATATCGAAGCCTACTATAAACTTATAATTTACCAAAGTAATCCAAATTGTTTAATTTTCATTGGAATTTATCAAAGTATCTTTTAACATTAAAAATGCTTATTTATATCTACCCAATTTAATGAGAACCTTTCCAAATATATATTTAATTAAATTTAATTGTGGACAAATAGAAGATATTTGAACCAAACATGATAGTGATTTTTCATAATTTCTAAATTTAATATCTTATTTACTTCAATTTATAGAACAATATACTTTTAATCAAATAAAATATGACACTATCTTCAATATTTTCTAATTCTTTTATTAAAATTGATAATTAATAAGATTTTTCTAAATACTATACTAATATTTCTAAAGGCCAACATAAATAAAATAAAACATCTTTGATATCAGGAAAGTCTTTAATTGAACTAATTTTGTCAAGGTCCTAAAAAAGGCTAATATTTGTTGTTATTAGTTCTAAAAGTAATTATATCACTTCAGACAACTTATTATTGTTTTTTAAGTTTATATTATTAAAGAATCTACCAACGCTTGCCAGCTTAAATTCTTCATCAATTGCTCTTAATATACTACTTATATAAACACCTTGCCAATGCTACCTACTTGGCAATATGTATTGTTAATTCTCTTAAACACCAAATGATTTTGATTTATGTTGCCCTTCCGGAAACACTTGAATTTCACACACTATAAATGTTCTGCTAAAAATGTCATAACAAATGTATGTTAACTATCTAGATAATCTTCTTTACTTTTTAAATGCTCTGAATTTTAGAGAACAAGCTTTAATGCTCTTATTTTTCCTAATTTTAGAAAATAGTTTGAAGGTATGCAAAAACATCTGCTTAAGATTAAGGACATAACCCTTAAACAAAATGAAATGAGGATTAGGTCTCAAAAGAAGATTTCATCAGGTGAGTTGGCTACTATTTAGTTACAATACAAACATCTGGCAGTCCCAACCCCTAAAGTTGATCTTATAATCTAAATTTTGATTACCTGAATTTTTTAATAAGTTATTTCTGACCCCATCTATATGATTATCCTTAAATTCAAATATATTTTTGATAGAGAGGAATTTCATAAATAATTAAATAATTTATGATTCCTTAATTATTGTTCTATCATTTAAATGTTATACCTATATTAATATTTTAAAGATTCTCATATATTAATTGGATTTATCATTTTACACTGATTAGATCTTTAATCCTTTAACCTTAAATTCAAAATTATGAAATGATAATCAAGACAGGTCTCGTAGCTCAGTTGGTTAGAGCGTCAGTCTAATAAGCTGACGGTCGAGGGTTCGATCCCCTCCGAGACCATTTTTTTATGCTATAAAAAATTAATCTAATCTTTTAAAATAAGTATTCAAATTTTATAGAAACAAAAGGATAATAAAGATATGGTATATGATATAAAATTGATTACAATTATATATTTAAGTCAAATTTATTAGTATTATTATTATTATTAAAAAATGAAGTAGTTGATTAATATAATATATTTCAAATTCTAAACACTAACAATATCCTGAATATATTTTTTTTAATTAAAAAATTAAATAATCCAAAAGTTTAAAGATTAATTTTCCAGAGTATATGAAAATTAATTATTATAGTTGTAGTTTTAATACTAGAAATATAATACCTTATAGATATATCTAATAAATTGAATGATTCTCATTCTAAAATTCATTTAATCAAGTAATTAATCTACTTATGTTTTTGGATCATTAGATTAAAATAACAAAAAGTCATATTAATAAGATTTTAAGTATCCAGTCTAGTCTAATTATATTTAATACAATCGAAGGTATTCATTATTATATTAAATATATATTCTCCAAAAATAGAAGATTTTGTTTAGTAAAAAATATTACAGAATGTATTAGAACATTTAAAGAGAACAATAATCCGTTATTTTGGATAATTAAAATAAAAATTTGACTAAAATAAAAAATTACTTAAACCATAACTATTGAAATCATAAAAGCTTTTTATAGATTATTTAAGGGGATTGATATTGGTTATATAATTTTGATGACTATGAATATTATTTATTAATAAAGTATCAAATTTGATAATAGATGTATAAGCTCAAAATTGCAAATATAACCAAAGATAGAATTAAGACTTTTCCTCCAAATCTAAATTCGCTACCTCTTGTTGCTCTATGAACATTTCTACTATATTTAAAAATAATATCTGCATTCTTAGTCAATTCTTCAGTCTTTTTAACTAATACATCAAGTCTAACTTCTCTTTCTAATCAATATTTTTTAAGTATATATACCAATCATTTTACGTAGATTTTGAAATGCTGATTCATTTAAGTCTTCTACAGTTTCTTCAAGATTAGTCAATGCATCTTTTTGATCCAATTAATTAAAACCTTTCATCATACGACATAATTAAGCTGAGAATTGACCATTATTAAAATCGGAATCTTTAATTTTAGAATCAAAATACTTTTAGAACAATTTGAATATTCTTAATGAATAGCTTCAAGAAATGCAAAAGCTTTTTCTTTATTTTAACTATTATGGATCATACATAGAAATCGAAGATTGGAAATGCATGTAATACAAAAGACATATTCATTCTACGTTTTACCATCATATACTTTACTAAATATTTATTTTTACTAATTGGGCTTCACACTTTTGAGTACAATACGAGCCATTTCAGTAAAATCACCTTCTAATTCTGTATATTCTGACAAGACTAGATTTCCTTTGGAAATTAAAGTATAAAGAATCATATAATTAATAATAAAAATAAAAAGAATGGGTAATTGTAATATTAATGAAAAAAAGGAAGATCTTATGGAAAATAATGGTATATAATAATGATAGATATTTAAGTTGTTTCTGTATAAAACTTTTAATTTATTGATGCAATTGGAAGAGGTGGATTTGGAAAGGTATGGAAAGTTAGATAAAAGAAAAACAAGTAATTTTATGCTCTTAAGGTTATGTCTAAACCAAAGTAAGAAGTGATTAAAATATAGAATCATATAAAAGAAATCAGTATAGTCTGTAATGAATGAAAAGACTTTATTGAGTGGTTTGAAACATAAGTAAAAAATTGAAATTGAATTAAAGTTTTCTAATCAATATGTAATATTCTTTTCAAGATCGAGAATATTTATATTTAGTGATGGATTTGTTATCAGGAGGAGATCTAAGATATCATATAGGGAGACATAGAAAATTTAATGAAGAATAAACAAGTAAATATATTATATCTAAACTAAGAGTTTTTTAGTGGATGTATCATAGTTGCATTGGATTACTTACATTAATAAGGAGTATTGCATAGAGATCTTAAACCAGAAAATTTAGTATTTGATAGTAATGGTAAGGTTAATTTATTTAATGAGACTAGGATATCTCAGATTAACTGATTTGGGGATAGCTAGGATATGGAAACCTGAGAATTCACAAGATACAAGTGGAACTCCTGGATATATGGCTCCAGAAGTTATGTGTAGTAAATCTAAATTTTCTAATAATAGGACATAATCATGGTGTAGCAGTAGATTATTTTGCACTTGGAGTGATAATATATGAATGCATGTTAGGAAGAAGACCATATTTAGGAAGAAGTAGATAAGAGATAAGAGAACAAATGTTAGCCAAATAAGTAGTTATTAAGAGATAAGAAATTCCACCAGGATGGAGTTTAGAGGCAGCAGATTTTACAAACAAAGTATTAATTTATAGATGATTATTTAGCTTTTATAAAGGAAGCCATAGAATCGATTGGGAAATAATGGTCCAGATGAAGTAAAGGAACATCCATGGTTCAAAGATTTTAGTTGGGAGAAGCTAATAGCCAAATAGATTATTGCTCCATTTATCCCTAATGTTTATTATTAAATAAGAATATTAGGGTAATGAAGACAATTACTTACCATCTGATAGTAGACGAGATTCTGATGATTCGATTAATGAAGAATAATAAATAATGCTTAGAAGAAATTCAGTATAAAGTATCAATATTATGTTAAGTAGATTTATTTAATGGATATGATTTCGATAATACTCCTGTTAGTGTTCCAAGCAGTTAAATGGTTGTGTCGAGCACTTCTTCATCTCGAATCACTAAATAACCAACAACTACTAATACACCAAGATCAGCTAAGTTAGCATAAAAGCTAAAAAATTGATTTACATTTTTGCCCTAATATTGTAATAAGTTAACAATATATATTAAAGGAAAAAGAATTTCTTTTTAATTTTTATTAATTTCAATCTATATAATTAAATTTAATGGTATCGTGTGCTTAATATTGCATGTTTATATCAGCTCCAGGATGCATCTTTATGACATATTTAGGATTAATGATAGCTATTGGATCTGAAACTGTGTATGTGGTACCTCATAGTAGAATTGAAGGTGCATTTGCATTATTTATTACAGCAGTGGTATTATAATTAATTAAATAAAGCTTTATGCAATATTTTTTGCAATCAGCTACAATAGTGAATATTCTCAAATCTAAAGATAATAGAATGTTGATGAATGGATTAATTCCTAATAAATCAGAGAAGCTGAATTGGAAATGTAAGATATTCCAAAGTTACCAAAATCATAATTGTCTGAAACAGTAGAATAACAATAATGATATAAATTACCTAGATGCTCATAAATATGCAATTATTATATAAAAATAAAAAGAAAAATGTCATTATTATTCTTCATCTGAAGATTATGATAGGTTATTATTACTATTCTAGTCTAAAATATTCATTAAATCATTTGCTCTATCTTCTCTTTCAAAAATTGCTCTTGTATAATCCTATACTATCAAAGTACTAGATAAATGTGCATTTAGATTATTTGTTACACTTCCTTAAACATCTAATCCATCCATCATTCTAGTTAAATCATTCATCATATATTCTATTTTATTTACCATATCATCTTATTCAATCTCTTAAGGTGGAGGATTATGATTATTTTCTGAAAAATTCAATTCATTTATAACTTATTATTATGATTATTATTACTATTATTATTCAGGTAATTATGATGATTTACTTTGAAGTTAAAATCTTAAAAATTGAACTTCTTATTTCAATAATTGAATTATTTATTATTATTTTTTTGATTTTATTTATAAACGATTACAATCAGAACAACCAAAATCATTATTTTTAAATCCAGATTTAAATTTCAATTAATCTTATCTACCTGAATTTGACATTTGTTTAGTAAGATTATTAGGTTCAAATACACCAAAAGACATTACAGGACTTTCTTGATCTGAAATAACAGATTATAAGTTTTAAGGTATAGCAGAAACATTAACTGAAATATTTTCATTATCATCATCCAATCTCTATTATTATATATCATTTTTTGTATTCTTATTCCTTATTAATTTTTTTAATACTTCTTTATAAAATTATTATGTAGATCCCAGATTTCTTCTTATATCTAAACTTGTAATTGTTTAATTTTTATCAAGTAATTATATTAATATCTCAAAACCTTCTTTTTAAATTGCATTATACTTAAGATTTATTTATTTAATCCATCTATCTCTTTCCAAAAATGGTACAATATCTTTTACAAATTAATCATTTAATTTATTATATGATAAATCCAATTCTTCTAATCCTATTTTAGAAATGTCTTCTTCAGGACATTCTCCTTTTATTCTGTATAAATATTCTACATTGTCTCTTCGTTTACTATGTTCTTATATTAATTATCCCAACAAAACCCCAATTTGATGTGTTAAATAATTATGAGACAAATCAAGGATATGTAATGATGAATTCTATATTAATGATGGTTATAATATGCTAAAATGATTCGAAGTCATTAAACATTATATTATACGTAATTCCTTTAAAGATTAAACAACTGCTATTCCTTAAGCAATTATCTACATATGTTCACTATTCATTCTGATATCTCGAATTACTAATGAGACTACATCTAAGCTCTTGGTAAAAAGCTTTGTTATTACTCTTAAAATTTCAAGTAATTCCATTTTCTAATTATCAGTAGCCATTGATTTGTTCAATTTGAGGTTCTTTTAAATACTTTTTATAATTATCCTCTTAAATTTACATTAAGGTAACAATAAAGAAAGAGGCTCAATATCTATTGAATTTTGATGTTTTTACCCTATTAACTGATTTGATCTAAAACTATAACAATTTCTGTCTCCTAAATCCCATTAAGTAAGCTTGATGAAAAAGGGACATCTAAATGTTTACAAATTTATTTATATAGATATGCATGGGATCTCTCTCTTTGTTTCATTATATTTTAATTAAATTGGAAGTATGATAATTAATTATTATTTATTTTATGTTGTAAAGAGAGATACTAATGATATCTAATTTATGTTATTATAGAAAAGCCATTTGAATAAATAAATCAAAATCAAATTTTATCAGAATCATCATTAACCATTATGTAATATCAAATAGTAATCTATTAATAAATGTTGCACATTATTCCTATTCTCCTCATATCATTAAACTATAATCATCCTCAATAAAAACTTATCTAATAAAGTAGATTTATATAATATTTTATTAAGTAATCTCATATGTACAAGCTATTTATACTTTTTATCAGAATAGAATTCCATTCATCTACAAATCTAATTAGATTTTGTATTCATCCTAATTTTATTATAAGCATATCTCAAATTTGAAAGATCATACTGTAAAACTATTACAATTAGCATTCTAATTTCTCATATTTAATACTAATGATCAGAAGATTAAATTATTGAAAATAATAAAATGCAGACAAAAATATTTTATTGAAAGAATTACTTTAGATTACAGTAATTTATAAAACATAAAGTTATGAAAATGAACCAATTACCAATCCCAAAGAGTTATATTAAAAATAAAATAATTAAGAAATTATTTAACCAGCCCTTATAAATGAACAGCGATTGAATAATCAGAAAATTAATTCCTATAACAAAAAATGATAATAGTTCTGAAACTCTTTAAAATGATGTATTATCAACTTAGACATAAATGCTTGTAAAATAAGCATAATTTAAAATTTATTAAAATTTTAAGTTTGAAGATAGATAAATTTAATGTTGATTCATGAATCCGAATACATTTTTAAATAATAGAATTAATGATAATTTGATTCTTGAATTATATAATTATATAAATAATTTTAGAAATTAACGAATGGACTCTTTATCATAGTCCAAAAAATTTTCAGATTACTATAAAATTGATAAAAATAAAAGTTTTGGAAATGGACAATATGGAGAAGTTTATGCATGTGAAAAGATAAATGATAATAATAATAATGAAAAGTATTGTGTTAAGATCATACCAATAATGTAAAAGGAAAATAATCGGGAATAGCTTATAAATGAAACAATAAGAAATTATACTAAAAATAATCCTTAGTTTGTTAATATTGTTTAAACATTTGATACTTTTTAGGATAATTATTCTGTATATATAGTAATGGAATAATGTGAAGAAGATTTATCTTCTGAATTTGAAAGAATGAATGAATAAAAAATTTGGTATACTGAATAATAAGTATTTGATATAATTAGGTAAATTATAACAGCTCTCAAAGAACTTTATAATTTAAAAATAATACNTTAATAAATGTTGCACATTATTCCTATTCTCCTCATATCATTAAACTATAATCATCCTCAATAAAAACTTATCTAATAAAGTAGATTTATATAATATTTTATTAAGTAATCTCATATGTACAAGCTATTTATACTTTTTATCAGAATAGAATTCCATTCATCTACAAATCTAATTAGATTTTGTATTCATCCTAATTTTATTATAAGCATATCTCAAATTTGAAAGATCATACTGTAAAACTATTACAATTAGCATTCTAATTTCTCATATTTAATACTAATGATCAGAAGATTAAATTATTGAAAATAATAAAATGCAGACAAAAATATTTTATTGAAAGAATTACTTTAGATTACAGTAATTTATAAAACATAAAGTTATGAAAATGAACCAATTACCAATCCCAAAGAGTTATATTAAAAATAAAATAATTAAGAAATTATTTAACCAGCCCTTATAAATGAACAGCGATTGAATAATCAGAAAATTAATTCCTATAACAAAAAATGATAATAGTTCTGAAACTCTTTAAAATGATGTATTATCAACTTAGACATAAATGCTTGTAAAATAAGCATAATTTAAAATTTATTAAAATTTTAAGTTTGAAGATAGATAAATTTAATGTTGATTCATGAATCCGAATACATTTTTAAATAATAGAATTAATGATAATTTGATTCTTGAATTATATAATTATATAAATAATTTTAGAAATTAACGAATGGACTCTTTATCATAGTCCAAAAAATTTTCAGATTACTATAAAATTGATAAAAATAAAAGTTTTGGAAATGGACAATATGGAGAAGTTTATGCATGTGAAAAGATAAATGATAATAATAATAATGAAAAGTATTGTGTTAAGATCATACCAATAATGTAAAAGGAAAATAATCGGGAATAGCTTATAAATGAAACAATAAGAAATTATACTAAAAATAATCCTTAGTTTGTTAATATTGTTTAAACATTTGATACTTTTTAGGATAATTATTCTGTATATATAGTAATGGAATAATGTGAAGAAGATTTATCTTCTGAATTTGAAAGAATGAATGAATAAAAAATTTGGTATACTGAATAATAAGTATTTGATATAATTAGGTAAATTATAACAGCTCTCAAAGAACTTTATAATTTAAAAATAATACATAGAGATATAAAACCTGAAAATATATTAATCAAAAACGAAAAGTTAGAAGGTACTGAGAAAAAGATATATAAAGTAAAAAATTATACTTACCTAAAAGATAGGAGATTTTGGAGTTGGAAAAATAATTTAAGATACTCTAAATAAATCTGTTCTAACAAAAACAGGTACTTTGATTTATGCTGCACCTCAAATGATATTTGATGAATCTTGTACAGAAAAATGTGATATATTTTCTTATGGGATACTATTTTACTAAATATGTTATAAAGGTCAGGAACCTTATGATTGTATTCCAAAAATTAATTTAATTAAAAGTTTAAAATAACTGAAAGATTAACCATTTAAAACTCCACCACTTAATTTTAGTAGAGCAGATGTATTAAAGGATTTAATTGAAAAGATGATTGTCTATTAGGAGAATTAAAGAGCTTCATTTGAAGATATATTTAATCATCCAGTAATGAATGTAAAAGGAATAGAGGAAACTGATTTTATTCCTAAATTATAGAATTCTGTTTCATAAGTTAGTGTAAACTTCAGAGAGAAAAAAAAACAAAAAACTTTGATTGATGATGTGTAAATATACTAGAAATTATTGGAAGTGTTATATAATCGATTTAAGATCTGTGAATATGTTATTAAATAAATTAATAGCATAAAATAAAATTATGCATTATTATATATCATTCATTTGATAGCAAAATATTAATTGGAATATGCACTTGCTATTGTCTATATAAGACCTTAAGATTTCCATCCATCAATTAAATAAGACAATGATATTTTAGATTTGGTATATAAATTGGATTAAGTTTAAAAGGGTCTTCAAAACTGTAATGAAGACATAATTAAGTAATATTAAAATTATTAAAAAGAGATTCAAAATACTTATCATAAATTTAATTTGCAATTATCTCAATTTTTAGACACAATTTTAACACAAACTTTATAAAAAAATTTATAATTCTAAGGAGAAGTAAACGAGATTTTTCAAGATTCAAAATATCGAAAAATTGAAATACTCAAATTATATTATATATTAAGTCTTATAAAAAATTAGTAATCTGCAACTATGAGGAATGATATATAGGAACTTTTAAATTAAATAATTAATTTTGAAACTCAGTATCCAATAAATCTATATAAAAGTAGCATTGATTTAAATGAAAAATTTCCCATACATATTATATAAAAATAAAAAAATGAATCTTTATGATTATATAATAATATTAACTAAATTAAATTAAGTTTATAAAAAAAAGATATTATAGATAATAGTTATCTAATTCATTAAATATGAATTGTTTATTTTGGATATTATATTATTAATCAATCAAAAAGAAAGGTATTTATAAATATTTTTTGTTATAAATGAATTAAGGAAAATAATATGAAATTCAAGGATTATTAAAAGCAGGTACTTTTTATTTCAAGTATTCTTAAGGTATTGATAAAAATCAATAACCCATTTATGTAATGTTGCATAATTTGATTATTAAAAATAAAAACGAAGAAGAAATAGCCAAAAAATTTGAATCCTATTTATAATAATTCAGACCTTTTAAGTATTATATTCAATTAATTATAGAGGCTTTGTCTTAATTATATGTTCTTAAAATGATGGATAAATGAATGCAAAAGATGTTAAACATTTGATAAAAAAAACTTTAAAGTAATTTTTTACATTATTTAAGAGAAAGGTGGAATAAATACAATTAAAGCGAATTGATAAATTGATTATTATTAGCAACAATTAAAATTATGGAAAAAAAGAAAAATCAATACCATTTTCACTCAAAAGTCTACTCAAAGAAAAATTGCATTTTATTAACAAGTATTAAATATAGTTACTAATTTAAGTGCTTCATTTCTAGATACATATGATATTGAATTACATTAGTCAATTTTAAAATTCTTATGCAATTAAATTGAGTATTAGGAATAATAATCATTTTATGGAAGAGATTTAGATTCTTATCCTATTGGATAGTCTGGTCTTCCCATATTCCTTGAAGAGATAATTAAATATTATACATAAAATACTAATTGTTTACTTAAAGAAGGAATATTTCGATTGTCAGGTTCCCATGAAGAAGAAATGAAATTAGTGGAATAATTATTATAATAAAATTATGAAGCAATATAATATTCAGAACCTGATGTAATAGCAACAGTATTAAAAAACACATTAGTTAATTTGAAAAATCCAATCTTTCCATTTGAAATTTATGCAATTCTAAGAGATACTAATCCTTAAATACCAACTAATGAATTTGTAGATATGTTTAGCATATTTTTTGCTCATTTATCCAAAGTGAATAGATTAACTGTTTTCAAATTAGTAGAATTTATTAAATTTATTGCCGGTTTTGAAAAAGAAAATAGAGTAAAAAATATAAATAAATTTTAGATGGATTTACATAATTTATCAATAGTGTTTGCTCCATGTTTTTTTAGAACAAAAGAGGTCAATTAATTAGACTATTAAGGAGCAATGACAGTAGTTTTGCATTTTAAATCTTTAATCCAAAATATTGATTCATTTTTAGAATAATAAAAGAGATTAAGTTTATGATTCAATAAATTTGAATTTAAGATTATAATTTATTGTTTAAATCTATTTATCAATCATATTTGTCTATAATTAAGACAAATATGATTATGTCACATACTTTAAATTTCAAATATAGTAATTATTGATTTCTCATAATTCTGTATTGAAATATTAATGTATAATTGATTATTAAATGGATTCAATATATTTTAATCATTAAATTGATCTTGTAAATGATTAATTTTTATTTAAATCTTCTTCAGTTTTAATTTATCCTAATACTTTCAATTACAATTTTAAAATATGATCTGAAGTCATACTTAATTTAATGAGTTTACATTATAATAGTTATATTATAGTTTTCATACATAAGTTTATTTCATAAATTATTTTATTGACCAAAAAATTCATAATTTAGTAATAGGATTATTGTTAATCTAATATAATGGACTTCTTGCTGATTTTAGTATGAACTAATTTAGTACAGGATATAAGTGTATAAATTACGTTGAACTAGAAATTAATTCAAAGAATAATAAAATAGAATACTTTAATCAATATTATTTTTGATTAATAAATTGTATTGTTAGATTTGATTTTCACAAGAATTATATTAATTTTAATGTAAATATACTTAATCTGTGTTTTAACATATTAATTATGGATTTAAGTGAATGCAAATAGTTAGACAACATAAGAGAACTATAAAAATTGTATAAATTCTGAATGCACATAATGCAAGCCTCATTATTTTTTAGTTTAATTACAATAAGATAATGATGAAAATTATGAATTAGTGTCTCGAATTTGTGTTGAATGGTATTAAATGAATTTAAACATTAGTCCATACTAAGCATATATGTTAGATGAAGAAAATTTATATTGTGGTGATTGTCTTGATAATAGTTTAACTTGGTAAAGACATATTTTAACATAGGAATTTTAATAGATTTTGCAGTTATGATTATTTAACTTATTCTACAGGAAACTCTGTATATCATAAAAAGGACAGGGCATCTGTAGAATTATTTTATGTAGTTCAATCTCAACCAGGATATGTATGTATGCAAATATAAAATAGTATTCTACAATGATTTGCAATGGATGTGATCATTTTTGTAAAGAAAAATCATAGAATTGTTTTTTAATACCATTTGAATACTAAAATAATATTAATAATAAGTATGTAAGTTGTAAGGAAGGTTATGACTTTGATGAATAAAGATAAATATGTATATCTTGTCCCCAGAATTGTCAATCTTGTATTTAAAATACTTGTTTAATATGTAATAAAGGATTTAGTAAAATGATATTAAGAGAGTCATATGAAGATTAGACAACAACAACTTTTTGTATTCCATGTTTTTCATAATGTAAGAGTTGTTATTTTGGTAAGAATGATGTAAATTTGAATGTAATACCTTGGGATGCTTATAATAATGAAGAAGGATTATATAAAAATAACTTTCANAATTTTAAAATATGATCTGAAGTCATACTTAATTTAATGAGTTTACATTATAATAGTTATATTATAGTTTTCATACATAAGTTTATTTCATAAATTATTTTATTGACCAAAAAATTCATAATTTAGTAATAGGATTATTGTTAATCTAATATAATGGACTTCTTGCTGATTTTAGTATGAACTAATTTAGTACAGGATATAAGTGTATAAATTACGTTGAACTAGAAATTAATTCAAAGAATAATAAAATAGAATACTTTAATCAATATTATTTTTGATTAATAAATTGTATTGTTAGATTTGATTTTCACAAGAATTATATTAATTTTAATGTAAATATACTTAATCTGTGTTTTAACATATTAATTATGGATTTAAGTGAATGCAAATAGTTAGACAACATAAGAGAACTATAAAAATTGTATAAATTCTGAATGCACATAATGCAAGCCTCATTATTTTTTAGTTTAATTACAATAAGATAATGATGAAAATTATGAATTAGTGTCTCGAATTTGTGTTGAATGGTATTAAATGAATTTAAACATTAGTCCATACTAAGCATATATGTTAGATGAAGAAAATTTATATTGTGGTGATTGTCTTGATAATAGTTTAACTTGGTAAAGACATATTTTAACATAGGAATTTTAATAGATTTTGCAGTTATGATTATTTAACTTATTCTACAGGAAACTCTGTATATCATAAAAAGGACAGGGCATCTGTAGAATTATTTTATGTAGTTCAATCTCAACCAGGATATGTATGTATGCAAATATAAAATAGTATTCTACAATGATTTGCAATGGATGTGATCATTTTTGTAAAGAAAAATCATAGAATTGTTTTTTAATACCATTTGAATACTAAAATAATATTAATAATAAGTATGTAAGTTGTAAGGAAGGTTATGACTTTGATGAATAAAGATAAATATGTATATCTTGTCCCCAGAATTGTCAATCTTGTATTTAAAATACTTGTTTAATATGTAATAAAGGATTTAGTAAAATGATATTAAGAGAGTCATATGAAGATTAGACAACAACAACTTTTTGTATTCCATGTTTTTCATAATGTAAGAGTTGTTATTTTGGTAAGAATGATGTAAATTTGAATGTAATACCTTGGGATGCTTATAATAATGAAGAAGGATTATATAAAAATAACTTTCAAGAAAATTAAATTGCATTCTTTGAAAAATTATTAAATATTTTTAAAATAGCTTAGAGATGTGAGGAATGTGAGAGTACAACATAAATAAAACATATACCTTCATTAAATAGAAGATCATGTGTATAATGTGGTACTTAATGTGCACGTTGTGAATATTATTCATATTGGTAACAAGATAAGGAACTCATATGTCCTTCAAAAAATACATTAAGGATAATTGAACCATAAAATGAGAAAGAAACTTAAGAATTGTTAGAATCTCAATATGTATTAAGATGTAGAGAATGCAGATATTATTCATAAATATTAAATGCATAAGGAACTAGTTGTTTTGATTGTAAAATTAATGATTGTGAATTATGTCATAAAAGTGAAAGTTAGAAATAAAGTAAAGATCCATTTACTACTTTAAGTATAAATTTTGAACCACCACCATAAGAAGGTATATATATATATATTTAATATTAAATTAGATGGTTATATTGAGAAATGTGTTCTTTGTAAAGATGGTTATTTTTTAACTGAGACTGGAATGTGTTTAATATTTGATAGTCAAAATTAACCAGAATTTGGATGTTTAACTTTTGAAAGATCTTATGATATAAAAAATTGTAGAAAATGTTAATAAGATTATACTTTATATTTTGATTCAAAATTATAAATTTGGAAGTGTATAATTGGTTGTGATAAAATACTGTAAGATCCTCATTGTGAATCTTGTGTTAAATAAAATGAGGAATATCGTTGTTAAATTTGTAAGGCTGGTTATTATGTTGATACATTAACTAATAAATGTTAACCTTGTTCAAAAGATGGATATTGTCTTAAATGTTATACTTTAACTTTAAATGTTCTTCATCATCCAGAAATTTATTTTGCTTAATATAAAGAGGATTCTAAACATAATCAAGTACTTGGTCCATTTTGTTATTAATGTATTCCTGATGATATTAAAATAAAAGGGAGAGGTTATATTTTAAATGAAGATTTAAGAAAATGTGAAAAAGGAGGAGATAAATGTAAATCTTTTGAAGCCAAAGGTGAAAAAGGTTTTTGTGATTAATGTCTAAATGAAAGTTCAAGAAGTTCTTCTCCAGATGGAAATGATTGTATTGACTGTCCTAATAATACTTTGGTATGTAGAATAAGAAGTCTAGAAGAAATCTAAAAAATCAATTAATATTATAAACCATCTTAAAGTTTTGAAGTATATTCAACTTTAGCCTTAAAATGTGCTTAGAGTTAAGAATATATGGATACTAATTTTGGTAGATGTCTGGAAAATATTTTAAATGACAGATAGGTGATTATAAATGTAAAGGCAGATTGTTCATATAATGAATAAACAAATGATGATAAAGTATGGCATATTAATGATCTATATGAAGAAAAATATAATAAGTTTTAGAATTAAAATTATTAATTAGATAAATCACTTTCTAAAAATGCTACTATAATACTTGAAACTAAAGCTTTTTATAATAATGATGAAAATTAAGTTAGTAATCTTAATTTTACATAATTATATGTAGATTTAAATGAAAAAGGAGTTAATAAGATAATTATTAATCTAATATTTAGTTAATCTTATTCTTTTTGCTTTTTTTAAAAAGATACATATTTCACAACTAATATTAAAAAAGAAGTATTTTCAGCTTAAGAAATTGAATTAAATATTTAGGTTGAAAATGATAAAAATATAAATTGGTATTTATAAAATAACATTTATTTTGAATATTTTTCAAAAGTAACTATTTCTGGAATTAATGTATAACCTGCTGTGGATTGTTAATTATTTCCAAATATTAAAAAATTTCAAAAACCATATAGTTTTTAATTCATAAAAAATGCTGGTCTTATTGTAAAATTAGAAAATATGAAAATTTAAAATTATGCTGCATATTAACATTATTCAAATAAGAATATGTATACAACACCTTATAGTTAATTATCACTCTTAAATAAAAAGTTTACACCATTTTATTTTATTTTTACAAATGTTTATGATTTACAATTAAATAATGTTATTATTCAATCTTTAAATTACTTGTAATTAAAAGATACAAATTATAAAATTAATTTATTTGGATTTAATTATGAATAAAATCTATAATTACCTTATTTTAATTTAACAATTTATAATGTTAAATTCTCTGATATTGGTATAGAAGATCAATCTATATTTGATTTAGAATTTATTAATTTAAAATAAAACTTATTTAAGATATTTATTAAATAAGTAAGTTTTAATGATGTATATTTTCTTAATGGAGCAGGCTTTATTACTCCAAAATTTAATAATACTTTAAATGGATTAGTTTAAATTGATAATTTATTTATAAATAATACAAAATTTAATCATTCTAGAGGAATTGTTAATTTCAATAATATGTAATAAATCTATGTTACTAATTTTACATTATTAAATTCATTTGTAAATCATACTGTCTTATATTATATTACAACTATTTAAATAGCTAAATGTTATATATAGAATACTTAATTTAAATCAAAAGGTAGAATGATTTAAACTTAACATGAATTATCAACTATTTTAAAACCTGATTATAAGAGATTAAAATTTATAATTGAAGAAATAATATTTGAACAAGTAAGTTGTTTAACTCCATAATGTTTGATTTCAATTTCAGGAATTAAAAATGATTTTGATATTCCTATTAATATTACAATGAAGAATATTGAAATATTTTAAATTTAAACAGATGGATTTGATCTTAAAATTTTGAATGCTACAACAAGTGCTGCAATTAAAATAGAAAAAAGTTATAATGTATTCGTATAAGATTTTGAAAGCAAAGAGAATTCTAATTTATCAATTTTATATATTGATTAAGTTTGGAATAGTAATATTTAGAATATTAAATGTCATTAAACTAAAAATCTAATGATTAGAAATAATTATTGTTTATTTATTAGTAATCTATACTAAACTGTTAAATTGAAAAATATATATTTATTGAATCTAAATGCATAAGATAATTCATTTATAGGTATATCCTCTTGGAATAATTTGATATACAATACAACTAAATTATAATAAGAAGAATCTATTATCATTTAATAAGTTTTAGTATAACATTGTACAATAACAACTACATAACCTGGAATTCCATCATCTTCCATTATAATTTCATCTAATTAATAACAAAAAGTCTAATTATCATATATGTAATTCATTTGGAATAAGCATTTTATATTAATACCAGGTAGTTTAAGTCCCAGTAACCCAACATTAATTATGATAAGTAGTGAAGGAAACCTAGAACTCAAAAATAGTAAATGGATATTCAATACAGTTCAAGGATCTGGTGCTGCATTGTATTTAGAATCTGGTTTTTAGACAATTAAAAATATAACAATGGAAAATAATAATGATGAATACTCTAGAGGATCATTAGATATATATTAACCAAATTAAGGTGGACATCTTATGATAATATCATAATCTACTACAATAGATAATTGTACATTTTATAATTCGACTGCTAAAGAAGGAGGAAGTATTTTCATAAGAACATTAAAATAAGGTTTGATATTAATACAGAATACTTAAATTAAAGCATCCTCTACTTAATTAGATAGTACAATTGATTCAAAAGGAGGTTGTTTATATGTTGACTCTAAAGCATCAAAATTAAATATGACTATTATCAATACTAATTTTGAAGATTGTGTTTCAAGACATGAAGGAGGTGCTATTTATATTTTAAGCTATTAATCTTAATAATAAGTCTTAATTTAAGATACTTCTTTTTCTAATTGTTTCTCTTTAAATGGAAATATACTGAAGGTTATCTATGATTAAAATTAAAAATAAATCCAATAAACTAAAATGATTAATATTGATATTCAAACTAATCAATCTAAATAAGAAAGATTTTTTAATTAATTAGGAGTATTAACAGAATTAGAGAAATATAAGTTTTTAATAAGAACATCTTCTATTGAATAAGATTTTGGAGAAATTATTTTAATTAATATTATATAATAAGGTTAACTATATTAAGGTTTTTTATCTGTAAAATATCCATCATTTATAAAACTATCTTCAATAATTGTTCAAGATTAAATAGTGATTTATAATCCTTTAATAGAGATTATAGAACCAATTAGCAATCCTATTCTTATTGAGACAGTTAAGATTGCCAATATATCTTCAATAAGTTTAGAAAATATTAAATGTAACTCAAAATTAATTGATTGGAAATGTAAAATACTTTAGATGAGAGTGGATTATCCTTAAATTAAAATTCAACCATCATTAATAAAGATTTATAATATAACATCATAAACTTATTTGACTCTTAGAAATATTTTAATCAATAAAATAGAATGTTAAGAATGTATTTATGGATTAGTTTAGATAATTAGAGTCTCAAATATGTTATTAATTGAATTAATTCATATTGAATAATTTAGATGTACAGATACACATACAGGTTATTATGGTTGTTTAGCAATAACATCTGATTATGATCATAAGATTTAGACTGTTTAAGATAAACTGTATAATTTTGAGATAAAAAGCAATTTGAGTAGAGAAGCAATTATGAATTATACAAGCATCGTTCCTTCATCAGATTTATTTTAAGAATAAATTAATGATTAGAGACTATTAAAAGATGAAGAAAATTATTAATATATTATTCCTGATCCACCTTATGCAGCCCATGTTTTAATTTAATAATTATATATAGAGAATAATACTTGTTTTCATGGATGTGGTTTATATGTTTATGAATTAACAACAAATGTTACTAGTTCATATATTACTTAAAATACTGCTAAAGGTTAAGGAGGATTTATCTACTTTTTATCTTAAGGAAAAAACCGAATCAATATTGCTTAATGCAGTTGTTACAATAATAAAGCTTCAATAGGTGGATGTATAGCAGTTTATGGAGTATATACTAATAATTTAATTAAAACTGGAAATTAGATCACAAGAAATGAGGCTAGTTTATTTGGAAATAATATTAATTCATATCCTAAAAGTTTGATAATGAAAATTAACGGAGTTGGATAAAGAATTGCTAATTTGAGCAAAGAAAAATATTTAATTTTACTTCCTGTAATAATAAAAAGTGGATATCCTCTAATTTCTTATAAAAATTAAAATATCACCATTTAATTCTTAGATGATGAAAATTAAATACTTAAGTATTAAGAACCATCAATTTTAGATATATAATTAGATACATAATTTTAAAGCCATCAATCTCATAATACTTCTCTTGAATCATAAAATGAACCTAGTAATTGTGAAATTTCTTTATTTAATAAAAATACATTTAGGGAATTTAAAAATGAAATTTAAGGATTTAATATTTCTAATCTAATAATTTGTTATGATCCAAACAATTAAAGAGAAATTAACATCACTTTCAATAGTGATTAAATAAAAAAACCTAATTATATAAATCTATATCCTTATTCATTTACAAATTTTTAAAATAATGAATATTAATTAACTATAAAATTTTTACCAATACTTTGTCTATTTGGTGAATATTATGTTGAATAATAACTTAAGTGTATAAAATGTCCATTGAATTTCTATACATTGGAATTGAATTCTAATTTTTGTAAGGAAAAAGACTGGGTTAAAATGAAAAACACTTATGAATTCAAAATATTGTTATTTGATAATTATTGGAGGCCTGAAATTAATAATGATTAAGTGGAATCATGCTAGAAGTAAAAATGCATAGGAAACTATTAAGTTGGAAATGAACTTTGTAATTTAGGTTCGATTGGAGCTTTGTGTGAAGAATGTGATATTCATATGATATTTTGGGAATAGAGTTATTTTAAAAATTGGAATTCTGATTGCTAATTATGTAAGGACCCTTAAATTTATTTATTAAATATATTTGTGATTTTGATTTAAATTCCAATATTGTTATTATTGGGTCATATGTCAATAGCAATTAGAATTAGAAATATTATTTTGAATATTCTAAGATTACTTAAAAGACCAAAAATTGAACAAAATTAATAGATGTATCCTTAAGTTATATTAATAATTATATACCATATGTAAACATTATCATTTTTGAGATTTAATAATTTAGATAATACTTAATTTTCGAATTTTATTGCTTTTAATTCTATTTCAATGCCTGCATTAAATTTGAAAGTGCATTTATAATGCTATATTGAAGATGATCTTTATTTAATTTTAATCTATTCATTTATTACCTTGATTGTTGGATGTATATTAACAATAATGATTTTTAAAAGAAAGTAAAAAATCTTTTCAATTTAAATTTTCTTTATATTAGTCGTCATTTATATTTAACCTAGCTATTTAATAGAATTAGTTCAATTAACAAATTATCGTATCATATCTGGAGACAAATACAATTATGCAAATGTATCTTATCTATTTGAAGGTAATGAAAATTGGAAATATAGTATTTTATTGATATTTATATTTTTGATCATTTTCACACCTATTATAATATTTATTTGCTATTATTACTTTTATTTTACGAGTGAAGATGGCAAATCAAGAGTTTTAAAAAATTGGAGAAGTTTCTACTCTTATTATACTAATAGTGCATTAATTTTTTAATTCATATTCAAATAAGCTAAATTGATAATTTTTATCATAATTTCCTTAAATAAAAATTTGGTAAGAAATTTATTATATATTTAGGTTCTAATTATCCCTATTTTCTATTTGTTTATTATGATTAGATCTTAATATAAATAAACCAATTTAAAGGAAAATTACCCTTATAAATCCATTTTTAATAATCAATAGGAAAATCTATCTAATTCTATTATAATTATATCATGTTGTTTATATATTCTCTCTGATTAACAAAATTTGAATAGTATTAGTTTAGCTGCTATTATTTGTTTATTCATAATAAATATTTTGTATTTTGTCATTATTCTTTACTAATTTATTTAGAAAAAAATTAGGGAATATATAAAAGAATAAGTTTCAGAAAACATTAAAAATCAATTATGGAAAAAAATTATTGATTTTTTATAACAGAAACTACATTATACAAAAGCTGATTAAGAAAAAATAAAAAAAATTAAGGAGAAGTTTCAGACAGCTATAAAAGACAGCTTGATAAAATGGAAAAACGGTAACTTTGAATGTACCAATACATTTAAATTAATTATAAAACCTCGTTTAGAATATTAGAATTAATAGTGATGTTAATAATTAATATACAATTTTTATTTTCTTCTTTATCTAATAAGTACTTTTTTTAGAAGAATTTTATTTTAATTAAAGAAAATTCCATTATATCATAAAGTCTTTCTTATATAGATATAAACTCAAATCAAAAATTTGAAATACTAAACCTTTTTTATTTTATTAACTGAGTCTAAGTTATTTTTATTTAATGCTATGTAAATTTAATTTGAATTTTCAAATGTTTAATTATTTGTAAACTTTCAATATATCCATATTATTTAATGACTGCTATTAAATTATACTATAATAAAATATTAGATCTACAATACTTAATTGATTTGCAAATGATTATGATTCAATATACATTTTAATATTATTTTTGTTAATTCTTCTAAAATAGAATTTCTTGAATTTATTCCTTATATGCAACTTTATAATTAATTATTAAATTTTATTGTTATATCTAATATGAACCTTTTTATTAGAATATAAATGTATAAATATTATTTATAGATTTATAATTGAAACACAATATATATTGTACTAAAAAATAAGAAGATTTCATAAAAGAATATAATAATTGATTAAGTCATAAGATTAGAATCAATTTTTATGTTAATCTAAATTTCTAATAAAATATTCTAGATACTTTTACTTCTTTACAATTTTTAATAGATAAATTATTTCACATCAATTTAAATAAAATTATCACAACTAATAATGCTATTAAACCCATTAATAGTATTTAACCCTTATTTTTATGATACCTTATACCATTAATCAATTAGTTAATTCCTTCAAATTATCCTATTGATCAAAAGATAACATACCTATATATTCAGTAACTCTATTTTATATAGAGGATACCCTATAGCCTTAATCTTCAAGACTTGAATGGATTGTTGAAGCCATATCGAGTACATGAGATGCTTAATTAACTCCTCTTGAGAGAAAATCATTAAATTAATAATCTCTTTTATATTTTTAATTTCCTTAAGTATTTTGGTTTTTGATTGCATCCTTAAATAGTTCATATTTTTAGATATTTGTTTTCATAGCTTACTATTAATGCTTTCAAGTTAGTACTTTCAATTTTAAAACTTCTTTATCATGTTCTTAATGTATTTCCTTAAATCTTCTTAACATATTATTCTTTAATTTTGCTTAGACTTCTTCTGGACTAATTGTATATTCATTAAGCATTCTAGACATTGTACTCATAATCAAATTTAAATCATCAAATTAATCTTAATACTTTTTAATATCTATAGATTGAAATTATTTTCTATTCTCTTATTCATCTTCTTCACAAATTGGATCTGATTTACTATAATGCTACAAATATTGCATACTCTAATTAAATTAATTTTCTTGAAATATCACTATGTAATTCATTTAATGATTTCAAAGCTGTCTATAATATATTTTCTTATTGATAATATTATTTCTTAAATGATTCCCAATCGAAATATTAATTATCTTTTTCAATTAGTATTGGTTATCTTTCCTAATCATCTTATTCCTTATTCATATGTAAAAATTAATTTAATTTAAAATATATCTAAAATACATATATATATATATAAAACAATTAATCAAAAGAATTATGGACTTCTCTAAAAGAATTAAGCCTATTTATTAATATTATGGCTATTTCTATTAGTATTTGAAGAATTAACAACCCTTTTTGGAGTTGAAACTCCACTTATAAATGGCATTTGATTTCTTTAACGATTTTATGGTAAAGCTGAAGAAGTAGAATTCTTACTAGTCTATAAATTTTCAAAAGATGGTTTTTATTAAAATAACTACTATTATTTGGATTCTGTTTATTATTATTCTGAATTAGATCTCATCCTTTTTAATTTAGGGGGTTAGAAAGATACTAATGAATTGTAATATTCTTCTAATGCTTTCTCAATATTGAATTTAGTTGAGCAGAATGGACAATCTATATTTCTGTTTAAACCATAAGTAATAATATATTAAAATTTAGAATCTAAACACAATTTACAAAAGTAATGTCCACACTCTCCTTTCACACCCTTCTCTTATTAAGATTAACAAAAGTAACAAAATTCTGTATTTTTTTATGCTATTGAATTATTCCTTGACAGAACTATTTAAATATCATTATTTATGGATTAATTATTAATTAATTCATTTGTTAATAATTCAGTACAAGATGGTTCTAAGCAAAAGTTAGTTTAATATAATTTAGATTTATTTAATTGATCTTTAATACATTATTCACAATGTGTATGTCCACACTTATTTGTGTATAATTAATTGATAGATTCTTTGCATTAAAGACATCTATTTTATAAAGCACTCATATCCTATAAAGGAGACAATTATAAAAATGGAAAGTCTTCTCTTTTTAGTTCTAATTAACAAAAGAAATCTTTGCATATAAATGATTATCCAAGTTTAAAATAAAATTTCAAACATTATCTACAATAAGTATGATTGCAAGTAAGAGACTTATACAATTCTCCTTAATCAAACAATCTTAAACATCCATTACATTCTTGTTTCATCTCTAAAACATAATCCAATAATGAAGATGATCTACTTCTAGATTTCTATCCTGCTTCTATTATAAATTGAGATTATTATTAAACTATTTTTAAAACTAATTCTAAATTATCACTATTTGCCAATGATATAGATGTATTCTGAGTAATAAATATAATATCTATTTTAAAAGTATTACTTAAGAGTTCTAGAATCTCTCTTTTACAAACAGATGTTGGTATTATATTATATTATGTTTGTATAAATATTTTCATTAGCTAAGATGCTTCCTCTGTATTGACTAGAGTATAAAATAAGTCAACATTTGGATTTCTTATAATTTAGTTCATTAATTCAATAGTCTTAAAGATTTTGATTCTTGAAAGGGAATATTGATTAATATTCGGTTATAGAAGTGCTATTTATTCATGTTAATTAGTTCTAATAAGAACTTCTATAATTCCACAAAATAATGCAGCCCAACAATCGTTAATCTGATGAGTATTTTTTATTCTAGAAGAATTTTTCATAAATTAATTTTATAATTAAATAATAATACTGAATTTAATAAAAAATTTGCTTATAAAGTTGAAATAATAAAACTGAGAATAAAGAATTTATCAGTTTTCTTAGATTCAATATTAATTAATAGGTTATAATTTTACAAGATAACATAAATAAATGTATGTTTTTTATTTAATAATGGAATCAACTGATTACTTCTTCTTATACTTCTTTTTATTCTTATTCTTATTATTCTTATTCTTATTATTCTTATTATTATTATTATTATTCTTCTTATTATTCTTATACTTATTATTATTATTCTTCTTCTTATTCTTCTTATTATTCTTATACTTATTAATATTCTTATATATCTTCTTATTATTATTATTATGGATATTTTACTTCAGGTGAATCAATTTCTTCCACTTATACTTACTAAACTTCAACTTTCAAATTTTCTTGAGGTTAAATTTACTATTCTATTTCATGTTTTTCTTAATTATCCTTTGATGTATCTTCTTGTTTCACTTATTCATGATGTTCAGATTAATGTTTGTGGATATCATCTTATGAACCCTTTCTACCTGGTTCTTGATGTTCTTAACCCTCATGTGCCTTCCAATATTTATTAACAGTTTGATCAGTAAGAATTTCACTAGCTTAAGGAGATGTCTTTAAGTTTTACTCTTAAAATTAAATAATTTATTCAACTAAAATAAATGAATGTTTGGATTACCAACTTTAGGACTGGTTTCAGGACTATTGATAACTTTTTCAAATTCATCAACATCTATCAACATCTCAGGTTTCTTTGAATTGACATCTTAAAATTATTCTGTTTCATCATCTTCTTTCTGATTATCCATAAAATTATCATCTGCATCATCAGCATCATGTTCTTCTGTTTCTTCTTCTACTTCCACAGTTTATTATTGATCTTATTATTAAACTTATTATTATGGATTGTTTTAAGATATTTTGATTTTAGAAAAGTTCTAAGAATATATATTAATTATAATACTCTAAACATTTCAGTCATACCATCATCATTTGTATCTATAGGAATCTTAGGTCTTGGATTAACTCCTAACATATATTGATTTTCAATATTTCTGACAGATTCAAGTACTTATTCAACATATTGATTCCATTCTTAATTCTTTTCAAATTTATTAATGAAATAATATGCCAATTTACTTAAAATACCTACATAACCTCTTCTTATTTTAGAATTCAAAGCTCCAATATTTTCCTTTTCATATCTATTATTTTTCATAATGAATGATGTAATATCTAATGATAAAAAATCATCTTGTATGCTCTCGAATTGAGGTCTATCAAATATGAAGACTGTTATTTCATAAAAGTAATTTTGCAATTGATTATTGAATTCATATTCAATAATAAATTTCATTAGAGATTAATAAATCCCTTTATGATCAAATTAACTGATTAATTCAATATTATTAATTCTTAAAATGGATAGATACAATTGTAACAATTTCAATTTCATCTAACTAAATGGCTATTATAATATTCCAAATGTAGTATTGAAAGCACCTTGAATATAAAATTGAGATTACTAATTGATATTTTTTCAGCTAACAAAGCATTTTTGAATTCTTAGGCAATTGGATAGAATAAATTATAACTAAATTAATAAGAAGGATTCTTCTCTTATTGCTACTATACATAACGATGAATGGCTTCTATTAATGTAATTAAGACAGAAACTACAGCAGCTGAACTTGAATTTAACTTAGAATATTTATGAAGATTTTACTGCTACTGCAAATAATTTTTCAGGGATATTAAGTACTGATAGAAACTATTCTGATTTATTTAGAATTTCATTAAAGATGTGACTACAATTATCAGTGATATCATTCTGATGAGTTTTATATTCGAATACTCGAATAATTCGACGTAAGAATTCACTTCTTTCTTCTTAGAAATTAGTTTGATTGTCTTATAATTCTTGATTTGTGTCTAATATAATCAATTTTTCAATAATTTCAGCAACATGGAATACATCCAAATTCTTTATTAAATTACTTAAAATTGATTTATGTTCTGGCTAAGAAAGAAATCTCCATAACTTATAAGTTTATGTATAATTAATACATCATAACCTCTTCTTCTAATGATTGCACATACTACTTTAGATAAATAACTGGCAACAGTCACATTCAAATAATCCTTATCTAAAATATCGAAAATCTTTGGTAAAAATTGTTGTCTATATTCTTCATTTAACTCATAATTTTAAATTGATTTATCTGCTTCGAATAGATAATCTATGATTGGACCATTCTCATTTCCTATTGCTTCACTAATCATGAAAGGGTATCTTATGATTTTTAACTTAAATCATTATACCTAATCTAAGTCTTTTCGTTTTATTCTTCATCCTCATTTACACACAAGTATCCTATCATCTTACTAAATGTATCTATATTCTTTGTAACACTCTAATAAATCAAAAATTATTACAAATTTCCAAATTTTATTGCTCCATTCAATTTAATTTCTTGTAAAGTGTCTTCATCAAGAATAGTCTCCAATGTACAGTTTTCTTGAGACAATAAAGGGTCTAACACTGAACTAAAACCAGCAAAGAAACGTTAAAAGCTTAAACAATACAACTTATAAAATCTTACTTGAAGAACATTATATATTATTTAATTATAATAGGAGAAAATGATTGTTTTATTTTATAAATTAATAGTTAATAATAAAAACATAATAAAATAATGCAGAAAGATGAAATCTATTTAAGAACTCCACCTATAAGAAAGCTTAATAATGGACTGACTATTTAATAAAAAATCAATCAACTTAATAATAAGAAGAGTAGTATTAAATTTTCTGAACTCACAAAAGAATAACCCTCCAATTAAAAAATATCATATCGACGACCAAGTCTTCCTCGTAAACCAGTTTAAAGAATTTAGTAAGGTATTTACTTTCTTACTTTGTTATCATAGCTATTACCATACAAAGAAATCTTTCATAAGAGCCTTAAACCCAAGGTACATACAGTGTAGTTTTTACTAATAGTGCCCCTCAAAAAAGAGATAAAAGAAAGGTCTAAACAAGTAACTGTGATTAGATTGAAGAATCTAAAAGCAGTTAAGTAAGAATCACTAAAGGATTTTATCCATCTGATATTAATAATACTAAATAAATTCTAACGAGTATTTTATAAGGAATGTAACATAAAGTTTAAGCAGAAAAAGCTATGGGTGTTATGGGTTTATAAGTAATTCCATTTAATAAATTAATGGAATAAAATACTATACTAACTTAACAGACAATCAGACAAAAAGCCTTGTCTCAAGATAAAGAAAGAGATAAATCATAATCATTTATAGAAGAAATAGAGAAGAAAATTAAATGTAAAGTCCCACAAAAAACAAAATAAAAACACTCTATTAATTTTAATAATAATAATGCAAGTCCATTACCACCAAAAATTATGGCTCCATAAAGTAGTACAACATAAATTTAAAGTAACAATTTTAAATTTTCATTAACTGAATATTCATCATTATCTAGAGAATAATTATTCTAAACAAAATTGTAAAATTATTAACATTTCTTATTTTTGGTTTCCACTTAAAGTGGATTTTATACATTACCATAAGATTGTATGATTGATTTGAGATTTAAAATAGGAAGAGGAAATAATTCTCTTTTAATTAAAGAAGTATTTAAATTAAGATGGTGGTGGAACTTTTATAAATATAGTGAATTAATTGATTCTGAAAGCAATTTTATTTGGACATAAATAAAAGTTTAAAATTATATGGATACTCAAAATGCATCAACTAATGAAATTAAATCATTAATGAGAAAGAAAATCAATCAACCTTAATCATAAACTTAAATAAAGAAGAAAATATAAATAGATCCATTGTTTAGATTAATGAATGATGATACTGATTATAAATAAATTGAAAGAAATTAAAAATCGTACTTAAAATTAATAAATCAAAAAGGATTTACAATATTAAAAGTGCATTAAAATTTAAAGGTTATTCATATATTTTATAAATTTAGATTCATAATCATATAGAAAAGAATTATCATTTAGGCAATAAAAAAGCATTATATCACAATCTTAAAAGATATTATGAATTGACTAAATAAGATTTACATTCCATAATACCTATAACATTTCATGTGTAAAAGGGGTCTAGAGATAAGGTTTATTTATAATTTCTAGAACATTATAAAAAATTGCCAAAGTATTATTATTTTACTATCTAGAGGCTCTACTTGGATTGTCAAACCTGGAGAATTTACTAATAGAGGAACAGGAATTATGGTTTGTTAAAATTTAAATGAGATAAATAAAATTATAAGTAAAAAGCAAGTTCATCAAAATGGAAAACCATTTACTTATTTAATTTAGAGATACATTGAGAAACCATTCCTATATAATAAAAGGAAATTTGATATCAGGTGTTACTTTCTTATCACCCAATTGAATAATATATTTAGAGCATATTGGTATGAAGATGGATATATCAGAACATCATCAGAAGAATTTGATCTAGATGATCCTGCAAATTTATATGTCCATTTAACAAATGATGCTATATAAAAATATGCTGATACTTATGGAAAATATGAAAATGGTAATAAATTGTCATTGTCTGAATTTCAGAGATATTTAGAGAATTAACCAAAGAAATATAATTTTTATAAAGATTTATATCCTTAATTAATAGAGATTGCCACAATCAGTATAAAATCTGTATATTGTAAATTGGCTCCACATAAAAAAGAATTTAATTTTGAAATATTTGGATTAGATTTTATGATTGATTCATAATTCAAACCATATTTAATTGAAATAAATACAAATCCATGTTTGGAAACTAGTAGTCCAGTTTTATAGAGAATAATACCTTAAATGGTTGAAAATGCTATGAGATTATCAATTGATACAATAATACCACCACCAGATGCAAATATATGGCCACCTTGTAAAAAGCATCTTATTTTTTATGATAATTTATTAGAAAATAATAAATTCTAATTGATCTTTGATGAAAGAGAAGATTCTGAAGAATTGATTAAATTATATGGTGGATTATTGTAACATGATGAAATTGATGAAATGGATGAAGAAGAAGAAGAATATTAAAGTGAAGATGAAAATGAAAAATTTGAGTAGTGATATATTTATTTTAATGATTTTTTTAAAATTAATATAACTCAAATTTTTGAGAGTCAATGATTATTAATTAAAAATACAATGTAAACAGAACAATTATTACCAGATCATATAAATGATGAAATATATCGTACATTAGAACACTTATATTTAAGACTAAATGAAATTGTTCGTAAAGCAGAAGATGTCCTTGATTTATCTTAATCTGTAAGTTTTTAAGCAACTCTCAAAAGACTCAATACTGCTTCTAAAGGAGAAAATTACTAAAAGGTTCCTAAAAATTATTTCCCTCCTCCTTCAGATTAAGAGTCATTTGAGAGAAAGTTTAAACTTCTTAGAAGATGTGGACATATATTATCAGATACTATGTTGAAAGTAAGAACCTCTTTAATTGAATTACATGATGCTACTCGTAAATAAAAATAAGACATAGTTAAAATGAAAAAGGATGAATATGCCATTAAAAATGAAAAACCTTAATATTCTTTAAATTAAATGTAGAAAAATGGAATCTAATAATAAAAGGTTCCTTAAACTATTTTATTAGATGAAGATGATGATATTATGATTTTACCAAAAATTGAATTTGTCATTGAACAACCACAATTACTCAATACATCAATTGCATCAGATCCTGTATATTATATATCTTGTACTTGTTTACTAGAAAATACACTTCAATAATAAATTCCTGAAGAACTTAAAGTATGTATTGCTATAGAATCCTTATAATATTATGATAAATTCTATTTAAATTCTAATATCATACAAGAATGCAAGGCTGCAAATAGAATATTATTATAATTAAATGGAGATTCTAATTGTATTACTAGAAATTGTATTTTTTATGAAAAAATCTATTTGAATATGATTAAATAGCCAATTGTTCAATTAAATTTTGCTAGGATTTAAAGAGGAGAACAATTCTACTTTCCTCTTTTTTCTGATATAACAGATTTATTTAATGAATAAACCTTATTTCTATATGGAATCTATTAATTTAGTAGATCAATTGGGAAAGCTTCCTGTTAAAAGGTTGGCAATATTAAGTATTTAATGAATCTATTACATACTCAATCGACATCAGGTCTTGTGATTAATGCATTCAGTTCATCTCTTGATAAAAGTCAATTTTTAATAGATTTATTGACAGCTATGATTAATCTAAATGGAAAAGAAATTGTAATTGGACTTAATAAACTTACATTTCCAGAATGTTAAAGGAATCCTAGAATTGTTTTAGTTCGATATACACATAAATTAAGTTAATAAGATAAAGAATTATTAGAATAGAATTTAAATGATGGTATTGATGGAGGATATAGAATTAATGAATCAAGTTGTAAATTAAAGAGAACTATCATTATATTTAGCAAAGAGAAATTATTCATTCCAGAAATAGGTAGAAACTTGAAGCATTGGGAAATTCCAATTGATTTTCTTAGATAATAATGTGAAGCTTATCATTATCAATATCTAATTCATTATATTGATTAAGTAGTTAAATGTAAAATTGAAGATAGATTAGCTAAATTTTTTACTGTTCTAATCACTCTTATCAATCATAAGATTAATAATATTAAAGAATTTAATCAATAAATTATAAGAGATTTTGATTATTTTATTAAGAATCGAAACTATGTTAATTACTTTAGTTTGAAGACATATCACAAAATAACTCATATTGAAAATTACTTACAAGAGTCTTTGAAATCCTAAAAATTGATTTGTTATAGCAAAGATATTATAAGATTATTAGGTATTGAAGAAGAATGAAATTAAATAATATACATATATATATATTTAAAATAAATCAAAACTTATAATCTTTCATTTTTTAAATCTATATCTGTATTTAGTAATTTGAATTAAAATGTAAAGATTCATATCTTGAAACTACTTTTATATTCCCTTAAAATATATTTTATATAAAATTATTTAAAATCTTTTATATTAAGATTTATTTCTGTAATGAACAAATTTAGATAATAGATTGCAGTCATAATGTTTCAATTATGATTATAATGTATATATTTATAGATAAATTCATTAAGAAATTCTATTAAAAATTCATCTATAAATAGAGTTGGTTATCTCATTTCTAATTAAATTTAGCTTAGAAAAACCAAAATCTATACTCTCATTTATCAATCTAAATCTAATATAATTCTTTTGTATTTTTCTTTTATTTATTCCTCAAAATTCTCATAATTCCATATTAAAAAATAAACAATTTTCATTTTTCCTTAAAAATAGACATTTGAAAATCATTAGAGCCATCAAATTTTATTCATACCCTATATTTATTTAAACACTTCTTTATTTTTATAGTCTTAAATTCTCATTTGATGTCCTAGTGAATAAAATTCTTAATTAAAATTTATTTAATAGTATAAATGATAAATAGTAATCAATATTATAATACTTAAAATAAAAATGAATTTGAATTTATTTTATTTAAAATAGACTGATTCATGCATAGAATAATGATATCACAATCTTTTCTATTAATTTCATATCTATAGTATTTTAGTATATATTAAAAGTACAATTTTCAATTGATTGAATTAATTCTGGCTATATTGGATTAATGTGATAATTCATAAAATAGAGTCTTTCTCTTTGTAATAAGTTTTGATTGTTACACATCTACCAAATATTTAATTCAATATATAAGTGTTGTCAATTTCATTAGAATTTAGAGTCTAAAATTCAGAAGATAAGGAATTCTAGATGATAAAAACTAGTGATTAAATTATATAATTAATAAATAGTAAAAATCAATTTGGTAGTGTAATAGTTTGTACTTCCACTCTAAAGTTGGGTGAGAAAATCTTGTGTTTTTTATCTTTAACTGCTCTATCAAGCATATACTTATCAATTACTAATAATCCATTAGATTCTATAAAGCCAGAGTGAAACCAAAATTAAAACATTACTTCTTTGCCCATCAATGATTTATTATAACAAATAATACGTGTATCTTTTTAAACTATTATGTCAACAGTAAATAAAATAAAACTATCATTTACAATTTGAAATTTAGTGAAAGTAGCTTAATTTTGATAATTTTGAATAACAATATAAGGATTGCATGAATTTGAGTAATTCATTGATGGTATAGTAATAAGGCGAATTTATAAAATTTAAATTTTAGGTTAAGGTACATCATGAACTGTATACCCCATTTGGAGAGCCTTCTCAAAATATAATATGTATCTGATTTGAGAAGGTATAGTAACTCCTTTATTATTTTTAGTTCTCATCATGCCATAATATCTCATTGCTTCAAAGCTACTTTTAAACAACTCTGAGAAAAGAAGATAACAACAAATCATTATTCCTGTTCTACCTTTGCCTGCTTTACAATGAATAGCAACAACATTCTATTTATCTTAGGTTACATAATTATGGATTTCAGCACATAATTCATAAATCATATGAAATTAAGGTGCTTAATGATCATCAAAGGGATATTCTGAAATATTACCATCAAAGTAAGCATGATCATATTTTCTTTCTGAACATAAATTAATAATCTTGTAATGGTTCTTATGTCTCTAATTGAAAAACCTTTGAACATCTTCCATAGAATTTCTGTAAATGGCTTCATAGTCTATTGCTGGAAACCCCATAGCAATCACTTATTCAGTGATGTCTGGAATTTAAGTTTAAAAATGTACATGTCAAATCTAAATCAAACCCATCCATAATGAATCTATTCTTCTGTTTACTAACCAAAGATTTCAAAGGATTAGTGAAGCCTCCATTATTTTCATTATTTAAGCTTTGTAAGTGTTCCTTCACCAATTTGCTTTATTCCTATAATTATTCAGATCTTCCTCTAACAATATACAATTATTGTAGACCTTAATCTGATCGAAAATCTGATAAAGAAGATAGATCGAAAACACTCTCTTAGTCCATAAAATTAAATAATCATTTTTTTATCTATAACACCGGGGACTGAGTGGGTCTGTATTGAGTACTACGTGAAGCTGACATATACACTAAAGGCTTATCATTAAGATAATTGTCATAAAAGGAAGCTCCCTGTTGACTCAAAAAACTCGGCTAAAGACCAAATGATGATTTTTCTTTTAATGAAGACTAAAGTGATAACATTTCCTCTTCAAAAATAAGTTAAATCATTAGCTCACCCACTTTAACATCATTCCAGATTTATATTATATGCATATCCTTACGTTCTTTAAGAACCTTTTGTATATCTAATCTTCCTAATCCTTTCATGACTGGATCTCCCCAATAATCCCATAGCTAAAAATCAATGAATTATGAGACTGACAAACTGAACTTGTCTCTAAAATCATTCAATCCATGTTAAAGTTTAAATGTATTGGTGAAATATTGTTCCTTACCTGATACAATCAAGAAATAATACTGACTAGGTTGTCCTATTTCATACTTGAATTGTAATATTTTTAGTTGTGTATTCATAACGATAATATATTATTTAATACATAAAATACAATCTAAACAATCTGCTTCAAATCCTGTTTAATTCATTATCCCTCTCCATACTTAAATGAACATAATAGACATTAAAATTAACAAATATACTCAATGAAACTCTATTCTAAACTAATCAAAATTAAAAATCATAGAAACAATTTGATAAAGACAAATAAAGTAACTTATAGTATAATATTACTATGAGAATATATGTTGCATTAAAAAGAATTAAATAAAAAGTATATTATGGCAGAAAATATCATTAACCTATATTAACTCAATCATTCAAATATTACAAAGTTTTACCATTCTAAATATTTAATTAGCTATTGTCATCATACTTATATATAGATATTACTTCATCTTATATTAAACAACTTACATGAAAAAAGAATTTTATTATATAATTATTATTTACTTGCTTTAGATCAGATACAATAATTGTGAAAATTTAATAATTGAATATAAACTTATAATATTAAATTTAGATTCTTATAAAGTTGATATATTATTTATTTTTCTAATTATTTTATCTTTATTCTAGAAGGATAGAAGTCTCTCTTTTTATATTTACAAAAAATCTCTCAAAAAATTAATAATATAAAATTGTATGTTCTTAATAAGAAAATTTTATCAATTATAAATACTATATATCTTAAGTTGACTTATTCTCTAATTTATTTACTAATAATTATATTTTCATAAGTCATTTAATTTGATGCTTTATACGTGTAATGAGAAAGAGATTATTTATGTTTTTATTATTATTCAATGTCATATTATTCTAAAAGATATTGGGGATAATATCTACACCAAATTAACCCTATTTCTTTTTTTTAATTGCTCTTCTTAGTAAAGATTTCATTTTTAGATTGACTATTCTGTATGCACTTTTTCCATTATTTCATATTCTTTTGTCTTCAACTAAGTAGAAATGCAATAGATATTGTCATCTTCTCCAAATAAATATTCAATTTATAAAGAACCTGAACTTGACAAAGAAGCCAAAAATAATTTAAGTATGAGAACAATTAACAAATGCAATTTATTTTATATATATTTATTATTCAAGCTAACAAACATAGACTAAATTTAGATCCTGGTTTGATGACATAAGTTTTTGATTCACCAGTTTCTATAGCTATGATAGGTACTTAGTCTTTTAAAGCTGTAGCACAATCTGCTATATTTTTAACATATTGGCTTAATTGAGGATTCAATGATTTATTAGCTAAAGGGAATCCAAATTAATCAACAATCAATGCTCCTTAAACACCATCTTACATAATGAGATCAATTTGTTATAGTAATTGCTTATCCATTTAATTTATTAATGATATTAAATTGTATTATATAAATCATATATCTATCATAAATCTTTAATATTGGTAAGATATTCAACACCTGGTAATATCTTTCCTTCCAATAATTCTAATGAAGCACCTCCACCAGTTGATACATGACTTAGTTTATCATTAGCCTTATTAGCTCCAACAAGATTAACAGTGTCACCACCTCCAACAATAGTTGTAGCACCATTTGAAGTCTATTTAACCAAAGCATTCAACATACTAACTGAACCATTCTTGAATTATTCAATTTCAAATGCTCCTTATGGTCCATTCCATACAACTAAAATTAAAATCTACAAAATATAAACTTGTTTTAGCTCTTCCAATAGCTTCAGCATTTTCTCTTTATGTTAATTATCCTGCATCTAAACCTAACCATCCATCTGGTATTCCTGATTTAAGATCATGTAATGAAACAGGACTAGATGCATCTAATCCTGTACCACAAATGAAATCTACTGGTAAATGAATTTTCACATTCTTTTCTTTAGCTTTAGTAAGAATTTCATCAACAATTTTATATCCTTCTTCATCAAAGAGGGATTTTCCAATTGGAACATTATGAATTTTTTTAAGGAATGTAAATGCCATACCTCCCCCAATAATCATTTCATCTACTTTATCAAGCATAGATTTAATTAACTGGATTTTATCAGCAACTTTAGCACCTCCTAAAATAACAAGGAATGGTCTTTAAGGTGTTTCTAAGGCTTTAGCAAAATAATCAAGTTCTTTCTTCATTAAATAACCAGCAACTCTAATTTTATGATCTATTCCAACCATAGATGAATGAGCTCTATGTGCAGTACCAAATGCATCATTAACATAAATATCTCCTAAAGAAGATAATTCTTTTCTGAATTTCTTAACACTTTCTTTATCTGCTTTAATCTTTGCTCCATTTGCATCTACACCTTTTCCTTCTTCTTATATATGGAATCTAAGATTTTCTAATAAATTAATTTATCCATTTCCAGCATTTGTAGCTTCAGCTGCTTCTGAACCTACACAATCATTAACAAAGTTAACTTTAGTGCCTAATAATTCTTCCAACTTAGGAACAACTATTTTGAGAGAGTCTTTATCAACTCTAAAATATATTAATATTATTATTTATTACCTCTTTCCATCTGGTCTTCCCATGTGTGACATTAATGTAACATTCTTTGGATTCTATTCTAATATCTTTTTGATTGTTGGAATAGCACCTTATATTCTAGTAGCATTCTTCACTTTGCCTTCTTTAATAGGCACATTGAAATCTACTCTTATTAATACTCTCTTATTAGCAAATTAACGTAACACATGATCAACACCAGCCTTAGAACTCAACATTAAAGATTAATATATTTATCTATAAAAGATATTTGGACTCTTAAGTTTATAAATTAAATTTGTTAATACTATTATACACATTTAGTTATCATAGGATTGTTTAGTATAAATCTGAATCATTGAAATATATAGCAATAGCAATGATAATAATCTAGAAACAGTTTATCTAAATTAATATGCCATTTAATTCAAGCTAAAATGATTCATATAAATTGTAGTTGTGAGAATGACAAAACATATATTATTACTATTTATGTTATATTTTTTTTATTATAATCTCATTCTCTTTAAATTATCTTTTCTAACTTTTGAATTAATTGTTTCTCTTTCTTTATTTTACTCTCTAATTATTTAATTGCATTTTATGTTATGTAAAGTTTAGATTATCTTACTTCTAATACAGCTTTCAAAAAGCTGAGCATTGAGCTTGCAGCTATTGATTATGCAGCTGCTTATTATTATTCAATACTATCAACCTATTATAGTTACTAGAATTATTTATCATTTATGTTATTAATGTCCAAAGTTAGAATTTATTCTATAAAATTTTAACGACCTAGATATTTTTAGCATTCCTTCCAGCTATCTTTTTATATTTTAAAAGATGGATCCAAAATCATGCAAATTAGATTCATTATCCTTTCAATTAATTCTGTAGGTCTAGCTAAGGATTTCAACTCAACAATGTGTGCTTTATTGAGTTATTATAATCCATTTAATGCTGTATTCAATAATTATTGGTAATTTTAATCTTTTGCTATTTCTTCTGCACTTTAGATCTTCAATTATAATTCATTTTATTGATCATTTATTAATTATTAAACAATATTTATTTATTTAGGAAGCATTAATTTTACAACTTGATTTGCTCTTGAGCTAATTAATCTAAATTATAATAATTATTTAGTATCTAAGAATATTAATATTTAATGAAAAACTTCAGGTCTCACTTAATATAGCATGTTATGTTTGGTTGAAGTTGGATTGTTCAAATTATTTTATAAATGATAGATTTCATTAAAATTAATGTATAAATTCTCTATCCTTAATTCTTACTATTTTCCTTTGGTTTGTAAATTGTTTAGCTCATTTTATAATGTTTGTAACATTTAATTTATTTTAAATAATAAAAGGTTTATATAAGTTATTTATAAACTAATTTTTATATATTGAATTTAATAAAAAAAATCTTATTACTTAATGATTAAAACAAATACATTTTTTATTTTTGAAGAGTAATTATGTAAATGATAACACAAATTATTACTTTATTGATCTGGAGATGTCTTTTAAAGATGATTATTTTATAAAAAATTGATGATACAAGATAAAATTAGAATGTGATAAAATCTAAATATATTATTGGCTTAACACTTTAAATAATCTATATTTTATTTATAAACTAGATTATGATTAATTTTTTAATTTATAGTATTTTTATTTTTGTTTATCATTAATATATCTTGAATTAGGAATATTTATAACCTTTTATAATCTTTAATGATAATAGAGAATATGAATAAAAATATAATAATATGTAATTTCATTATATATCAATTAAATTATGATTAGAGAATGCTAAGACTTAATTCAAATTCAGAATTTATTTATCCTAAAATAAAAGTTGATATATTACTAATTTATGTAATATTTCATAGTGCACTAATAATTAAAATGTAGAGAAATAGCACTTATTATAATTCTTTAGTTTTATTAATTGTACAATTATGCCAATTTATATGTATCTTGAATTGTTAATAATTTCATCATATAATCCATCATCAAAACCTATAGTATTTATCAAGAAACCAAAGAAATTTATTATAATAATGCTCATCTTAGTGTATTCCACAGTATTTGTAATTATTTTGATAGAATAAAATTTGTTACAATATTTCATTATTAATAAAGATTTAATATAATCTATAATTAACTTGAAAAATCAATATTTTAAATTTTAAACTAGAGTTTATAAAGATAATCAAGTACTTCAAATATGAATAGGATATTTTTAAGTTTTTAATTAATTATAAATTATTTTAGACATATTTTTGGTTTGATTCTTAAACTATATATAAATAAAAAATAGAAAAATAGAGAGAGGATTATAAAATAAATGTGATACAAAAGAGAATAATATTCTAATTGAAAAGGATTTGATAATTTTTAATAGTAGTTGATATTTTGATATATAATAATTAAATTAATTAATTCAAATGTCAGCTTCTCCGTTGATTAAAGTGGCTAGTTCAGCCTTTACAAACGGATCAGCATTGACATTTAAAAAAAAGAAGTCATCTAATTCTTAAACACAAAACTTTATTGTTGCAAGCTCTCCACTCAAATCTACAGATGAGAATGAGCAATCACCTTCAAAAATTATTAACATATATTCAGATAGTGGATTATTTAATGTTGGAAATTCTTACTCAACTGTTAAAAATGCTCCTATTATCGAAGAAGAGAAAACACATAAAACTTATACATATAGTTAAATGCCTCCTGAAGAAGCAGAGAAAGCTTATTGCGAAAGATAAAAAGTTATTAAAGAATAAATTAAGAGGACAAAAAATAGTGGGAAATTTAAACCAAAAAAGAGAATAGATTCAAGCAAGCCTACTTTGAAAAGTGCATTAAAGAAATAACAATTAGATTATTCAACTGCTTAATCTTAATAAATAGATATATCTAGAACATCTTAGACTTTTAGAAGAAAATCAATAGATTAACCAATTCAAACTGTTCCTAAGCCTCATCCTAAAGTAAGCAAAATAATTGAAAATAATAATACAAATAAATAATCTTAAGTAAATCCTACAAATTCAAATATCTTATAGCAATCTTTCCATTAATAATTATAAAGTAAAAAGTAATAATTATTGAATGAGATTGCTTAATTAGATAAGGAAATTGTAAAAGAAAAAGAGAAAAAAAAATAATCTCTTGTACAATCAATTAATATTTCCCCAAGAGTTTAGTAAATAAAATAAAGTAATTGTTTAAAAGATGATCTGAAATCAACATATGAAAAGAGATAATAAATGAAAAAAGTTGCAGATAAAGAGAAGTAACGTAAAGAGATGGAATAATGCACATTCAAACCATAAATTAGTAGTAATACAAGTAGAAAATTGAATACTTCTTAAAGTTCAAAGTTTACTCCATTAACTTCACCAAAATAAGCTTCTGCTACTCGTCCTGTTAAAATACCTACTAGATCTTAATCTTAAGAAGAAAAGAATGTCAAGAAGGATGGATTGCAAAATTCAAAGGAGGATTTAAATTGTAAGAAATTGTATTAAAATTAGAGCGACTACAAAGAATGAATGAGAAATATAATATGATATTAGAACAATCAAACAAAATCAAAAACCAATTAAAACAAATCTGAATATTTTTTAATTAATATTTATATGTATATCAATAATTATTAAACTATATTATTGTAAACTTAAAGTGTTATGTTATAAGAATCAAAATAAAATTAGAAATGTTAGTTTAATTGAATGATAAAATAAAATATCAAATGTAGAAAAGATTTAATTAAATTTATGAATAAATTATATCTAATCTAAGATATTAATTAAAATATCCTTTTTATGGTTTATCTTAAATAATTGAATAAATCTGAATAATTTATATAAATAAGATCAAAAAGTTTAGATATCTTTTATAAAGATTTCTTTTATATTAATAAATACAAATTCATAAATTAAGTTAACATAAAAATATGAAATATCTTATATTTATAGAATATTCTTATAATATATTTATTATGTATCTTTTGAAGAATGAAGTTTTCATATTTGATCTGTATTATTTGTGTATTTTAATAAAAGTATTATAGATAATATTCGTTAAATTCAAAATTTAAACATGAACTAACAAAGATGTCCCAATAAGTAACACAATTTATACAGGCATCAAGCAATTAGATATAAAGATGACACTATCATAGATTCCACCCATACAAAATCATAAACTTCAGATTAGAGTATTGAATTGTGAATAATTTGAGAAATGTCAAAAATCTCTGAAATCAAAGTTGTAAATGATTTTTCAGTGGATTCATAATGTTTAGATCGTAGTAGTATATTAGAACACTCATTAGAAAATGATTTGCGTTAATGGCAATAAGCTTATAAGATAGATAATTTGATTGTCTAAAAATTAGAAAAAGGTTCAATTTATGAATATGGTTAGATATAAAGGATATTGACAATTAAATAATTTAGATAGCAACATAATTTGATGTATGTATGAATTTACAGTAAAAAACAGAAGCAAAATTTAAAGAGTTTTAACAACTAATGAAAGGTACTTAATTCATCAAGTTTTCTCGTTCTAATTGTAAGAAATGGGATTAAAGAACTATATTTTATTGTTCATTTTTAGATTCTATTTGTTGGAAATCAAAAACTTCTAAATTTCCATCAGCCAAATAAACTATTCCCATAGATTAAATAATATAGATTCATACAAATTACAATAAGTAATAATATATATTTAATTTAGATATAAATTGATAAAGAAGAATTTTATTCTTCCACAAAATGCTGAATAAGATTGTTTTTTAGCAATTGAAGCTAAAAATGGAATTAGATTAGAATTATTAGCAGAAAATAAAGAGGATTAATTATTATATGCTAGAATTTTAAATTTATTGATAAATAAAGAAAAAAGTGTTAAAAACTAAAATTAATAATATATAATTGAACAATATAGTGTGGATATTAATTTAATTAGAAAAGTATTATTTATTAATAAATGAATCTAGAATTTGGAAGGATCTAAAAAGAACTTTTTAGAAACAATAGATAAATTATAATAAAGTTTTATTTCAACTACTTCAACACTTTTGAAATAAGAGAGAGAGAAAACTAAAACAATTAAAAAAAAATCTTAACATTATGTATTTTAAAGTAAATTATAATTGGAAGATATGAATAAAGAAAATAAAATATAAAAGAAATAAATAAAAGAATTACAATTAGAAAATGATTATTTAGAAAGTAGAATAGAATAATTATAAGAATATTACACTTAAAGATAATTATAAATTAAGAATTCAACTAATCCTTAATAAGTTCAATTATATCAAATAATAAAAGATATAATAGGAATGAATGGAGATTAAAGTATTCATAATGAATCATAATATGAATATCAACCATAAGATTATCATGAAGAAAATATTAAAAATTTATAAAAGCTTTCAACTCTCTATGATCGATAATAGAGTACTGAAATAGAATTAAGATCATATCTTAAAGAATTGTAAGAAGAGAAATCATAAATAGCCAATTAATTATAATAATCATAATTTGATATACATGAATAAGAAATGTACATTATTGAATTAGAAAACATAAATAATCTATTATAAACTAAATTATAAGATGTGAATTAAGTTTTAGAATTTAAAGAATAACAATTTTCTAATTTAGTATAAGATATGTAAAAATTATAACAAGAAATTCCAAAATTAATTAGTAATAATAATTAATAATCTATTAATACTGAAACAAGAAGACTCTAAACTGAAAATGATAAATTAAAAGATACTATTCAAAATAAAATAAAAGAATTAAAAAAGTATATATTATTAATCATTATTCTAGTTAAATGATAAAAGAAGAATAAAATTGGATGAATTTCTTTGTATAAATAATATCTTATATTTGTTATTACATTGCTCCAGATGATTTATCATCTGATATTAATATTACTATATAAGGATTATATTATAAGTTGTGTGATAAGGCTTATGGAGAGTCATAAACTTAATTAGATAATTTGATCAATTTAATTAAATAAAAGGCAAACTTCTTTTAAAAACAATATAAAGAATAATTTGAATAAATGTTTAAGGATTAATAAGCTATATTATGTAGTTTAGCATCAAGTATTATTATCAATTATAATTATAGGATTGCCTTCTCCTAAAACTACAAATTCTAGATAATCATCTCATTAAACTTTACAATTAGATAAAACTTTTTAGTCTCCAAGCAGAGTTTTTATTAAAAATAAGGCTAAATTGACTAAAGATAATCATCCTTTAGATTCCAATTAAATATAATATTTGACTTAATTAATTAAATGAATTAATTCTATATAAATATATCATCTTAAAAACTGTTCAAGTAAATTTTATGGAATTGGTATACCGCATTAATATTCAAATCCTGCTTGATGAAGTAATGCAACACAGGGATATATAGGTCCTTTTTTAAGTTACTCTGAACATAAAGCTTTTCCTAAAAAATTGCCATTGTATGAAAATGCCAGTACTCCTCTATTCATATCTAGTAAAACTCCTACTTCTCCAGTATTTATAAATTTAACACCATATTCAAATCCCTAAATATTGAATTATTAATATTACATTAGAATTACTTCCATTTCTAAATTAACCAACTGTATAGAAGGCATATCCGAAATTGTAATCAGAAAAAGCTGTTTTTAGATCATATTTATCAGAAGTCGAAATTCCTATTTTCATTTCATTTTTTGTGATTGCTAATGGAATAATTTTCCAGAAATAAATTCCATTATATAATCCAACATTACTAGTCACAGTTTTAAATGTATATTCTTCTTCATTTAATAAAATTTATGATTAATTTATTTGTATTCCTTAACCAAATCTATTAAATGTAAATTGTGTAACTCCAATACCAAATTAAGATAATCCTATCTATTGAATTGACTATTAATTTTTAATAGATTAATGATATTCTATATTAATTATTTCTTTTCTAATATTAGAATAGTCTTATTATTCAAATAAAGGTACTATTTTAATAAAAAATTAGCATTCTAAACTACATACCTATTCAATTTTGAACATTTAATTGATATTTTAATGACAATTATCAAAGTTTAGACATTTTTCTTTTAAAAATATTGGTTATTTTAATTATTCTAATACTGGAGGATCTGGAGGAGGTTTATCAATTTTCTTTTATAGTATTAATTAAGATTTAGAGAGAATTTCTTCATAAGCTTCTTTCAAAGGTGATTATTCAATAGGTTTAAATTTTTAGGATTGGCAATAAACACATTCATAGTTTTAACCAAATATTTCTTGGAGACACTATTTACAATACATAAGTCCACACTTTTCACATATTTAAGCTGAAATGGCAATTTTTATACAAAGGGAACATTCAAAACCTGTTTCAGTCATTTTGTTGAATTATTTATTTAAATTAGAATATTAATATAATAAAAATTTATAATTATAATTTTCTTAATAAATATACAAAGTCACATTTATCTCATAAAAACACTTTAATTCGAACTACCTATATTTTTGAATTATCCTTCAAAAGTTAATCTATCCATATTTTATTAGATTTCTAATTCTTTTTTGATTTTTTGATATTTTAGAGCAATCTAAATTATTAATAAGATATAATTATACTTTTCGAGATTGATTCCATATTAGAGAGCATTTATTTCATTTTTATGTCTCATTCTCAATTATTTTAATTAAGTATTTATTTTATTAGTACTTTCTATTAAATATTTTTAATAATCAACATCTTCAATTTAAATTCTCTATTTTTTAATTTTCAAAAACTCAATATAACAAAAAAAAATGAATACTTCTTTTATTTGGCCAAATATTCTTCTCTTTTTTTGAGATTAAGGATGTCATAAGATTCTTTAGGCTTTTAGGGGAGAGTTCTTTCTAATTCCTCATAAACTTTTGTTTAATAATTCATACTCTACAGTTGAAGCTTCATCAGTAAATTTTTACATCTTCTCATCCCAAAATTAGTTGAATTAATTAAATTCTTCAAAATGAGCTCTTTCAATTTCTTATTCTTATTGATAATGTGATTATTGCATTTCTTTTCTCCTTCTTGAAACCAATTATTTTTTGAGTGGCATTTGCTCACATATATTTTGAAGATTTCTCACAAGTATTCTGAAATTGTAAAAGTGTCTTAATATATTATTCAATTTCATTAGCAGTATTAAGATTATTTTCATTAAGGAATAGATTTTGAGACATTAATACTTTGAGATATTTTAGAATTAATTTTCATTTTTATAAGAATATAATTATACAAGTAATATAGTCCCTTGCTAAACTGTTCTTCAAATAAGTATAAAACTAATACTCTTCTCCATGCTTAAGTTGCTTCAATTACAACACATTCAGCTTCTTGGTCAGGTTCATCTTTTTCCAAAAATGGAATCACAACAGTCATCACCTAATTGATTCCTTATTTACCTCTTCATTACTCATATATTCCCACACTCCATCTAATGCAATAATAATAAATTGATCCTATGCACTAATAGAGAATTATTAGATTTCAGGTTCAGCAATAACTCCAGCTTAAGCACCAACTTTATTACCGAAAGACCTAGTCATAGTCAATCCAGGAGCTTAGATATAAGACAAAAAAACTCTATATGGTCCTATCCCATTTCCATGATAATCTACTGATAACAATAGAGTCACAACCCTTTTATTATTCAACTCTTCCATCTGCATCCAAAATCCTTTTTTTTTCTTATGGATCATCTTGTTTATGATCTCTACTCAATTCTGTTACTGTCCATCCATTATCAAATTTACACATAATAGCTCTAGAATCACCAACATTTGCAGAGTATATCTATTTTATTTTATAATATACAATATCTTTTATAATAAGTAAAGATAAAGTTGTTGATCCAGATAAGTTTGTATCAATTTCTGAATAACATAATTCTTTGTTTGTTATTTCAAAAGCTTTTAAAATTTGATTCTCTATATAACCTAACTCTTTCAAATATTATCCTAGATGTTTTGGCAATTATTATTTAATCTAATTGGAAACCATATGACCATATTATCCATGTTCATCACATACAGCAAAGAATTTATAACCCATACTACTGATAAAAATATTTTAAACTTTTCTAAATTCTTTGGACACAAAATAGAAGTATCTTAATTTATTTTTGTCACTTTATTAGATTAACAACCTGCCTTAGTTCTCATTGCAAATTAAACTTAATTTCTTATTTCTTATTTCCTCTCTGGTATTGTATATTTATATTTTTTAATTCCCTTAGTTTCTGGTATTTGTTTCGTCTTAAGCGAATATTTGTTTTTTAATTGTAAAGAGAGCAATTAGTTCACTCATCCCATATAAACCATTTCTTTTTATTCTATCTTATTGAAGTTTTTTCAAAAGAGGCACTTCTCTATTATAAACCAATTCTTTATATTCTATATGACTGATATTTTTCAAAGGAGGCAAAAAAGGCAATGATAAATTCCCTTAATACTTACTGCTAGTAGTTCCTATATCCATATTCTAAGGATATCTTGGTATTTATCTCTCTCTCTTTTTGGAGTATACAACAATCCTAAAGGCATCTGATACTTTTATCTATATTATCTTTATCTTTCTAAAGAAGACTATTAAGGGAACATTATAATATTAATTAATTTTTACAATCGTTATATTGTTATGCCAGCTGAATGTGTGAAGGTTATAGTTAGAGTCAGACCTTTTAATCAAAAGGAAAGAGACAATGGTAGTAAGCCATGTGTAAATGTTAATGAAAGTACAAATTCTGTAGAACTCTTTAGAGTATTAATGCAAAATTTATTGTATTACTAGAATTAAGATAATGATCAAAAATAATTTACATATGATTATGTATTTGGACCAGATACACCTCAACTTTAAATATATTAATAGACTGCATTTAATTTAGTAGAGTCTGTTGCTGAAGGGTACAACGGAACAATCTTTGCTTATGGTTAAACTGGTATACAATATGTATTATCATTTAGGTTGTGGAAAGACATTTACTATGATTGGAGATCCATAAAATGTATATTCAATTACATAAATCTTAGGATAACATTAAAGGAATTATACCAAGAACATTTGAATAGATAATCAATATTATCAATAATAATTCTGATTCAAATAAGAAATTCTTATTGAGATGCTCGTATATTGAAATTTATAATGAAGAAATACACGATTTATTGAGTAAAGATGTTAAATAAAGATATGAATTAAAAGAAGGATAATAAGGAGTTTATGTGAAGGATTTGAATATTCCTATTGTGAAAACATTGTAAGAGATGGACAAATATATGGCATTAGGAGCATAGAATAGATCAGTTGGAGCTACAGCAATGAATAAGGAATCAAGTAGAAGTCATTGTATTTTTACAGTTTATATTGAATGTTCAATGAGTGATGAAAAAGGAAATGAACGTATTACTGCTGGAAAATTAAACTTAGTAGATTTGGCAGGAAGTGAAAGATAATCTAAAACTTAAGCTACAGGAGATAGATTAAAAGAAGCAACTAAAATTAATTTATCATTATCTGCATTAGGAAATGTGATTTCAGCATTAGTAGATGGTAAAACATAACATATTCCATACAGGGATTCTAAATTAACAAGATTATTGTAGGATTCATTAGGTGGTAATACTAAGACTATAATGATTACTGCCATTTCTCCATCTGATTTTAATTATGATGAAACATTATCAAGTTTAAGATATGCATCTAGAGCCAAGATGATTAAAAATTAACCAAAAGTAAATGAAGATCCTAAAGATGCTTTGTTAAAAGAATAAGCTGAAGAAATTAAGAAACTTAGAGAATTATTAATGAAATAAAATTAAGACAATGGAGATCGTTAATAGAATGTTGATAATAATGGAAAATTAAATAATTTTAATAATAATCATAATGAATAAATAAATTAATTCAAAGAGATTAATAATTAATTATTATAGGAGAAATAAAGATATGAAAATGAAATGAAATAAAAAAGTGAATAAGCTGAATAAGAGAGATTAGCTAGATAGAGATTAGAAGAATTATTAAAAGAGAAGGAATAAATGATGATTAAAGGTGGTAAGGGAACAGATGATGATAAAAATAAATATAAGAAAATGTAATAAGCTATAGAATAATAAAAAAAGGAACATGAATAATTGAAAATTCAATAAGAATAAAAAGAAAAGGAAATGCTTGAAATTGAAAATAAATATAATAATGTATAAGATGAAGTAGAAAAATTAAGAAAATTAGTTAAATATTTAAAAAATAAATATGAATAGTAATAATAAGAATAAAATGAAATGAAATAAGATTTTGAATATGATAAAGAAGAGTTTTTAGATACTATTAGATCATAATCAAAAGAAATTAAATTATATTCTGGAATTTTGAGAATGATTCTATTACAAGAAGATATAGATAAAATTACTAATAGTTGTGAATGGGATGATGATTCATAAGAATATAAAATACCTCCATTTAACATTAAAGCAAAAAAAGTCAACTTTCCAAATCTACCTTATTAAAAAGCTATGGATTTAATTGATGTAGAAAAATAAGATAGACATGTTGAAATACATTAAAGAGCATTACCATCAAGTTATAGAGATGTAGAAAACACTAGAATTGTATCACCTGGTAGATAGAGGAAAGGTATTAATATAAATTAAAATTAGGGGAATCATAACCCAGAATGAATGGAAACACTGATAATAAGGGAATGAGTATTGTAGAAAAAACTAAATTAAATTAATAACTTTTAGAACTTTATGAAGGAAAAAACAATAGAAATTAAAAAGATGAATTATAATAATAATAGAGGAGAACTAATTAAAAGATTATTTTGAATCCAATTGATAATAGAGGTAGTACAGTTCCAAATTTTAACAATTAATGTGAGGCAATAAATATCAATAATAATTAAAATAATAATTAAAATGCATCTTAAATTACTCCACCTTTAATTAAAAAAAGTAATTAGATTAATATTTTATTAAAGTTTCAAATTTAAACCCATTAGAATAAAAACCACCTACAGGAAGATAGATTTAGCAACAAAAACTGTGATAATAATACTGAATATATATATATATATAAATCAAATCATTCTTAATAAATATGGGCTCCTAATTACCAAACTTACAAAATATTATTATCTTCAACACTAGAAATGATATATTTTTCATTAAGATTCCAATCTAAATCAGAAACCTTAGATCTGTGTCCTCCATGAACAAACTATATTTTATTAATTTTAATATTACCAATAATTCAGGTGGTCCATCTTATGCTTCTTCTGGTGTTTATGATCTTCCACATCTACCAAAATCCCAAATCATACATCTTCTATCTGCTGAACTACTAACAAATATTTTCATATTATGTGGTGACCATTTCAAAGATAAGATTTAATCACCATGACTTTCAAATGTATGAAGTGGTTTTTCAGTATTTCTCATATCAAATAGATTAATTCTTTTGTCTTCTGATCCAGTAATAAAAAAGTATTCATTAAAATGATTAAAATCTAAACAATAAATATCACCTGCATGTGTTTAAATATCACTTAATGGTTATGGTTTACGAGTATCCCAACTATTTTTTAATAATTATTATTATTACATTCTCACATGTCTATCATCTCCACATGAACCAAATATATCTGGATGATATCTATGCCAACATACATCTTCAATTTATAAATTATTTGCTTAAAATGTTTATTTTGGTTCCGATGCATTAGTTTCAACATCCCAAATACATAATTTACCATCATAATCTCCTGTTAACAAATGTCCTAATTTCTATTCACTCCAAGACATACCAAATCTATAATAAATTTGATATATTATATACCCTTCTTTTTAATGTCCTATTAATTTCAAATCAGGTTTGACTAAATTGTTGGATGGCTATGATGGATGCTTTATATAATCAAATATATGAATTTCTCCTTTAGGTGTGAAAGTGGCAATTATATTTGATTTTTATGGCATGTACCTTGCTCTATTTACTTCTCCTTCATGGTTTATTCTTACATCAATTTCTATTCTACTCTCCCCAGTTGCTTTACCTATACCACTTGGTTCATTCTATTTATATTCTGAAGGGTCTTATTATACATCAGAATCTCTTGGCAAACGTACCTTAAATATTTATTAGTTTTCTGTACTTTAGCAATCATCAATGAATTCATCTCATTATCCCCAGTATTTGTTCCAATTATCAATTTATGAATTGAATAATCTTAACCAGGTGGTGTTTCCTTTTTTGGAAGCCATTATACAGTCAAAGAGGGCCACTCAACTGGATGACTAATTGCTAAATCATATAGAAATGGAGCATTCTTTTTCCAAATTTTATATTCTTCATTAATTGTAGCTTCTTATGATTATTCATCAAATATCTAATCTTAATTTGCTGCCATTTTGGCTCCAAAAATTAAATTAATAAACTTTCATTATAAAAATCAACTAATATTATCTTCTTCATCTACCTCCTATAATTCATTTAGTATCTTTTAATATTCCATTTTAGTATCATACCAAATTACTCCATTTGATGGTAAATCTCTAACACTTGGTGATAACATCTCTATACAATTGTCAAAATCTCCAAAGATTTATTATAAATTCTGAATTATCTTACTCTTTCTAAATCCATGATTCTTATTACAAAATTCTATTGTAGTCATTCCATTCATTGCCAAATACCAAGTCCAACCTGAAAATGCTGATGCCATTATACATAAAGAAATATTTAGTGGTTAAATTACTGAAAATGCTTTTGATTATAGAACTCTATACTCTTCAAATTAATTACTAAATTTCCATTTAAATTTATACCTCATAACTATATTTAAATTTAAAATTGAAACGAAAAATGTTCCTATCATCAGATGAGTTATGAATAAAATAAAGAATCGATGATTCTAGTATCCAACACATTATCCAATCCAAGGACAATGATGATCCATTTTTAATACACATTTATTACATATACTACAATGATGTGTTCTCTAAGGTTTTGGTAAACAACATTTATCACAATATTTCAAAGTACTTTGATCCAATTTTATAGCTTATTATGTTTTATTGAATTAAGATTTAATTGGATCATAAATGAATGGATTTTCCTTTTTATCAATAGTTTTAGTAAATATTTAAGATGTCAATCCTGGAGATATTATTATTGCTAAACTATAATTGAAAATCACATTAAATGCTAAATTATCAAACTATTTACCTTCAATTAACCCGATTAACATTAATATACTAATGAGTAACTTATTACTGTAAACCAAATAGTATAATAGTAAAGTGTCATATATGAATGAATAAACATTAAAATAATATATAACCATAAAGAATCCTATTAATAGAATCCCCATAAATCTCATAAGATAATTGAAAACCATGCTTATTGAACTTATCACACTCTAATTTAGCATTTTCATATTTAATATTATTTTCATATTTGATATTATTTTAATATTTAATATAAATTGTATTTTATTGTAAAGAATGATTAATTTGTAAAGTTAAAGAAATAACTATTGTTCTTATATATAATATGTACAAGTTTAAAATAAATTTACAAAAAATTTATATTATATTCTCAAATTACTAATTAGATTGTCTAAAATAAATTCTTCTAAATCTTTTATCATAATTACCATAGGATTTAGTCTATCTTTTTTAATATTTTTGGATTCATAAACTTAAATAAATTAGAGAGAATAATTCTTAGATTTTAGAATTATTAGGGATAATAATAAACAAATTTAATAATATAATTTTATTTAAAAATTTTTAATTAACAGATATGCTATTTTGTTAAGAAGGTGATCACCAATAATCTGAAATAATAGGTGTTTGCTTAAATAATGTATGTTCTAAATAAGGATTGTGTTGTTTTTATTGCTTTAAAATGTTTCATCTAAATCACATACATGATATAATGAATTTCAAGGATTTTATTAATTGGAAAAAAAGAAAAGAATAGACTTTTAATATATTCAAAGAAAATATTAATTAATTATAATAATGTACAAAGTTGTTATCAGATTTCATAAGTGAAATAGTGATAATTGATGAATAAGTTGAAAATTAGAGTTATTAGAATCTAACTAAGGAAATAAAACACTTAATTATAATAGATTAATTAGAAAAATCAATTATGAATAAATTATCTGAACTTGCTTCTTTGATTCCTCCACTTAAATTAGAAATATAATAATTAAAATCTTCAAGAGGTATTTATATATTTTAAAAAGGTTAATACTAAATAAAGAATGAATCATTTTCAGGATCTATTGATTGTATATCTCAATAAGGTTATTCTGAAGAAAGAATAATATAAATTGATTCCATAGTGATTCCTATTTAAAAATAATAATTAAACTTTACATTCTCAAATAAAAATAAGCATGAAGATATTTTAATTAGTTATCAAGGTAAAGAAGCAAAAAGTTCATCTATTTTCATATAAACAAGATATGTTATTTGTAATGAATTGATAACAGAAAATTCATTTGCTAGAATCAAAGTTTAATGTGGTGAATCTGTATCAATTGGTGTTTGTTTATAAAATATAACTTTTCAATAAATGAAACCTTATGAAGCAATTTTAGATGGGTATATTTAATTTTTCATATATCAAGTGCATATATTTTAAATAATGAAGGAGTTATAACAACATATCCAAAAGACCTTAAGTATTCTGAGTAAAAATTTTGTGGAATTGGTTTTGGTGATATTATTATTGTAGAAGTAAATATGAGAGATAAAAAAATAACATGGATTAATAAAACAGCAAAAAACAAAATATTTGTATTTTTTATTTTTTTTTATTAGAATTTAATTATAAATGAAAATGTTTAGGGACTATATTTTATTTTTGGTTTAACAAGTAATGTATTTGACAGTTCTTTTTTGAAAATCATATGAAATTATTTTTCATTTATTTCAATAAATTATACTATGTTATTAAGCTTAATAAAATTTAATTCAATTTTCATATTATTTTATAATGTAAATTTTATTATTAATTATTATTAATGGGAAATCAATGTACTGCAATAGATCATTGTTCAAAAGCAGAAGTTATTTTTGATACTACAAATAATGAATTATATACAGAAAATATTGAATTAACAGATAGACCATCAGAAGACTTTGTTTAATCTGTAAGAATGAGCTATAGACCCTAACAATCAATCCCAATATAGAAATATTAGGGTCCAATTGAAATTGAAGATAAAATAGAAGAACGACCAACTTATTAGTTTCCAGATGGAGTTCTCTATACTGGATAATGGAAAGGAACAATACGAGAAGGTCATGGAATACAAGAATGTATAAAGATTATAAAATTTTAAAAGGGCCAGATGGAGCAAGGTATGAAGGACAATTTCACAATAATGTACCTCATGGTAGAGGGAAATTTACTCATGCTGATGGAGATATTTATGAAGGAGAATGGAATCAAGGATAAGCAGAGGGATTTGGAACTTTTTATTATAAACTGAATGGAAAGTATGAAGGAGAATGGAAAGAAGATGTATAACATGGATTTGGGAAATAAGAGTGGCCAGATGGATCAAGATATGAAGGTAATTATGTAAATGGAATGAAACATGGGGAAGGAAATTATTATTGGGCTGATGGAACTTCATATTAAGGGGAATGGGCATAGAATTAATTCAATGGTTAAGGAGCATATATATGGGCTAATGGAAGATAGTATGAAGGATAATTTCTTAATGGTTTTATGCATGGATATGGAGAATACAAATGGCCAGATGGGAAATCATATTAAGGAGAGTTTAAGAATGATAAGAAGGATGGTTTTGGAGTATATACTTGGGCAGATGGTAAGAGATATGAAGGAAGCTTTGCAGAAGGATTATAGAATGGAAGAGGAACTATGGTATTTTAAGATGGTACTATTAAATAAGGAATTTGGGAAAAGGGAAAGAGAATGGGATGGTTGGATGATAATAATGAGTTACAGAAAAGTTTGATAATGAGTTAATATGGAAATTAAAGTTTATATTAAAGTTAATTACCAAGTTAAATTAGAATGGTTTAGGATTGATATATTTATTTACTAATAATTATATATAAATATATATTTTAATAGTTAATTAAATTAAATGCAATAAATAGAGGAACAATAATAATAATAAGGGTAGGATCAAGATGATGATTTAATGATTCCATTAAATGTATAAGCAAGATTAGGTGAATTTACTGATAGATACTTTGTTAAATCATATTCAGAACATTAATATGTGTTTTAGCATTCAAATCGTTTATATTTGTGTGGACTAAATAAAAATCACCCAATAGTGAAGAGTGATAGTGATATTAAGGAGATTGAGTTTACTTAGAAAGAATAATTAGTAAAAGGAAAGAAGAAGAAGGGAGGGTTGAAGGTTAAGAGTAATACAGTGATGTTGAAGGTACATTTGGAGAACGGAGAAGTATATGAAGTATTAGCTGGTCAGGATGGATATATCATAGAGATGAATGAAAATTTATAGAAAAATAAGCAATATTTAAAATAATATCCAGAGACTAAAGGATTTGTGTGTATTATATAAGGTTGTCGTAAATGATGTATATAAATATATGTATAATATAAAATTAAATGTGAATTCATTTAATGAAAAATAAAGTATTATTTTAATATAGATTAGACTGATAATAGAGATAATATAAATATTTAATTTTTTTATTTATAGATGTATTTATGATTATCAGACAGCTGAGGCTCCTGAAATAATTTCACATAACTCTACCGTAATTTTAGCTTATCTAACCTTATTGTATTCAAGAGTCAATTTATCAAGCATTTCTCCTGCATTTTTAGAAGCATTTTCCATAGCATTCATTCTAGAAGATGTTTCACTTGCAAAATTATTCAACATAGCATGATAAAATGCAGTTGCTACATAGTATTCATACATATAATTCTGTACGAATTCCTTTTCAGGTTCTGCTGTATCATATTTAGTAACCAATCTAAATTAAGCAATAAAGTTCTTTCTATTAAGTAAATCAACACGCTTAACAACTTATTAAACAACATTCTTAAATTAATTGAAAATGACAGAAATTTAATCAATATCTTCTGTAACATTTAGTTGTATTTGATGTGCAATAGAGGAACTATTAGCAAAATTGATTGGTGTTTAAATAGCTGTTATAGCTTGAGTAAGCAATTCAGGGAAGGCTCTTTATAAGGCCCCCAAGGACTTAATGTAAAAATGATATTTTTTACCTTCTCTCCAACCAAGAATAATTTATAAGCATTACGATTTTATCTAACAATGCTTCTTGTTTCTCTAATGATTGATGAATTGATGCCACCACAAAGTCCTTTATCAGATGTAATTGGAACAATTAAAGTCTTATTGATCTTAAATGTTAATTGCTTCTTCTAAAGATAAGTTTCTTAGGCAAATAAATCTTAGATTGAACGTATTCCAAAGTGTTTTCCATTCTCTAATCTCTAAACATCTTATTTCATCTTAGAAGCTGCAACCATCTTCATGGCTTTGGTAATCTTTCTAATTGATCCAACAGACTTCATTCTCTGCTTCAATTACTTCAGATTCAATGTGGCGAATGCATACTAAGGTACTGGAGTAAAGCTGCTCCATAAACCGAGTGTGGCACCCTATAATCTCTGCATATTTAATTAAATAAATAAATCTTTATCACAAAAGAGTATATTATTTTAAATCTCAACCGTAATTAAAATTAAAGAATGCTCCACACTCTACGCTCCATACAAGCTCCTTTCACCCTTAATAATACTGCTCGTGCACTCTTTGCCAAATTTGTCAGAGACAAGCCTCATCTTAATGTCGGTACCATAGGACACATCGATCATGGTAAAACAACACTTACCTCTGCCATCACAAAAGTCTTGGCTAAATAATAGTAATTATAAAACATAAAGGAAATAGACTTGCTGAGTTCCAAGAATATGGTAAAATTGATAAGGCTCCTGAAGAAAAGGCTCGTGGTATCACTATCAATAGTGCTACAGTGGAATATTAAACCAAAACTAGACATTATGGGTAATAATTAATGCTATAATTTATTTTACAGTCATGTAGATTGTCCAGGACATATTGATTACGTCAAAAATATGATCACAGGAGCTGCCAAGATGGATGCTGCCATTTTAGTTGTGGCAGCCACAGATGGTTGCATGGCTTAAACACGTGAACATGTGCTTCTATGTCGTTAAGTTGGTGTGGAGACTATTATTGTGTTTGTTAATAAGATAGATTTAGCCAAAGATCCAGAAATCCATGAATTGGTAGAGATGGAAATTAGAGAACTTCTTAGCAAATATGAATATGATGGAGACAATGCAAAGATTGTAAAAGGTTCAGCATTACTTGCATCCAATGACTAAGAACCTGAATTAGGAGAAAAGTCTATTCTTTAATTACTTGATACTATGGATAAAGAGATCAAAATACCATAAAGACCAATTGATAAACCATTTTTAATGTCAATAGAAGGCACATATCATATTGCTGGTAGAGGAACAGTTGTAACAGGAACTATTGATTAAGGTAAAGCATCAATCAAAGATAATATTGAAATTGTTGGATATGGAAAGCCAAAGTAAACTGCAATTGTTGGAGTCGAAACATTCAAAAAGCAACTTGATTTTGGTGAGGCTGGTGACAATGTAGGAATTTTAATCAGAGGTTTAACAAGAGATGATGTTAGAAGAGGATAAGTTTTATGTAAGCCAGGATCTTTAACAACTCATAATTGTATTGAATCAAATTTGTACATTTTAAAGGAAGAAGAAGGAGGTCGTAAAAAACCATTCCCTAATGGTTATCGTCCATAAGTAAATGCAAATTATTATTTATTTTAGATGTTCGTAAGAACTGCCGACGTTGCTGTTACATTGTAGTTACCAGAGAACATCAAAGTAGGTATGCCAGGTGATAATTTCACATGCAAATTGAATCTCTCCTATAACTTACCACTCTATTAAGGTCAAAGATTTGCCCTTAGAGAAGGAGGAAAGACTGTAGCTGCAGGTGTTATATCTAAAATCTTACCTGATGAAGTAGCCCCTACTTCTAAGAAATAAATATTAGACAAACAAGAAGCAGCTGGTATATATAATCATTTATTATTTTTATAGAAAAAAAACAAAAGGAAGCAGATGATTCTAAAGCAGCAGCCGCAGCAAAAACTGCAGCAGCAGCAGCAAAGCCAGCAGGAGGAGCAAAACCAGCAGCAGGAGGTGCTAAACCTGCTGCTAAAGCACCACCAAAGAAATGAGAATATATATATAATAATAGTATATATATATAATAAGAACATATATAATTAACTGAATTTATTATTATAGTTAAATAAATGCTAAGACTTGATTAGCAACAATAAGTTACATTCTAACCTACTCCAGAATAATTGTATCATCAAGAATTCGAATAACCACATGAAACTGCTATGTACATGTCTTTAAGTACACTATTTATTTATATAAGATTATCATAAAACTCATTAATAAATATACTCTTAAGCATCTTATTAACATTCAAAATTATTCGATTTAAGAAAAAAATACCTTAAAAATAGAGAAGATACTTAAAGACGATCAGTATCTCATCATAGTAGGATTCCTCCTAATCGTTCGCCTTTAAAGACTCAACAGACATAAAAATAATTTTCACCAAAACAAGAAAATAGTTTAGTCTAATAAAAAAAGAAGACTATTCCTGTTTCTAAAAATTTAAACAGCAATTTAAGAATTATTCTTAAAACAAATTATGCTTAATAACATATTTATGAAGAAAATCCTTAAAATGAAAATATTAGAAAAGAGTATTCTTAAATTGTTGAAATTCCTACAGAATATTAATCAATAAATAGTTATACCTTTATAAAAACATTAGGAATTGGTGCAACTGCTGAAGTAAAAATGGCTAGACATAAAGAATTAGAGATTGACGTTGCAATTAAAATTTATGATAAAAAGAAAATGAATAATATGCATTTAAAAAATCTAGAAAGAGAAGTTGAAATCTTAAATTAACTCAAACATCCTAACATAATTAACTTATATCATATGTATGAAAACGATAAATCAATATATTTAATTATGGAATATTCATCTCCCACAAATTTAGAAATGTTTATGAAAGGAAGGCCATTCAAAAGAATTAATGAAGAGGAAGCCAAAATATTATTTCGCTAAATTTCAAATGCCGTTTCTTACATGCATGAACAAGATATATGTCATAGAGATCTTAAATTTGAAAATCTCTTAATAGATTATAATACTAGAAAAATTAAACTAATAGATTTTGGATATTCTATCAAAATTAATGGGAAACAAACTTGTTCATGTGGTACTCCATAATATATGGCTCCTGAATTAGTAAAAAAAGGATCATATGATTAATCTGTTGATATATGGGCATGTGGAATTATCCTTTATAAAATGGTAACAGGTGTATTCCCGTTTAGAGGAAATTCAGAGAAAGATTTATCAAAGAAAATTTGTTTAGGAAAAATAGAATATCCAACATTCGTTTCAGTTTAAGCTAAATAATTAATATCATCTATGTTAAAAGTAGATACTAAAGATAGAATAACTATGCAAGAAGTATAATAAAGTTAATGGTTGTAATGAATATATTTATCATTATTTTTATTATTTCGTTTTTTAATTAAATATATATTGTTATCAGTATTTTATCTATATTTATATTTATAAATTATTTATTTAGTGTTTATGATTACTATTAAATAATATTTAATAGAGTAGTATATAAAATTTAAATTGATTTATGGAAATAAAAACAATTTTGAGAGAAACAATGTATATATATATCTATTATATAATAGTAGTACATATATATATATATATCATATCATTTAATATTTTTACATTTTAGAGCTATCTCTAGCAATTTAAGTTATTTTTATTTTTCTTTATTTTCTTATATTGTACTTGAAGGTGTTTTTCTGTATAATAAATCATATGCATATCCATTATCTCGAGCTTAATTGATATTACTTATTGTTTATTATAATTGAATCTAATATTTAGCTTATGTAACAGATTTTGGAGTATAGAGACTTTGCTTTGTATCCGTTAAATTATTATTACTAAATATTCTATTTATTTGGATAAAATGTTTAGCTTACTATTCCTATTAATCTTTATTTCCATTAAACTCATCTGTTTTATAATGTTATTTCTTATATTTTTATTATTAGATGATGAATTTTGGAAATTTAAATTTAGTTTATGTTTAACTTTTGGATTCCTGAATTCCACTTTATTGAATTTAATTATTTTATGATCTCTCACTATTAATTTTTTATACTTATTATACATCAGATAATGGTTATAATTATCTTCTTGATTTTGGTATTGTTTGATAATTATCTTTAATATCCAATTAGAGTTTGAATTTATTTTTTTTGAGTTCTTATTATTATTTTTATTTTTCTATAAGTTATTATTATTGTTTGATAAATCTATCATCATTTGGATCAAATGCTCTGTGAGTTTCATATTTATATTACTCATTTATTGATAGAAACTCCATCACTTTTTTCAATTCCTCTATTGTACTATTTTATTTTTTCTATATCCTACACTTTAAAAATTATGATGAATTCTCTTTGTCAGAAAAGAGATCTAATATACATTTCAATAAAGACTTGATTTTGATATAAGCAATTTTTCGGTATCATCTTTTTTTTAACATAAGCTATAACTACGGAGATTTTAATGTAAAGGAGGTTTATCTATCTTCTCCTCCTTATTTCTTTTAAACTTTATACTATTAAGTTAATCGCCATCATCCAGCCATCCTGAGATTTCCTCTTCAATCATTAAACAAATAAAATTAGTTGTTAATAAATAAATTAATATCATTAATCTTCTAATATAGGTTTGTTAGTAAAAATTGATTCATTTAATTATTCTTAAAAATCAATTAAATCAATTATTATCCATCAATTTTTCAGTATATTTCATTAATTAAATCTAAATAGAGAATTAAATAATCCTAATTTGTTTTATTTGTATTTTATATATTGATTTTAAGAATTAAATAATTATTTAAGTAAATTACCATTTGTTAAGACAATTAAAATTAATTGAAGCACAATGACTTTAAACTTCTATTATTGATTTTACAATATTAATTTATATTATGTTTATTATTTTTAACTGAATACATCAATATATATATTCAATTTGTCCTAATTAATTATAATGTATATTTAAATTATTATTGTTTATCAAAAAGAATAACAATATAAACTATCTTATTTAAAAAAAAGAAAGAATATATGTATAAGTATAAGATTTATTAATTTGGATTTAACACATTATCCATTATATTACTATGCTATTATCTGTTATATATTAATAGTATATTTATAAATTCTAATTGAATTGGAATAACAGAAAATTTATTTATAATTGCAACAACATTTTTATTACCAATTCTAAAGAATGAATGGACAAATTATTATTAAAAATACACTCAAATTTGAATGAATAAAGAACAGAGATATGATACGTAAATATAACAGAAAGTACTTAAAAGCGGATATTAATGAAATAAAACCGAATTCAATTTATTATTTTATTAAAATATATGGGTAATACGTGCAAAAATATTTGTAAATAATAAATAGCAGAAAAAGAATTTAATATTAACTCAATTAAAAAAGTAAAGTTAAAAAAGAAGTAAGATTCAAGTAGAGATTCAAAAACTGATCCATATTGTTCACCATAATCTTTAATGAAAGAAGAATCAATAGGAGATGAGTCTAAAATTAGTCATTATTAATAAGATTATCCTTAATTTGTTCTTACAAAGGAAATCAATGGTATTATTATACCAACTGATAGATAAAATCGTTTTTTAAATGATTCAGAATTGGAAATAAAGTATTTAATACATCAGAAGTATATTATAAATTAAATATAATAAGGTGGTTAAAAGAATAAGAATAATTATAAAAAGAATTTGATATATAAAAGGAATTACAAATAGAGAATAGATAATAATTAGAAATAGATATATCCAATTAAGAATTAAAAAATTAATTTTCTTTCTAAAATTCATATAAGATTGAATAAACATATGTTTAATCAGCTTCTAATCCTTATTTACCTAGATAAACATCGTAATTTGCACCTAAAAAAGCAGATTGTGACACACTTTCATAAAAATCTCAAATTTCTAAAAGTCCAACGACTTCATTAAAAGATTAATAAGTGTTATTATAAAGTGATATGATAAGAAAAAGTGCCTTAAAAAAGTTAAAATAAAGTAGGGAAGAAATAGCAAGTAATAATGCTAGTATAGGTACTTCTAAAAAGGGGATAAAAAAGAAATAATAATAAGATTCATTTGAAAAGTTGTTTAGTGAATGCCATTCTTTAGATGAACATAGTCAAAGTGGAAGTCATAAAACAATTAGAAGTGTAAAAAGTATATTAAAAAAGAATAAATCATATTCTTAAAGTTTATCAGTGAGAAAGAATACAATAAAATCAACTCATACTGTTTTTTATAATAAATAGACTAAAAAAGTTAGATTTTCTAATGATACTAATTTCAATAATGAAAGAAAAGGATTTTCTATAGTATAAAGGAATTGGTGGGAATGGTGAAATAAAAAAATGTTAAAATTTACAAATTTAACTTACTTTTAATATTTGATACTATTATTTTTTATATATATATATATATATTAATGTGTTAACTGTTTCATTAGTTATTTTGTGTTAATTTTTATTTGATTACATTTTCTAAAGTTTCTAAATCTTAAGCAAACTTTCTAATTCCTTCATTTAATTTTTCAGTACCCATTGCATCCTCTATTATATAATAATTATTATATATTACAATTCATTTCCCATCTATAAGTTTTTTCATCTACAATAACTTTCTCAATATTTAAATTATCTAAATTTTCTACTTTCAATTTTGGTTCCAATATTGTTCCTTCTAAACTTTATAAATCATTAAGTAATTTAATTGGAATTGTCATTCTATCACAACCACATAATTCAGTAGCTTCATCTACCAAACGTAATGATGCTGCCTAAAATAATTATAAAATATTATATATACCATAACAATTGTATCATATTTGAATTTTTTAAAACTATTCCATATACTAGTTACTAATTTTACTCCAGGATGATTTTATTTAGAATAATCTTCACCACTCTTATTTTTAGTGAACCAATCTAAAATTCTACCTACAAATGGAGAAATCAATCTGACTCCTGCTTAAGCACAAGCTAATGCTTAATAATAATTAAATATTAATGTCATATTGCATTGTATTCCTTCTTTTTTTAATGCTTTAGCTGCTTATATTCCTTCCCAAGTGCTAGCAATTTTAATAAGAATTCTTTCCTTAGTAATACCAGCTTATTCATATAGATTTATAATTCTTTTAGCTTTATCAATAGTTGCTTATTTGTCATAACTCATACGAGCATCTACTTCAGTAGAAACATAACCCGGTACTAATTTAAGGATTTCCAATCCAAAATTGACACTCAATTGATCAGTTATCATTCCTATAACAATTTTCTGTTCTTCTGGATTTAATGTATTAAAATTGAATTATGGTAATTCTGGTTCAACTATTTCTTTAGTTTCAGGTTCATCTTTCTTCTTTCTAGAATTTGTTCTTTTTGGTTATTTTTAACTTAAAATTATATAAGAGACATACACTGGTTATTTGGAGACTTAATAAGATTTGATTCCTTTTTGGATAGCATCATCAATTAAGGCTTGATATTCTGGTAATTTGGCAGCTTCAAGAATAAGACTTGGATTAGTGGTGGCATCTTAAGGTTAGAATTTTTAGATATCATTGATCTTGCCTGTATCTGCTACTACTACAGTATGCTAAAATGAGTATAGATAATAAATACATCTCTAAGAGAATTAAGAGCATTTGGATTTGATTTAACTTTCTTGGATGGTGAGGAACCATCATGTTATACTTCAGCAGCGTCCATAATTAAATAATAATACTTTAACACATTAAAACAATTTTGAGTGGAATTTATACTAAATTATATTTAATAAAATTGCGCCTAAAATATGAGTGCAGAAAATGAAATATTAGAAGAAAGAAATAATGAAGAATAGTATAGAAATTGGAAATAGAACATACCATTTATGTATGAAATCTGTATCAATCATTAAAATAATTGGCCATCTCTTACAGTTTGTTGGTTGAATGAAATAGAAATGTTTTTTTTTGCATTATTATCTTAGTGATCAAAATGATAATGAAATACATAGATTGATAGTAGCCACTTAAACTAATAATTAAGAGTAGGATTATATAAAATTGCTTAAAGTTGCTATTCCATAAAAGATAGATGAATAATTAGATAACACATTGTTAAATAATATATGTATATATAAATCAAAATTGTAAGGGAAAACATAATCAGTAGGAAAAGTATAAGAAGAATTACAAATATCAGTGGAAGTTGAAATAAATAGAGTTAGATAATAACCAAATAATCAATATATTTTAGCTACTTAAGCAGGAGATGGTGAAATTGGTATATATATTAATAGAAATAGTTAGGTATTTATGATTTAAGTAAATAATCAAAAGTATAAGTTTTAAAAGGATAGAAAAAAGAAGGTTATGGTTTGTCATGGAATCTTAATAATTTTGGTCATTTATTATCAGCAAGTTATGATCATAATATATATTATTGGGATACAAATACAGGATAATTAATAAAATAATATAATTTTCATAAAGGAGAAGTTGAAGATGTTTGTTGGCATCCATAAGATTCAAACATTTTCATATCATGTTCTGATGATAAAACATTTGCAATGTATAATATATTCTAATATAATTTAGTTGTGATATTAGAACAAGTTAAGGAATTACAATATAATAAGAAGCACATGAATAAGAAGTTAATTGTGTTTAATTTAATAATTTCTAATCTAATTTATTTGCTACTGGATCTAATGATGCTTAAGTTAAAATGTTTGATATTAATAAACCAGAAGAAGATATCCATACATTTTCAAATCATGAAGATGCTATTTATAGTCTTTAATGGTCTCCTCATTAAAAAAATTTACTTGCATCTGGTTCTGTTGATTCTAAAATTATTGTTTGGGATTATTATAAAATTGGAAATGAAATTAAAGCTGAAGATGAAAAAGATGGTCCATCTGAATTATTAGTATATATTAATTTTAATTAGTTTTATCATGGAGGACATAGATCTAAAGTAAATGATTTATCTTGGAATGTTAATCATAAACATTTATTGGCAAGTGTAGAATAAGATAAAAACATATTATAAATATGGAAAATATAACCATAATTATGGGAAGAAGATGAAAATGATGAATATATACAATCTCTAGTATGATTATGATATATTATTTATAATTTATTAAATAATCAATTAAATACTAATCTATCTTTTTATTAATCTAAATATTCATTTAAAGGACCAATTATTTTTATATATGATTATAATTGTTATTCTTAAACTCTTTATAATACAGAATTAAATAAATTATCCTTTTTTATTATATAATTTAGTTTATCTATTTCATTATTTTATTCTTTCAATTATTTTTCTAAGTGTTCAATATTCTTTTATTATTCTTAAATAATTGTATTTTATTCTTATTCTCTTAAAACTAATTATTAATTAAGACTTAAAATATATTTCTATATATATAAATTATTATACATTTTATTCCTCTGTTAATTATAATATACTATCATTTCTATCTAATTTTTCAGTTATTCCATTTATTTAATTTTTTTAATTATTTGATATTTCTAATTAATTAACTAATTCTAATTTTTACTTTTAATTTTATTCTTCTAATTATTTAATTGTTATTTTTAATTTTTTAATTTATTCAATCAATGCATCATCTAAAGGTTATGATTTCTATTATTATTATTATTATTCATTTTATCTAAATAATAATATTTCTTTTTAATAATTTTGAATTTAAATCTTCATTTTTTAGATTTCTTCAAGTTATAATTTAATCTATGAATCATATTCCTTATATAAACTATTTTATAATAAAAATTCTTATTGTAATTTCATTAATTAATTCTAACTCTATTAGTATTATTCTATTAATTATTCCTTATCTAATTTCAATGTAAATAAATCTTAATTTTCACATTCTACTTGAGTAGCTACATCTATCATTCTTTTAAATGTTGGAGATGTAGGAAATTAAGATATTATAGGATAATCATGTTCTTATCCTACAGTTAGATAATGAGGATGAATCATTTATTTTTTATCTGAACTATTTCCACTCTATTCTTAATAACTATTTGATGATAATGAATATTATTAAGAATTATTTAAAGAACTTTTTATTGGAGATGGAGATGCTACATCATTTTATAACAATATAAATCTCAATTACACTTTTATTTATGTTGAACATTCACTTTAAAATTCATACCATTATGTATATTCTTATTTGTATTCTAATATCTCCCTAACAGATAATTTCAATCTACCTAATACCTAAAATATTAATAGATATATTTACAGACTTATCTGTTAAATTTTTTATGATCATGCTAATTAATGATTCTGGATCACTTAATGATATTTTTACACAATTATTTGAATCTGCAAATAATGCAACATCTATAAATTTTGCATCCTTTTTAATTAAAGAGTAATAACATCCTAAATCAGATATACTGTCTTGTAATTGTTAACATTATTAATCAATTATTTAAATTTGAACTGCTTTGTAATTATTCATTAATATATAAAATAATCACTTTTTTTAACATTTTATTAATAAATAATATATGTTGAATATTTATATATCAAAATCTTATATACTAATTAGAAGATTATTATTTTAGAATTAATCTAAACACACATATATGAAAATATTTAATAAATATATAAACTATTTATAATTCAATCTATATTTCAATAATCATATCCAAACAAAAAAGTTGTATTATTGATTTTTTTCATTATTGTTATTAAAATAGCTCAAAAATTATTAATATATTTCTACTTTATTTTAGATATCATAGGTAAGTCATTAATAAAGCTTATGTATTATTTATTTTTTATACTTAAATATTAATAATGTTTAAGATAAACTTTAATATTAAGTTTTAGATAAATCTCTAATTTAAATAATAGATCTATAAATTAAGAATATTCTATAAATCAATCATATATAAACATTTTTTTAAGATATTTAGTTATTAAAATAATTTGATTTACATTATATAATTAAATGCAATAAGTTTATAGAAGACATAGTCATTCATCAATTGATTCATAAGAAGAGTTTGATAATATTTATTTACAATAATAATAATAATAATAATAATAAGTGTTAAATAATCCTAATTAAGATCTTAATGAAATCATTGTAAAAACATTATTGAGTGAATCAGAAGCTAGAGAATTAGAGGATACAGTAGAAGAATAGAATATTATAACAATTGAATAGGAAATTGTTGATTATGATGCACATTTGGAAGAATTATTAAATAGCATTCATTTAAATGTTTTACCTCGTTAAAATTCAATCTAAATTCAAGAATATACATAGATACTACCAGTTGTATTGTAGATATAATCTATAAAATCATAATTAAAGAAATAAAGAGCTAATATAGATTTAATGTGTGTAGTAGATGTAAGTGGTTCAATGGAAGGAGAAAAGATAAAATTAGTACAGAATTCTTTGAGATACATTTAAAAGATATTAAATCCAACTGATAGAATTGCTTTGGTGAGTTTTGCAACTTAAGCAGGCATAAATTTATAATGGNATTATTTAAATTTGAACTGCTTTGTAATTATTCATTAATATATAAAATAATCACTTTTTTTAACATTTTATTAATAAATAATATATGTTGAATATTTATATATCAAAATCTTATATACTAATTAGAAGATTATTATTTTAGAATTAATCTAAACACACATATATGAAAATATTTAATAAATATATAAACTATTTATAATTCAATCTATATTTCAATAATCATATCCAAACAAAAAAGTTGTATTATTGATTTTTTTCATTATTGTTATTAAAATAGCTCAAAAATTATTAATATATTTCTACTTTATTTTAGATATCATAGGTAAGTCATTAATAAAGCTTATGTATTATTTATTTTTTATACTTAAATATTAATAATGTTTAAGATAAACTTTAATATTAAGTTTTAGATAAATCTCTAATTTAAATAATAGATCTATAAATTAAGAATATTCTATAAATCAATCATATATAAACATTTTTTTAAGATATTTAGTTATTAAAATAATTTGATTTACATTATATAATTAAATGCAATAAGTTTATAGAAGACATAGTCATTCATCAATTGATTCATAAGAAGAGTTTGATAATATTTATTTACAATAATAATAATAATAATAATAATAAGTGTTAAATAATCCTAATTAAGATCTTAATGAAATCATTGTAAAAACATTATTGAGTGAATCAGAAGCTAGAGAATTAGAGGATACAGTAGAAGAATAGAATATTATAACAATTGAATAGGAAATTGTTGATTATGATGCACATTTGGAAGAATTATTAAATAGCATTCATTTAAATGTTTTACCTCGTTAAAATTCAATCTAAATTCAAGAATATACATAGATACTACCAGTTGTATTGTAGATATAATCTATAAAATCATAATTAAAGAAATAAAGAGCTAATATAGATTTAATGTGTGTAGTAGATGTAAGTGGTTCAATGGAAGGAGAAAAGATAAAATTAGTACAGAATTCTTTGAGATACATTTAAAAGATATTAAATCCAACTGATAGAATTGCTTTGGTGAGTTTTGCAACTTAAGCAGGCATAAATTTATAATGGACAAGAAATCATGCTTTAAATAAGAGTAACATAAAGAAAGCCATACAAAATATTAGAATTAGAGATTCAACAAATATAGCATCAGGTGTAGCATTAGGTTTAAGAATGATTAGAGATAGAAAATATAAGAATCCAGTAACTTGTATGTTTGTATTAAGTGATGGTATGGATGATGATAAGGATGCTGAATTGAGATGTTAATATACTTTATAGTAATATAATCTATAAGATACTTTAACAATAAATACATTTGGTTATGGTTCTGATCATGATGCTAAAGTAATGAATTATATAGCAAATTTGAAAGGAGGATAGTTTGTATATATTGATTAGATTTAAAAAGTTTCTGAACATTTCATATTGGCAATGAGTGGAATGTTATCAGTCAAAGCCAAGAATGTGATATTGACAGTCAAATAATTAAATAATCAATTCAAAATAGCAAAGATATTTGGTGATGATTTTTTGTGGGATAAACTAAATGAAACTGATTATAAGTTAACTTTGAATTATTTAGTAGAAGAAGATAAAAAGGAATTTGCTTTAGAAATAGAAATCCCAAATTATAAATAATAGGAATTCATATAATATAATCTATTGTAAATTGATTTATAAGGAGTCTTTCTTGGATCTAATACTAATTTTAAGAAAACATCCACTTTATTATTGGGATTCACTAAAGATCCTGTATTATATTAACCAGTAGAATTGGTTGAAGTTAATTATTTAAGAGCTAAAGCAGGTGATAGAATTGGTTAAGCAAAAGGATTAGCTAATAATAAAAAATATGATTAGGCAATTTAATTACTAAATAAAATGATTGATGAAATAGAAAGTTCATTATTTAAAGATAATAAATAATTAATTGTTGTTTTAAAAGATTTAAGTGATATAAAATTGATTTGTAAACCTTAAACTTATGAGAAAGATGGTGAAGCTATGATGTTATATAAATAAAAAAATCATATTTAAAGATAAAGATCTATAAGTATAATTATATTATTATTAAGATAATTCTAATGATTGGTGTTAAGATGAGGAAGAATAAATGAATCAATATAGAAATGGTAATTTAAATTTGAGTGCAAGTGAAGGTAGTTGTAAAAGTATTGGAAAAATCAAAAATGCTAGTCATTCTTCAGGTTCAATAAAAAAGCAATTCTAAAATGAAAATGAATAAGAAATTGAAAAAGATGTATCAAGCCCTAAAGAAATATAGAGAAGTAGAACCTCAAGTGGTAGTTGTGATACCTGTAGATAGAAACATTCTAGAAGTTCCTCTATGAGTTGATATCAATTTATTTATATTATAATGAAATATATAGATATTCTACTAATAATTAATATTAAAAACAATAAAAAATCATATAAATAATAAGGTGATTCCTCAATTAAATAAAAAGTATTCATTATCTATTCTATTTCTTAAAATACTTAAATTTTAAATTTCCTATACATTAATTAATTAAGATTATCGCATCAAATGAAAGTCGCTTGTTTAATTCTATTTTTTCATCTTTAACCATATAATTATTAGATCTCATCAACATTTTTATTATCAATGAATCAGTATTTTATCAAATAAAGTAAGAAAACTTAATAATTATAAAATTATCTCAATTCATTTCTTTTATTCAATTTTTATTAATTAAATATTAACTAATGTTAATATTTTTTTTAACTTTCCTCAACCCATTATTAGCTTAAGATCAAGCATCTCTACCTGCTCCTACATTATCATATTTAAGAGGAACTGAGTTTCAACATTTAATGGAATCATTGATAGGAAAATAATATGGATATACTAAAGCTTAATTAGCAGAAATGGGAGGTTAGAGTGTTGCAGAATACATTCTCTATTTATCTAGAATAGATGTGCCACTTAAAAGAGTTATTTTTATTATTGGATAAGATTTCTCAGGATCCTCATATCAAAACGGATATTTTGGTTTAGCAGCTGCACGTTATTTGGCTTAAAGAAAAGTAGAAGTTGATGTTGTACTTTTATATCCTAATGATCCACTAAGAAGTAGATTAGCAATGCAATGTAAATCACATTCAGCAACATTACATTTTGATATACTTCAAAATCTATAAGAACAATTAAATGTTTAAATGACCAAGAACATTCTAGCAAATTGGTTAAATGATTATGATTTAGTTGTAGATGCCATCTCACTTACTTCAATAGAATAACCAAAAACTCCTGTAAGAGAATTTATGCATGCCTTTTCAGAAGTAAGTAAAAAAGTACTAGCTATTAATTTGCCTGTTGGATGGCATACAGACAATGGAAATCTGTATAATGTATATGTGCCACAGTTTGTAATCTCATTGGGATTACCTTTAAAGGGTATAAAGGAATTTGAAGGATAACATGCAATAGGTGGTAGATACATACCTTAAACAAATACTTTTAATTATGTGTTGCCTAAATATAAAATTGAAGATAGTTTCCATTTACTATAAAAGTGAATTTTATATAAATTAATTTGTCATGTTCTAAAAATTTGGATAACAACTTAAACCTATAATCAATCGATCTTCTTCTGAAAATAAAAAAGAGTAACCAATTGCTAAGCCTAATTATCATTTTACATAGAAAAGAGACAGAAGTGAATCAAGAGTACAATAATCTACAGTTGAAGATTAAAATCAGAATAGCTTAAAACCATAATCAAATTTGATTTAGAGTGTTCCTGCTTAAAGATTGACAATAAAATTACCTGATTTAAAAGGCTATTAGAAGTAAATGGAGAAATCAACATCAGGAGCTGATTTAACAAAAAAGCCACCTCTTTTAAAGAATAGACTTATATTAGATTCTAAAACAAAATAATAGCTATAAGGATAATAAAGTTTATTAACTTAGACTCTTCCTATTAAGAGTTAAAGAGAAGAGAGTTAGACAACTTAATAATAAGGAAAGAATAAAATAAAGATTACTCATTATAGTTAATCTAGAGCAGGATTTGATGGAATTTAAGAGAAAACTAATCAAGATAGAGAACTTTGTTTATAATTGGATGATAATAATTATGCATTTGCAGTAATGGATGGTCATGGGATGGATGGAGAATATGTGAGTTCATTTATAAAAGAATTGTTAAAATGTATAAAAATGTTATAAATGTAGATAATTTAACTAAATTTTATAAGGTATTTGATTTTCAGAAAGTATTCTTTGAAATGCATTAGAAAATGAAATTTTAGACAGAATTTGGTTGTCAATTTTCAGGTAGTACTTTGACAGTATTATTAATAAGAGAGAATACTATTTCATGTGGATGGGTTGGAGATAGTAGAGCAATTTTAGTAAAAAGAAATAACAATAATAATAATTTAAATGTAGTTGAATTATCAATAGATCATAAACCACATTTAGAGAATGAAAGATAAAGAATTGAATAAAATGGAGGAGTAGTAGATACATATCATTTACCTAATGGAGCACCTATTGGACCATCAAGAGTATGGGCAAGGGGAGCATAATTTCCTGGATTGGCTATGAGTAGAAGTTTAGGAGATACTGTTGCTGCAGCAATAGGAGTTTCATAGACTCCAGATATTAAATAATTAGAAATTGACAATAAAGAGGATATATTTATAGTTTTAGGATCAGATGGAATATGGGAATTTTTAGATAATTAGAGTGTATTATGAGTTTAATAATCAAGATTGCTGAATTAGTGTATCCATTTTATTAGAAGAATGATGCTTAGGGAGCATGTTAGAAGATTATTTAGGAATCAGTGGCTGGATGGAAAGCACATAGTGAAGGAATAGATGACATTACTGCAATTGTTATTTTCTTTTAATATGAATTGTGATAATGTTAAAAATCATAATTTAGCATTTACTTCTCTCATTTTTTGAATGTAATTGATGCCATTGTGCACTTATTATTTATTTAATGAATTTTCTTTTGAAGCAAAATTGTACATGTTTTAATAAACATCACCATCTTTTGGTGCAATCAAGCTTTACAATGAATTATCAGACAATCCTTATGCTTCAACTAAACTTAAAGCATTTAATCTTATTATTGGATATAGTGATTCTCTAGTATCTTATAATGTTTGTATTTATTGACTATTAATTTAATTTTCTATTTCTTAAATAAAATATATTACTTAATAATAATCCTTACATGTTATTCAATAACATAGTAATACCATAAATTCTAGCTAAAACTGTTAAGATTTCTTTAGTTTCTTTTGCTTTGTTATTAATAGTATCTAAGAAACAAAGCATGTTAAAATAAGGTATGAATGTAGATGCAGCTTTAGCTAAAGCAATACCAGCTTTAGTGTCCCAACTTTCTTTCATATCAGTATGAGACATTAACTTTTAGGCTGCATATTTAGTCAGAATTGAACAATTTAAACCTAATAGAGTAATTAAATTATCAAGAGTTGTAACATCATCAACTTTAGCTGTTTCTAATGATAAGAATTTAAAGAATTCAGGAACTGCATTTGGTTTTGATACTACATGTTATAATTATTTAAGTAAGTATCTAGCTAATTATAAATTTAATATAGTATTTTCTCCTTCTAAAGTAATCTAAATATAATTAATAAATATATTACATTTGGAGACATTTCAAAGAAAATGACTGGTAATCCAGAATAATGAGCAAATCCATGTCCTCCACAACTTAATCTACACCATTCTGCACAATTTGCTACAAAATATGTATAATTAGCTTTGGCTCCACTTAATACAGCATGAGTTAATCCAAGTAAACTAAAATCATTTTATTAAGATATTCTATTGAAATTATCATTTACTAATTCTTTAATTTTTACACTTCCAAAAACACAAGCATAAAATTCAGCTAATAATGGGAATAATTTCTATTATTAACATTAATAATCTAAAATTCTTATCTCTTATTTATTATCATCTTTAAATTATTTTCTATATAATGAATAACGAACAGCTATTGTTAAAGCTCTACCACCAAATTTTGTATATTGATCACAAAGAATATTTCTCATATACATCATACTTCCATATCCTACTTTTGGATTACCTTATCTTTCTACTTTTCCATCTCTACTAACTTTAATGTATCTATTTAATAAACTATCCAAAGGAGCTCTAAAATGATCAAAACTCATGAATCCATTATCTTTTACTGAATAACCCATTTTTGGACCAATATCACCAATTTCAATACCTGATAATGGTTTATGAGTCTCCTTATCTCTTATTCTAATCCAAAATGGATGTACTCCATATCCTTTACCATCTACTTGTAATTAAGCAAATACTAAAGCAAATTCACAATACAATCCTAATTCTCCTGGCCAAACTAAGTCTTAATAATTTAGAAATACATTTAGTTGCTTCTATATTTGGAGTATGAATCACAAATTCTGAAGTTTATTTATCAAAAACAGCTACTGTTTATAAATTTTAAACATCAGATCCATGACCTAATTCTGTTTAGGCATAACATCCAAATGCATTTAGATTCTTTAATAAAGTCATCCATTTAGAAATCTATTCATCAGATGCCAAAACTTAGAATGCAGGTATGACCATGGCAAAATGGACTGTAGATATGAAGATACCCTATGGACATAATACATTTGGAGTATAATAATTTGGATCAGCCAATGATAATTTTTTTAAAGCTTCAACTGTTCTTTCAGCATTTAAAAGAATCTTAGTAATATATGAAAATATAAACTTGATCCTATCTTGACATATTGTAAAAATTATGATTAACTTTGAACAAAGGATGATTATCAAAGAAACTTTATCTCTCAAGAAATTTATCAAAGTAATCTTTGCCTCCATAGAGTAAATGTGACATTTCTAACAATGGGAATTAACCCTATTTTCTTTCAGCTTCTAACATTGTATATTTTATAATTATTTTTTTTATGATGCACTTATTATGTAATTATTATAAATAATACGCACGTAAATATAACATTACATATTTCAATAATATTCATCTTCTTCAACTTCATCAAACATAGAAATAGTTGGCTACTTCCAATTCTTTTTTGTCTCATCATCAACTAAAGTATTAATTAAATAAACCATAAAAGCCTCAAGTTTATAATATAAAGGCTATTAAAATCTTTATTCATAAGTCCATTCTTTCTATATATTATATAATCTAATTTATACTTCTTCTTTCTTTCCTATTGCAATTGGAGAATATTTTTCAGCTATTCTAGCTATAGCTTCCAAAAATTCTATCCATTACATTTAAAATAATCTATCACTTTCTAATTCATCAACTTATGTCAACATTGATAAATTAAATGCTAAATTTACATCTCTTTCCACAAAATTCTCATCATACAAATTTGCTTTATTACATATATCTTTCAATTCATCTAAACACATAAAAGGTGGTTGACCTGGTTTTACTTTCTTTTAAGAATTTCTCATATAAACATAATCAATAACCCATTTATATTTTTTACATACATCATCACATTACTCTACAAAATAACGTTCAGCTCTCCATTTATGACAATCATATTATGATAAATGAGGCATACATTAATCTAAAATCATTTTTGTTGCTTAAACAATATTAATTTGAGGATTAAATCTCACATATTTATCATCTGACAATCTAACTAAAAATTCCATCATTTGATATCTTACTAAAGATCTTTCAGGATTTCTGTAATTTCCTTTCCAATCTATAGATGAAGCACTACAAGTTGCTATAAATTTCAAATCTACATCAGCCAATTTCAATTATTTTCCATCTATTAATTAACATTAATTAACAAAATCTGATGTTGGATTTACTGACATTGAAAATACATCTCCTGTAGGATTTACACTAGCATAAAATCTATATGTTTCTCTCATTGGTTTATATGCTTGCCATAACATTTCTTTAACTTAATCTTATTCTTCTTATTTTTTTACAAACTTAGTTATTTTACAACAAGCCCAATCTCTTTCAAAACATTTCCTTAATAATTCTTCAGTATCAAATTTATATTTTGGTGCCCAAATAGAAATAGGATAACTCCAAATTCTTTTTTATTTCTTTCTTTTTGCTGGAATATAAATTGGATCTTAAGTTCTTGGTAAAACATCATATGTAGGATACCAATCTTCTATTACAGGTTTTGATTTAGTAAACTTTTCTAAATTAGTTTCATCTATCAACACATTAATTACTTAATCTGCTATTGTAACCTTAGTTCTAAACTTTTCTATATGTTATTTGATTGGAGCTGTTTGACTTGCTATTTATATAGAATTAGCAGTATAAAAATATTCAATATCTCCTGTTGGAATCATTCGATGAGTCTTAAAATTACCATTTGAATCAGGTTTGCCTAAAAATATAGGTTCAAAACCTTCATAATCAAAATGAATAAATATTGGTTCTTCAGAACAAGCACCACTTTGATCTATATAATATATTATTAAAAATACTGGGAATCCATTCAAAAGTACTCATTTACCATTCATCACAAATCCAACAAATATCTTTTAATTTCTCAAAATGAGTAGAATGTTCATATGGTTTTGGATTTGGAGATACTCCTTTAATTCTTTAATCTACATGAATAGAATTATAATTTTTCATATTATTTTCAATAATTAGAAATCCTTTTGAATCCACATAACCAAAATTACCCCTAAAATGGAAACCATATATAGAATGATTGGATTTTAAGGCTTCTGAAATTTAAAGACAATCTTAATATGTGAATCCATTAGCTGATAAATCTAAATGTTGTATTGTTTTATTTTCAATTATAAAATCTTTAAGGGCTGTTATAATGACATTGCCAGCTCCAAGTAAATTATAAGAGAAATCTAAAACCTTAATATTTTTATTGGTTTAAAGAACTTTGAATATTTCAAGACCCCCAGATCCTTTGATAGAATTCCATCTTAGATATAATTCAAGAAGTGTGTCATTTTATTCAATCATTTGCTTAATCGATATATATGATGCATTTGTAATATTATTCTTTGATATATTGAGCATCTCTACAGATGGATTCTTACTCATGGCCTTACACAAGTCTGATATTAATGTGTCTCCTAATTAATTATCTTCTAAATTGAGAATCTAGATCCTTGAGATTGCAATTCAAATTTACTTGCATGTCTACAATGGTAAACATTATAGAATTGGGTCAAGACCTTTCTATCCGATGGTATTAGTTTGAAACTCAATTATTCTAGCTTGTTTGCTGATTAATGGAAACAACTACGATGCTCCATGTTCTTTGATTCTATTGCGATTGAAATTGAAATCTTGGATAGTAGGTAATGTTCTTAGTCCTTCTGATAATACTTCTACATATTTATCACCAAATTTTTAGTTTTAAATGGCAATCGAATTCTTATCTCCTTTAAGTTTGATTAAACCCATTTTGCATGGTAATATTTTAAGCTTTTCTGCTCTTTGGATTAGATTAGTCTACACAGAATCTATATATATTATATAAAGAAAAGTACTTGTAATATTCTCAAATTGATTCTATTCTAGAATTCGTTTTATATTTTTGAAAGTGTGATAATAAGATTTATAGGCGTCATCTCCAACAAGGTCTTTAGGCTTACGGTCTAGGTAAGGTTCTTCTTGATTATTTGATAGTGTGGCATATACATCTTTCTAAACAATAACCAATTCAGTTAACATCGCTAATCAAATCTCGTTCTTTGGCAGATTATTGGATCTTATAATACTATCTGTTATAACGTTTAGGGACATTACTAGAATGTTCGTGTATCCCACTATGATAAGGTGATTTTTCAAAACCAACTAATGTTATTCTAGGTAATGCCAATGATCTCATAGAAAATTTATTCTACTAAAATATAATACATTTTTTACCAATTTTTTGGGAGTGTCAGTTTCAAGTGTTGTTATTTAATGCATATTTGTAAATTGTATTATATTATTATTAATATAATTATATAAGAATTTTATAATAATCAATTTCCAATTTCAAATGTCTCCTTCTCACTATCATTAGTTTGATCCTATTTTGAAAGTACTGCTGATTTTATTTATTTTTTAATGACAATTTCATCAAATTCATCATCATCATTTTTAGATAATGTTAAAGTTTTTATTATGGAGGCTTACTTAATTATTTCTCTTTAAATAGTGTAAGATCTTGAGACACTTTAAAATTTATGTTATTCAATTGGTACAATACTACCATTTCTTCTTTGATTTAATTATTCAGGAGATGAATTAATAAATTACTGATATTATAAAGCCACTGGTCTCACATCAGGAAGCTTATTTAATTTTTATAAAGATTACTTATGAGATCCAAATCAAAAATGGTAGTATTTATTCAAGTTCTTTATCTTATATGTCATAAAAGAAATCCTTAACTTTAAAACCATTTTCTGGATTAAGTGTAAATGACAAGATTGAATTCTTAATTATAATTAATATATACTTACATCAACAATAATAATATCTTTCAAATCTCTACCTAATTTATTTAGATCTTTAGTCAAACCACTTTTTATAATTGTACAATTCTCTCTAAATAATCTGTCTATAGCCTTTTTATCAGGATCAACAAAATCCATTACAGGTTTAGCATATTCTTTAAGACTTGCAGTCCATAAAATAATATCATAAAAATTGCTTAGTTCATCAATGAATTATTTAGCACCAGGTCGTACAAGGACATAAACTTTGAAATTTTATGATTAAACAACAATCTTTATATGTCACTAGAATTGTACATCTAAACAAAGATCGTAATTATCCATAGGTTAAAATTGACTATGTACTAATGTTTCATCTAAATCTAAGACTATAATTTTCTTTTATCCAAACTGAGAATTATTTGTTTATTAATACAATAAAGGATGATTTGGGTGTATCAATTTCTGGATGATATTAATTTGATGATCCTTATTTCTTTTTTCTATTAAATATTTGTAAACAAGCACATAATCGAGAAAATAGAGATCTTTGTTCTTCTTACTATTAGTATATGATTTAATTGTTTGACATTATAATATATATTTAAATATATATTTTATATGAATGTTATCAATTTATGAAGTCTGTTGTTTATCTTCTTAAATGATGTCTACTCTAAATTCTTTTTTCATTACATTCAGTATAATCATCAATGATCAATTTTACTTAGATTTATTTATTAAATGAGACTCTTTTAGGTGAAATAGCATTAGCCATTTATGGAGATGGAGTAGATTATAAAGGTTCAAGAATAATATGCTTTTTGTTCCGTACAGGTTGATCTTCTACTAATTCAAAGAAATCTAAAACGTCTGATTGTTGACTACTGTTCGAATTTTTTCTTTTCAATATACTTTTTGGTTAATTATTTTAGATTCCCATATCTTCAAATTGGACTAATAATACTTTTTTTTAATTTTATTGCTCTTGGTTTAAAGAGAATTTCTTATTCTTAATGATGGATTGATAAGATGATCTTTAAGTAAGAGGTTCTTATAATTAATCAAATAGACTATTTCTGCCACTCAATAATGCATCAGTTGCTCTACTCGTATGTTATATATTTTGAAGGGATTTAAATTATTGATTCATTTAGATTTCAGGTAATAAATGAGGTTTAGTTTATTATTGTTGTTATTGATTCCTATCTAAAAATTTAGGATCACAATAATATAGAGGTTTGTATAGCATGTTTAAATTAATAAATAATTTTGTTTTTTTTCAATTAATATAAAGATTAGTATCATAATCATTAAAAATGTATTAATGTTCTACAAATCTATTCTCAATTTGATTAAATATCAACACTATCTATTTATTTTAATTTAAATTCATCAAATTTTGATAAAGAAATTAAAGCAAATATATTGACTGACATTGTTTTTACATACTAAATAATTAAGAACTTAATCTAAATCTTAGTATTTAATAATATTAATTTAATAATCTAAAATCTTTGACTTTCTTATTTCATTAAATGAATTGTTTTATAGTATTTTAATATTTCTAATTTTGAATATTTATCATTTATAAACAAATCATCATATAATAAAAAATATATGAATGATACATTTCAATTTATAGTTTAAATTTGATTGAAATCTAATATTTAAAATTAATGAATACTATTTTAAGGAATGTAATCTATTTTAATAAAGAATTGAATTAGATAGGTTGTCTAAATAATGTTTTGAAATGATAAGTTACAAATTCTCTATATTTTATATAATTTTTTATCTTTTTCTTATAGGATAAATTATACATAATTAATGTTTCAAGAATTTTTACAAGAATTGGGTTCTCTAAAAATTACAGAGCTTTCCTTCACATTTCGAAATTAATTCAAAATTAAAGAAAACTTCATCAACCCTAATAGTAAACATTTTGATTCGATTGCTCAAAAGTATACTATTATTATTATGAAATTATTATAGATTATTGTCTGAAGAAAAAGCAAGTATTAAACGTAAATGGGACAAATAATGTAAAATGATGTTCATTTGGATATTGGGAAAATTCTTTTAATTGAAAAATAAGAAAACAATCAATCCTACTCAAGAAGAATGGGGATAATTATCAAATATTCTAAAAATAGATGAAGTCACTCTAAAATAAAGATGGATTACTCTTATTAATCCAGTATCTAAGAGTATTAATTGGGATCCAGAAGAAGATGAAATCATTCGATCGCTTATGAAGTATTCAATATTCGTATTTGTAATAAAGTGAATAGGATGAAAAACATATATGGACACATATAGCTTTAGAATTGTATAATTAAAACAATGGACAATACATCAGAACTCCAAAATAGGTTAGAGAAAGATGGATGAATTATTTAAATCCAAAACTTAAAAAGTATAAATGAGAATTTAACAAATTAATAGAACTAATTGGAATTAATAAGAAGATCTTTAATTATTAAATATGGTTGTTAAGAATGGAAAGAGATGGTCATTAATATCCAGTCTTTTGGATGGTAGAACAGAAAATCAAGTTAAAAATAGGTAATCATTTTATATATTTTAAATAGATTTAAGAGTTTAATCCAAAAAATATACAAAGATGAAGATGATGATGATATAGAAGAATTAGAAGCTATCAAAGAGTATTTAAATAAATAAAATGTATAACAAATCTAGGAACCATAAAAAGAAGAATCTCAAATTAGAATGACTTATTTGAGATAAGTTAAATCTAAAACTAATCTAAAATAATTTAATAAAATTGAAGAACTAGAAGTATTAACAAAAAAAAGAAAGGCTATAAAAGATGTATTATAAATTGATGAATAAGTGAATGTAAATTCATCAAAGGATTTATAATTTACATCAAAATAATAGAATAATAAAGTAAAAGTAGAAGAAAATAGACAAGATATATAAGTAGAACCATAATAATAATAATAAATTTTATTTGAACAATAATAAAAGATGTAATAATATTTCTAATCCTAATTATTAAATGAAAATAATAAAAAAGATCTCTCAACTCCTAACACTTTATATTATAATATTTAACCATCCTTTTAAAAAATAGAAGAATTAAAAAATGATTAATTTGCATTTAAATAAGTATAATAATCTCCTATTTAATAATCCAATTAATATTTATATTAAGGATATAGAACTTATTAAGAAGAAATGTAATAATAATTTTAATAAACTCCTGTGTAAATGTTGATGGGATAATATTTTAAGAATTATCACTAAAATTACAATTTAATTTCTCCTTTCCCATAAGTTAATTAAACTCCTATGGTTTACACTCCTGCCTAAGCTATGTATATTTATAATAATAATAATCCTTATAATATGGGTGTTTCACCTCTTTTGATTAGAAGTCCATATCCTGAGAATTTATCACCAAATATTGCTCCATAATAGTAATAACTTTAGGGTATTTGGTAAAACCCTCAATAAACATCGATGGAGTATTTACAGAATGAATAAAAGTTATCTATGGTAAGAATATTTATATATTAATTTTAGAATAAATTAGAATTTCTATAATCTAATAACTTAGTTGATAAATGGAAATAGAAAAGAGTAAATGAAAAGTAGAATACTTCATTTCAAGAATCCTTTTAATCACTTGATTAATGAATTATTTTTGTTTAATGATCTATTTATCATTAAATAATTTCAACATCATTTAAGAATTGTGGCTATCTATAACCATGTTTATGTATGTATGTTTTATAATATCGAGATCCTGGAGAGTGATTAATCTATTAATTAAGTAAACGAATTTTTTCTTAATTTTAGATTTGAAACTCATCATCTCTTTATTTTTTTTGTACTTATAATTTTCTTAATAAATTATTCTTCTATTTTTACTCATTAGGTTTAATATCTTATTTTAATGGTGAAGTTTTTTTGAAAAATGGATCTTCATCTTCCATTTTGATTTATCTAATTTTTTAATATTAATCATCATGTAGTAATTATTTAAGATGTGTATGATGTTAATAACTATTTCTTCTATTGTGAAATTTAATTGATTTTTCTAATTTAGTTAAACATTAGAATGATTTATTGGGCTGTATACTTACCATATGTTTAGGTGTAGATATTTTACCAATATTCTCTTAATATGGTAATTTATCAGAAAAAGTGAATACTCTAAATTTTTTATTGGATAAACTATCCTCTACAATTTATTACTTAATTTAAGGAGAATAATTAAATAGATGATCTAAAGTTTTTACTCTTAATAATTTATTCTTATTCATATTTTATTATAATTAATTAACTATCAATAATACAATGATCCTGATCTTTCATGAACTGCTCTATTAGCTGCTAACTTTGGAGTTGAAAATCCTTTACTTGACACTAAATATCTTTAATTTTTCTCCCAAAATCCATCATTTTTTATATTTTCATCATCATCATTTTCCTCTCCTTCAATCTTCAATAAATCATCATCAATATCTTCAAAAACTCCTAATTACTCATTATTTTCTTATTTAATATTTTTTAATATCTCTTATTCTTTTTTAGTTGGATTTTCAGGATTTACAAAATCTAATATAATTGAACTTTATTTATCAAAAAAATATAGCGAAATTGTAAAGATGATACCAAATACTGAAACACCACTATAGAAGAATCCCACAGTTGAATATCCTTCTTCTTTAGTAGTAGCTCCCTCTACAATATACCCAGCTAAAATTGGGAATAAGGCCATAGAAGTACTAGTAAACATTCCCAAAATTCCAAATGCAGTTCCTATAACTCTTTATTACACTACATATTAAACTGATGGTATTAAAACACAACAATATAAAGAATATGACATTCCCAACATTATTAATGGAATAATTGAAAACCAATTAGGTTAATCATGATAACCTTACTTCATAAAACCAAAGAGGAAATGAGTTACTGAAAAAAAGAGACAAGTAATTAATATGAAGAATCGTCTCTTACCCACTTTATCCACATATGGACCTAAAAATGGACTAGTTATAGCTATATATATTACATTAATACCAGCAGCTAAATAAGTTAAAGTTAGGATTCTTCCAGATTAAACATAACTGAATTCAAATTTTTCTTATAAAAAATCATTAGCATCATCTAAAAATGGTACATATGATCCCATTGATAGTGTGCATATTAATATTAGAATCCAAAATGTTCCATTTAAACTTTTGATATCTTTAAAGGATACTTTTTCAACTTATTCACTCTTTTCACTTGTATTATCCTTATATACGAATTATAATTCTTTTTGTTTAAATTATTTGTTTACCTTTCTATTTCTTATCATTGTTTTTATCTAAAATACACAAAACTACTCCACAAATAAATGATAGAAAGCATAAAAATACACTAAAGAATAACGGATAAGTCAAGCCATTAAAATGATCATAAATTGTAGGTGTGACAAAGGAATTAGCTGCTGATGCTATTTCTGGCATTGTCATTATATATCCAATGGCTGTTGATAATTCTTTTCCTCTAAACCATTTACTAATCATAGCTGTTTATGCTATAAGTAGACTTTCAGAAGCAGTCCCAAAAAGTACTCTTCCTGCTAACATTATCCAGAAACTCTTAAAAAATCCTCCAAATGCTATGATAGTCTAAGCAATCACAACAATTGCACTGAATCCCAATATAGCAACTCTTATACCTTTATGTATTAGATATTAATTTTACCTAAAACATCAATAATAACTCCTCCAATTAGAGTTAAGAAAATGTTTGGAAATGAAAAAGCTGTATACATTAAATTATATTTGGAAATGCTAATATTCAAATCTTGTGTTAATTATCTCTAAAGAGCTTGAGGATTATCGAAAGAGTAATTATTTCCAAACATTAAGAGGCATGCTAAAATTAACATAATATATTTAAGAGAAGACTTCTTTTCTTATTTTTGTTCTTATTCTACATCAACTTACTCAGAATAAACCGTGTTTTTATTTACATTATTTTCAACACTATCATTAACTTTCATTTGTTTTATGACTATTTTATAGTTTAGACAAAAAGTAAATTATAAAAATTAATGACCATAAATTTGTCACATACTTAATCATTAAATTATAAGAATCAAAAACAAATAAATTTACTTAAACTTTCATTCATGTTTTCTTATTCTTTTACTTTGCTTATCAATCCTATTGATAAATTTAATCAATGTATTGTAATCATCTTTATTTAAATAAGTAAATTCTTCATTCATTTTATCAATTTGTTCTAGAAAATCATCGTCTTTTTCCAATTTGTAATCATACTTTTTCTTACTCTCAGACTTAGATAATATGTTATAAGCCTCATTAATCTCTTGGAATTATGTAATTGCTTAAGCTCTACAATTAATATTCTTATCCTGTTGGTAGATTAATTATATATCATACTGGATGCCATTTTAAAGCTAATTTATGATATGCTTCCTTTATTTAATGTTTTTAAGCATTTCTATCTAACCCCAATGTTATATAATGATTCTTCATTATTTTTAATCATTATCAGAAAGACCAATTCTTTAGAATTAATCTTTATGGAAATTCTGGAACATAGTTATTAATAATTTATTATGATATTATTCATATTCAATCTTCCGTTGGATTACCCAAAATTTAAAAGTTTTTTCCTCTGAAATCTCCAGCTTATCCTCTAAGTTTAACATATTCTGCAAAATCTCTTTAATTAGCTGAAAATGCACCAATAATTTAAGATACTAATTATCTTTTCTATTCTCTATTATATTATTATAAAATAAAAAATACCTCTTTTCTCTAGTTAATTAATAATTATATGCCTTTTCTCTACATTCACCACCTCTATCTTCACTTTATTTATTTTTAGCATCCAATCTAGCATTATAATCACTTAAATCTCTTTTTTAATCTTATATTCTATTATCTAAACCTAAGATAGCAGCTGTTAATTAAGCAAGAGCATTATTTAAACTGGTTAAATCTTTATCAAAATTACCCTTTTCTAACATGAACATATTCAATCTCTTTTATTCTGCTTTAGTTTCCAATGCTTTACTATCTTCAATTTATTTAAGCATTAAATCACATAAATTAACAATTTTATTAACAGTAGGTGAATTCTAAAAATCTTCACTTTGAGCAGCATTAGTAATTTCAGCAAAAACATTGAACATCTTAGAATAACTTTTTTTGATTTCAAATTTCTCTAAAAAATATAATAATAATATATATTTACTTGCTTATTCAGAAGCATTAATAAAGTAATCTCTAACTTTTTACCATTATGATTCATTATTCATTTATAAAAAACTTTAATTTTTATCTGAAAACATTCTTCTAACTGTTTCAATAACAAATGTTGCATAATCATGTTCTTCAACCTTTTTATCAAATTCAGCTTTCTCTGTTTCTCTTTTCTTAACTAAATCAGCTAATTTCTTTTCTGTTTCAACCTTCCATGCATTCTTTGCATCATATTAACCTTATTTATATGATCTTAATGGTTCTAATTCATCTAAAATTGATTAGATTTCAACTGTTCTTCTTTCTAAGTTTGCACTCTCTTATTGTAATATTTTAATATCTTCTGTGCATTAATTTTAATATTCATTATTAGCTTTATCATCTTCTTTTTATTCATTTTCAATTGATGTTTCTAAGTTTCTCATTATTTCAATGAATCTAGCAATTGGTTCACCTGTACTCATTTGCATTTATAGAGTATCAATTAATGTTCTACCAAATTCATCTTCATCAAATGCTCTAAATTGATCAAATTTATCTGCAATAGCTAAAGCTATTAAGCAAAGCACCAAAATTTTCATTAATAAATTAATTAAAAACGAATTCCATTAATAATTAACAATTATTTAATTATTATTTTAAAAAATGTCAATTATAGAAAATGAAGAAATCCTTAATAATTATATGGTTAAAAATTTATAGAAAGGTAAAGAAAGAGAAAATCATAGTGATTTCTATGATTATAATCCATTAACTTCAACATTTTAATGTTATGGATGTCAAAAATAAAAACCAAAATAAGTCTCATTATTATTATCTAATTAAAAAATTAAAAAGAAGAGAAAGACATTAGAAATTTATAAAATGAATGATATCATTATAAAACCTTGGCATCCTTTTTTAAGAGAATTTTAAAAAATATTTAAAAACTCAATTACTCCTCAACATAAATAACTAAATTATTTAACAGAGTATTATAAACCAGATATTGTATTATAATTATATGAAGTTATTCGCAGATTAAGAGAATAATTAGAAGAAAATATTAAATAAATTTAAAAAGGTGAAATCTCAATTGCACCCATTCTTGAAACATTAGCAATATATTCAATAGATGAAATTGAAATCAATTATGAAACATTACACAATAGTACTAAGTCTATTCAATAAGATTCTACTAGAAAATCATTGGCTAGTTCAAGTATAAGATATTAAATGTAAGAAAAGAAAATCTAACATTATAAAGAATAGTGGGAAATAGTTAAAGAGTAAGTAGTATTATTAGAATAGAATAATTCCATAGGTTTGAAATAATAAATAGAAAATACAATTAGGGCATAGAAAGAAATCTAATATTTAAAGAGTGTTTTGAAAGAAACTTAGGATCATCTTATGATAATTGAAAGAGATAAGGAATAATTAATTAAAGAAAATTACTTTTTATTTCAATATGCCTAATTAGATAGACATTATTTATTTATTAGAATTATGGAAGTATAATAATAATCATATGTAGTAATATCCAGTAGAATAATTAAAAGAAACAGATATATCTTATTTTGAAATCTATCTTAAAGAATTAGAAAAAGAATAAGCTAAATTGAAATTAGAAAATACAAAATTAAAAATTCATACAAATCATTTAGAAAAGGAAACAGAACTCATAAAATAAGAATCATTTTCATAATTTTCTAATGAATTTTAAACTTAAGAATAAAAATGGAGTATTGAAAAAAATTAATTAGAGAAAACACTTTAATAATTAAAATAAGATTTATAGATAAGTTAGAAATTTGAAAAGGAATTAAGGATTCTCAATTAAACATTATAAGGAGAATAAGATAAATTAAGAAAATAATTATTTGAATATCAAACTAGTATGAACAATATCAGTCATCAACATTTAATTTAGAGATAATAAAATGATTAATTATTAAAATAGAATTAAGAACTTCAATAGACTATATAATTATTAGAATAGTAAGCAATAGGTAATAAATAATAATTTAATAAAATGAATCCTAATGATTAAGCTTAATAATTAGCATTAATTATTCTATCTAAACAACAACCAAATCAAGAATAAATTAAATTACTTTAATAAGTATTTGGAGAATTTACTGATTAAATAATTTAGAATTAACTAGAATAAAATTAGAATGAATAAGCTGAAAAATTGATTCAATAATTATAAGATTTAAGAAATTTTAAAGAAAAACTTGAATTTTAAAATAGATTAACAAATAAATAAATAGAAGAAATAAAAAAAGAAATTGAATATGCTTTTTTATTGAATGAAACTTAATAATCTTAAACAAAAATCGGTAGAAAATTAAATTATGATATTTAAGATTAAACTTAATTTTACTAATCTTTAGTAAGAATTAATGAAATTTTGAATAGTAAAGAAGAAGATCTATCAAAATTAAATATCTTAAAAAGTTAATCTCCAATAAATATGAAATAGGAAATATCTTAACTTCATTATTTATTATTATTGTAAGCATTATCTTTAGAAGAGATGATTCTTAATAGTGAATAAAATTAAACTGAGAATTTCTCAGATCAAGATATTAAAAGTTCTAATGGAAAAGAATAATAACCTTCTGATTTTTATGCTATAGATGAATAAGAAATAGAGGAAAGTTCTCAAAATGATTAAGATGAAGAAGTTGAAGAGAGTTCTATCCATCAACCAGAACCATATTAGGAAGTAGAAAATTAAAGAAAATGAATTCTCTTTTAATTAAGTTTTATATTATATTAACTTTTAATTTCTATATCATTAATTAAAATTTGAATTATTTGTTTCATTTTATTCAATAAGTTAGATGTTAATAAATATATAATTTATAAATAATTTTAATTTAATTTATGAATAAAATCAATATTAAAAGGAGAGATATATAATAACAAATTTTATTTATATATTTATCCGTTAATAATTTACCCAATGAATTCAACCATTAGATAACCACTATCACTACATAACTCAATTGATAAGAGAGAGAATAGACCTGAAACTAAGCAGGATGCAAAACCATTCTCATTCATAAAACCAGGTATATCAAATTATCAACCATTGTCATAATCAAATACTTAATTACCTCCTTAATCTCCTATGACTATACCACAATAGATTTCTAAATAATCAAAGCCCAATTGTTCAATTTAAGATCTGGAAACTTTTATAAAGGAAATAGATAGATTACAAATAGAGAATCAAAAATTGAAAGAAAAGACTTAAGAACCTTAAATAGTAGTCCAATAAGATCCAAAATTAGTACTGGAAAATCAAGAACTTAAAGTATATATTTTAATATATAAATTATAGGATTAATTGGATTTCCATAAACACAAATGTGAATTATAAGAGAAGAGTAATAATGATGCAGTAAGATAAATTGATTTAAGTTGGAAATAAGATATAGCTAATTTGAAATACTCAATGGAATAATAAGAATCAAAGCACAGATAAGCTTTGAAATAAGAATAACTATAGGCAAAATAGGAAATTGCTAGACTTTAATAGAACTTATCATAACTTTCTAGTTCAGATAATAAGAATTAAAGTCTTGTTTAAGCATTAGTAAATATTATAATTAAATTATAGGAAACTTAATTAATAAATTTAAAGAAAAATAATAATATTTTAGAAGAAAAGTTGTCATATGCAATTTAATAATTTGATTCATAATCAAAAGATTAAGAGTTTACTTTATTAAAATAATAAGCTGTAATTGGTTCATAGGAACAACATGTAACTGAACTAAAGAATAAATTAACATAGTAAAGAGAATAGAATTAAGAAATTTGTTAATAATTAAATAAATACAAGGATGTAGCTGAAACTAAGAGTGCAAGTGAGTCTATTTTATAAAACAAATTGAAATTAATTGAAAGTGATTTTGAACATTTGTCTTAAACTTATAATGAACACAAGGATTCATTATAATAAAAGATAAGTGATTTGACTTCTATGTATGGAAAATCTTAAGAATAGATTTGCCTTTTATAATAATAATAAACTAAAGAGCAGAATTAAATTAAAAAATTATAAACTACTTTGGAAAATTAAGAGAAAAATCATTAAAATGAAATAAATGATCTTCATAAATAAAAATAAATGTTGATTTAATTTTTAGAATAAGAATTATTAGGTTATAAGGAATAAAATTAATAAATGAAATTAATGAATTAGAAATTGGAAACTTAATATAAGGAAAATCAATAATCATATTAATAAAATTTTAGAGAATTAGAATGTAAAACTAATATGTTAGGAGATGAATGTACTAGACTCAATAATATCATTAAATAAAAAGATGAGTAAGTTTTTAGATTGTAAGTTTAATTAAAAGATTTGATGAATCTTAATGGAAAAAATTAAAATTAAGAATAAATCTTAGAAACTTTATAAATTAAAGAAGGAGAAATTAATATTCTAAAATAATAGAATGATAGTTTGATAAGTGATTTATCAAGGTAAGCTGAAAATTATAGAAATCTAGTATAATAACATAAATAATTGTAGAAATACTCTGAAGAAGTAAAGATGAATAATATAACTATAAATGAATTTTAGAGTAAGTGTGAATTATAAGATAAGGAGATTGAAAGATTACGTTAGAAAGTCTTAGAAAAATCTTCATTATTAGAAAAAGTATAGAAAGAGAATTTGGAATATTAAGCTAAGCTAAAATCAAAGTTAAGATGATATTTTTACTTTTATTTTATTAAATAATAATGATATATAAATATACAAATATAGAAGTCTTATTAGAAAGGGTATTCAATTATCTATATATTTTAATGAGGATAACGAACTAAAAATAACAAATTAAATTCAAAAAAAAGTAAAATTTAAAATGTTAATTGAATAAGGAGAACCTAAGATTATAGTAGCAGTTCGTAAGAGACCATTAAATAAGAAAGAGATGAATAAGGGCGATATAGATATTGTCGATGTTTCTAATTAATAAAGTTAAGTTGTTGTCAAAGAATAAAGGTATTGATTATTTGATGGATCATTATAGAACAAAAGTTGATTTGACTAAATATATAGAGGAGCATTAATTTAATTTTGATGCTGCTTTTGATGAAAATACAACAAATGAGCAACTATATTTATAAATAGTGAGACCAATTGTTGAAGCTGCATTTAATAAGGCAAAAGTAACATGTTTTGCATATGGATAAACAGGATCTGGTAAAACATATACAATGCTTGGTGATTATTCAGAAAGAGTGCCTGGTTTATATTTATTAGCCGCTTATGACATTTTTTGTTTATTAAACAATGAATGTTATGGCCATCTCTAAATATCTATATCATTTTATGAAATCTATTGTGGGAAACTCTTTGATTTATTAAATGAACGAACATTATTACATGCAAGAGAAGATGCAAAAGGAAATGTTAATGTAGTAGGATTATAAGAAAGGAAAGTACAATCTGTAGAATAACTAATGAAAGTGATAGAATAAGGTAGTGCATCAAGAATTACAGCATCAAATTCATCAAATAATGATTCATCAAGATCTCATGCAATATTATAGATAACTTTAAAAGATGGTAATAAATGTCATGGAAAATTATCATTCATTGATTTAGCTGGTAGTGAAAGAGGTGCAGATGTAAGTGACACTAATAAATAAACTAGATTTGATGGTGCTGAAATTAATAAATCATTATTAGCATTAAAAGAATGTATTAGAGCATTAGATTTAAATAAAAACCATACTCCTTTTAGAGGATCTAAATTAACTTTAGTATTAAAAGATTCTTTTGTTGGTAATTGTAAGACTGTTATGATTGGTAATTTCTCACCTTCTAATTCATCATCTGAACATACATTAAATACATTAAGATATGCAGATAGAGTGAAAGAATTAAAAAAACCTAATGATAAAGATTTAAAAGATTAAGTTACATCTTTAGATAAATTAGCTAGAGAATTAATGTTACCAAGATAATAATAACCTGTTAAAAAATAAACATAAGTTTAATAATAATTTAATCCTTTTAAAAATAATCCATTATAAAATTATTAGAATTAAAATCTATTTTAACAATAATAATAACCTTAATTTTTAAATTTATAAAATTCTATTCCTGGAATGATGATTCCATAATAATAATAATAATAATAATATTCATATCAAAATTATATTTAACCTCCTCCTCCATAACCTTAACCAATGATCCCCTTATAATAATAATAATAACCATAATTCAAAACTAATGAAACTAAAAATAAACATTCCTTTTAAAAACCAACTCCATAATTAAATGAACCTCGTCCCTATGTAAATGAAAATGTATTTCCAGGACCGATTGAACGTAAATCAAGTAATTTTTATTAAAATATTTTTAAGAAGTAAATCAATCAATGGAAGATGATTTAATGAAAATAGGATAAAAACATGAATAATTAATAAGTGTAATATTGGAAGAAGAAGAGAATTTGATATCTAATCATAGATCCCATATAGATTCTATGGTTGAATTAGTTAAATAAGTATTATTTATATGTAATTAATTTAGGAAATGATGTTATTACATAATATTGATAAACCAGGATCTGATGTGGATGAATATGTTAAAGGATTAGATTAGATATTGTTGACAAAAATAGAAGAAATTTAAACGTAAAATTATTTTATTAAATTTAATAGTTTACAATTTTAATTGTAGACTTTCAGATCACATTTGTCAGAAGAAGAAACTCTTTAGAAATAATTTTATTAATAAAGATAACAAATGACATAACAAGAATCTGAAGGCTCTGATATTTTTAAATGACAATTAAATAATTCATAATATAATTAATTATTATGCATTTATTAAATCATTATTCAAAAAATGGATGTTTTAAAGCATCTTCAACTTTAATTCTCTTTTAAGGATCTAATTCTAATAACTAAGTAAGTAAATCCTCTGCTTTATCATCAAATCCTTCTACATGAATTACATTTCTCCAATTAATTGGAGATTTAGCAACAACAGATGGCAAATTTAAATAATATCCTATAAATAAGTATAATAAATATTATATTACCAAATTTATTACAAATCTTAGTAATTGCCTCAGCTCCAAATAGTGATGTCAATTCTAAAATAAAATTTACATAAAATAAATTTTTAGAAACTGCAGGTTTATGAACCATTCTTACATTACTAAATAGATTGTATTTCCTTGTTAGAAATTATAAAAATATCACTCCTACAGCCCATATATCAACTTCATAAGATTATTCTTGATAATGTAAAATGGATTCTAATGGCATAAAACTTTCAGTGCCTATTTTATTATGTCCAATCTATGAGATTGTTTTCATAATATCTTCATACAATTACTTTTTTTGTCTTAATTCTAATATATTTCCACCATTCTCTAACATATTATTGACAAATGATTTATCTATTTCTGACAATCCATAATCAATCAGTATGCCTTTTTTAATTTTTGGATTATAAAGGAAATTACCAGGTTTGACATCTCTATGATATATTCCATTTTATTTCAATACTAATAGAGCCTTTAATAATTCTCGTAAATAGTCTCTAATTTACTACATGTTGAAAGTAGAAAAAAATGTAATAAATGGATCAAAACTAAAATAATCTGTTACTATGTAAATTTTTTAGTTTGTTAGGAATAAATTCACTAATTAAGGCAAGTTCTCCTTTCCTTAAACTAATTTTAAGAATCCAATTTCTGCAAATATCAATTCTGGTGATACTGTTGAAAAATTCACTTTAATTGCATACTTCTTTGTTTTATCTTCTTATCCATTATGGTATGCATATCTAAAATATAATCAAACATACCCTTTATAAACTACACCATATCCTCCTCTTCCCAATTCTCGAACAACTTTGTAATTATTTCGAAGATAAGCATCCTCATCTATTAATAAATCAGGATAATATCGATCATTAGAATTTTAATTTATCTTGTTCTATTTGTCATTTGTCTTAGCCTTTGCTTTGGCTTACACTTATTATTTTTTCATTAATAAAATTACACAATATAATGTCAGATTAAGAATATGATTATGATTACGATTATGATCAAAATTAGATTGATTAAGAAGAAGATCAAGATGAAATAGAATTAGAAAATAATTTTAATAGAGCAGAAGATGAATGGAAACTTAATCCAGATTTAGCATACTAACTCTTTAATGAAGTAATAGAAAGAGAGAAGTCTAAAGATATTAATTCAAGAAAATGGAGTTTTAAAAGTTATCAAGTATTAAATTTCTCACTTATTTGATAGTTTTTGATCTAGATATTGATTTAAAAATCTAAATTTCAAGACAATCTAATATTTTAATATATTTAAGGATTTTTAGAATTATTAGATAGATAATATAAGACTGAAGGAGATAAAGCACTTAAGATTGTAGTTGATTCATTGATGAATTCTAATAATTCTCATCTTATATCTATAGTTCTACCAAATTTACTCGATAAATTAAAATATATGAACTAAATAGGAATATATTGTGGAGCTAGTATGAAATTATGCAAAGATTATTATTAAAAAGGAAATTATAATAAATTAGAAGAAATTATTAATGTATTATTTATATTGTATACTCAAGAATATTTAAACTGTTTTGGATAATAGTCAAATACAAGATGAAGATAGAAAAAAAGCATTTCTTGCTGAATTATTGGCTTATAGAGTTCTATTGTACAATAGTACAAATCGTCAAGAATAAATCAAACCACTTTATAGATAATTATTAAAATCTAATCTAGATTTGCTTGAACCTTATGTATTTATCAATTATAACCAAGATATCTGGAGTTATTAATCTAACAATTGGTTAATAAAAGGCTCTAGAAAGATAATATGAATAAAGTAGAAAGAAACTCATGGAGGCTTTCTATAATTTTTTAGATGCATGTTCACCAGAAGCTAAATAGGCACTTATTTATGCATCTGTTGTTAGTATACTTGAAAACTTTAAAATGAATTTGTTTGATGACATGAAGAGTAAGGTTTATGAATAAGATCAAAATGTTAAAGTATTTTAAGATTTAAGAATATCTTATGAATAATAAAATGTATAGAATTTCAGTAACATTATTAATTCTGAAGTAAAAATATTTTCTATTTTATAGTACTTTTTAAATGATATATTTTTAGCATTGTTGAAACCTTATATGTAATAAATAATTGTTGAAGTCAAAATATTAAGATATATTAAATGTTATTCAACAATTAAATTAGATTATTTATCTAAATAATTATTGATTGAAATTCCTGTTTTAAAATAATACATTTAAGGATTGATAACCAAAAAATAATTTAATGGATTAATTGATGAAATAGAAGGATATTTAGAAATTAGAAGAGAAGTTGCAGAAACTCAAACAAAGGCCTTAAAAATCATTGTTGATCAAATCAAAATATTTGATTACTGATTCTATTTTTATGAAGAATTAAATTAATATTTATAATTCTTTAAGTTAAGTATAATTTGAAAAATAATCCTATTTTATATGTTAACTTTAAATATCTATCCTTTTTATTTAATTTAAAGCAGTCATTAAATGATAAAACAATTTGGCAATGTAATTTCACTTAAAATAAAAAGTATAATTAATAACATTGAAACTATATTATTATAAAAATATGAGATATATTATACTATAATAACTCATTATTATTATTAATATACTTTTCTAGATTGAATAGTATGTTATTAGATTTCCATTAGAATTAAAAGAAGTATTTAAATTGACCAGATATGAATTAAGATTTTTATACTAAAATCCTCTCAATAATTTACACTTAAGTGTTTTTGAAAAATAATGTCATTAATTAAATGATCAGATTTGTTTCTGTATAAATAAAACCCTATCAAAATTAAAACAACCTTGACATTCTTGTTGATAACAATGTTTACTAATAATATTTTAATGTTGGTCAAAACTTAGTAATAGAAGCAGAATTCAGAAATACAATAATATAAGAAATGAACCTACGTATATTATTATAATATAAATGAAGATATATTTCCTGGTCCTGAGAAGGATATCCTATTCAAATGTTACAATTTAAATGAATTAGATTAAGAATATAAGAGAATTAGTGGAAAATTAATTAAAATAAGAAATGAAGGGAATTATATTATTTATGCTGCATCAATTAAATCAGAAGTGGTAATTATTACAAATCATCATAGCCATTTACTAGATTGACTATAACAATATAAGCAGAGAATAAAGATTCTTTTAAAATATACTATTTTGGTATAAAAGGAAAGAACATAGAAGATGAATTTGATTAATAAGAAAATAAAGAATAAATGGAAAAAAAAACAATTAAAATGATATTGAAGCCAGGAAGAAAGATATAGAATTTAAATACTAAAATGTTAGATAATACAAAAATGACTGCTTTGGAATTCTTAAATCGTGTTAATAGTGGAAAATAAATTAAAAATGTTGAACAGTAATCTAACTTTTAGAATGATAAGATGAAAATTGAAGAATCTTAATAAAATGAAAGTTTGATTGTAAAAATGTAGGAGGAAGTAAAAGTTAAAGAAGATCTTGAAGATTAATAATATATTATTTTATAAGACGATGATGAAAACTCTGTTGAATTGATAGATGAGAAAATAAAAATATAATAAATAGAAAAGAATTATTTTAATAAATAGAAGTGTATCTTAACAAATATTAAACCAAATTTTAATAATTAAATAAATAATAATTAAGTGAAGATAAGTTCTTAAAATAGATAAATTATAAATTAAGATATTAAGATAGAGTATAATGTATTTCATAATATGATAAAATATACAGCATAAGAAATTGATTAATAATTTCTTCAATTTCATAAGACAAGTAATTATATTAATAAATATTTAATTAGTTGAGGAAAGTAAGAATGTTAATGGAAAAAATAGATTAATACACAGATTAAATACATTATAATACTGATTTTTATATTAATATTTGTATCATAAATCATCCTTTTTAATTTAACATTTTTGTATTTAAAATTGATAATCTAATTCTTTCCAATTTCTTTTCTTTTATTTAATAAATTTATCTATATTAATAAAATTAAATTAATCTTTCATTATTTAATATTTATAATTATTTGCATCATATAAAATTAAAGATGGTACTTATAATTTATATTTCTAAATTAAGAGTTATTAACAATCTTCATATAAAATAATCCATATTTATTTATTATTATTGATAGTTTTCATAGATTTAATGAAGACATCTTCATCTACTTAATTGTTTCTGTCAATTATTGTAATAATACATTTAACTTGTTCTTGAGTACAAAGGAATTCAAATTCTTTATTATTTTAAGGATATTATTAATTTTGTTTATTCTTTATTTAATGTCTTTAGTATAATTTATCAATATATTCTTCTATATTTTAATAATTAAAACTTTCAGTATAATCTATTTAAGCAATTTAACCTTCATTAATTTCTAAACTAGTAATAAAAGGTACTTTATCAACAGTAAATTATTTTTTAATTGTATCATCTGGATCATAAATGATATGAAATTAAAAAATTTTCTTATATTCTTATTTATTAGCAAATGTTAATGCCCATAATAAATGACATTTATTATAATTTTTTTTATTAAAAAACCATACATTCACAATTTATTTAGTTGTAATTAATGATTTAATATCTTAAAGTAATTAAAGAGAATCTGTATTAACATTATATTTTAAAAAGTCAATCATTTCTACACATAATTCTAAAGTGTTTTAATTATTTATATATATTGGATTCTTTTTAGATGAAAAAGGATAAATTAATAATTATTATTAACTAGAATTATCCATTATATTATATACACTAAATATACCTTTCATATCTGAAATAACATTATTCAATCTTTAATGATTATTAATAGAAAGTAAGATCCATTAATTATCAAAATTTATATTTTAAATTGAAGTTATATTTTTTATTAAAGTTGAATTGATATTTCTAGATGAATCCAAAGTCTTAAAAATCCTTTAGGTCTTAGAATATTTAAATAAATTATACACTTGCAAAAACTGATAAATATGCTCTCAAACTTTCATATTGTTTAGCACCATTGTAAGTTTGTTCAACATATTATCCATTAATTAATTTTAGAATAACTAGATCATTATTCAATAATCTAGGATTAACAATAGCAAACTAATAAAATATGTATATTTTACATCTAATCTATCTCTGAATTTTTATGTAATACCATACCACCAAATAGGTTTAGTTGCTATTCTAGTTAATACTTTGTTTAATCTTTTATCATTTAAGAATTATTCATATTATTGTTCATCATTAATCAATTCCCAAAATTATGGACTATTTTCTAAGAATCCTTCCTTTAGTGCTGGTAATGAGAAATTAGTTATTAATTTTTAGATTGGTTAAATTGGACCTTTTGTAGGATCAGAATCAGCAGGTGGTATCAAATACATAGCAAATGGTAAACTTTCTTTATATTAACAAGCAGGCAAATGATTTAATTCTTCTTTAGAAATTTGATCACAATTAATTACTTGGATCTTTTTAACTGTAGAATTTGTATTATTACATTAAGTATATCCATCATAGTAGTTGAATGTTATTCTAAGATTTTCAAAGCTTTGTCTGATTCTTCTGAATCTTCTTTAATAAACATCATTAAAGATAAATGATCTGGATCATCTTGAATGGTTTTTAAAGCTTACTGATATGTGGTTGGTATAATTGCTTTGATATTAACAATTAAAAGTATCAAAAACATATTTTAATATTTGTATATTGATAAAAATTAAACTTGATTAATTTGTTAATAATTTTTTTAAATATAATGGAAGAAGAAGAAACTTAAAATTTATAATTAAGGGATTCAGATGATGAAGAGAATCTAATTCCTTAATTTAAAATTATGTCATTAAGAGATGGGAATCATATAAAGGTTTAATTGCAATCTAACAATAGTAATAATAAATCAGATATTAGACTATAATAATAATAAAATATTATTGAATAGAAGAATGTGACTAACTATTATTAATAAATTAACTCTTTCCTTTATGATATAAGAAAAGAATATTTAGAAAAATTGGAAAAATAGAAAAATTAGATAATAGAAGAATGATAATAATAATAATAATAACAATATATATATATAATAATTATATAAATGAACTGTAATACCTATTTTCTAGAGAGTAATATTTTACTATTATTTAAAGGACCTAAAATTAAGTTAAACAAAATAAATCAACCATAATGTACACCAAAAAAATAGTGTGAATTTTCAGTTTAAAAATATATAAAAACTTAACCAGATGAAAGAACAACTACAAATAATTTATCTAGAAGATTGGATTCAAGTTAAGAAACAAATATGGTAATTATATATTTTAATGAATAGATTCTTGAATAACGACTACATTGGATAGATTAATTAGCTGAATCTCTAAAATCTAATCAATCTTTTGAAGTTGCAAAGATACTTTAAAGTTTATAATAAATGGCTGTAACATTAAAATAAGCTTCAAAAAATGAAATTGAGTTGAATCAAAAAAATAAGTTATTAAATAAAAGTACTTTAGAAACTATTTCATAAAAATAAATTATTCAATAACTTAAAGAATAATAAGTATAATTAATATAATAATTTATAGAATCATTTTAAATAAGATAATTTAGATTAATCTAAGAAATTACATTTAACTTAAATGGAATAATAAAAGTTATAAAGAGATTATCTTTATTAGAAATAATTATGTGAAGAATATTATAAGAAAGTTCGTAGTCTTGAAAAAAGAATAGAGATGATTTTAGAAAAGAATTTATCTACTCATCAAGATGAATTAAGAATGACATTATCAGAATTAGTTAAGGATAATGAATAATTAAAACGTAATGTTATCAAAAGAGAAAAAGAAATTGAGAGATTAAAAGAATTAAATTAAAAATTAATTTAATAAAATAATAGATTATCTAAAAAATTGGATAATTTAAAAACTAAAAGAGTAGGAGCTAAATCAGATAATATTGTATTTGAAGAAAATTATATAAATAATTATGTTTTTGATCCAAATTAATTACCTTAAAGTTTAGAATTTAGATTAAGTTAATTAACTTCTGAATAAAATGATTTTTTAATAGATTTAATTGAACATGGTGCTGATGTATTCACAAATTAAGTTATATAATTAGAAAATATGTAATAAAGAAAAGATTTAATTAATTTAATTGCAAGTAATTATTTATAATTATAAAGATTAATTTATAAGTTAAAGAGAATTTAGTGAAAAAATTAATTAAATTATGAATGAATTCATTACATTAATAAGTTATAGAAATATTAAAGATTTCTAAATACATGTAAGTAAAGGATTTAAAATAATATTTTAAACTGAAACTGTTCATTTATGGATTATAGATGGTATGACATGTAAAGCTTACACTCATGATGCTAATGGATAATAATAAGTAGCATTATTGACAGAAGGTGTATTCTAAAAAATTGTTTATGAAAATTTTGGAATCAAAAGTCCTTCTAAGGAATAATAACTTTTATACATAACTGAAGGATCTAAAGTTTATGGTAAAAACTTTTTATTATTACCAATAATGATGAATACAAAAAAACCATGTGGTTTATTAGAAGTATAAATATTTATATCTATTATAGATATAAAATATTAATGATGAGATGATAATAGATATGTAATACTATGGATTATTAGTAAATATGTTAAGTAAATCAGTTATAACAAGTATCCTTAGTTATGATGCATTATATAAGGAATTAAAATATCAAGATTTATTTTATTCTTCATTTTTAAAATTAAGTTAATCTACTAATTTTGAAGATTTTGAAATGAAAATCTAAGATTCAGCTTATAGTATATTTTAAATAGCATAAACTACTTTAATACATGTAGAAAATAATCAATTCAAAAAAAAAGGATAATATTATGATATAAGATCAGGATGTGCATATTAAGTGTATAAATCACAAAGACCATAAATTCTAACTTCGATTACAAAACATTTAAATTTTGATGAGAATATTGACATATCATCAATATTACCTGTATTTGCAGGTCCAATAATTAAAGATAATTAAGTAGTTGCAATTTTGTAATTTATTTTGAAAAAAAAGAAACTTCAAGATCAACATCCATTTGGATTATAAATTTAAATAGGATTTAAAGTAAACTCAATTGATGAAGATGCTTAAAAATTTTATGATCTTGTAAGCAAAGCTTATTGCATTGCTTTTAGAAAATGAATAAATATAGAATATATAAAAATAGTGTTTTTTAAAAATTAATGATTATAAATAAATAAGTCAAATGTTATTTATTTTATAAAATCTTTGAATATCTAATTAAAATTCTCTTATTAATTACTATGGTTATTCATGAATTTATTTTCTTATATATGTCAAATGAATTCCTATAGTATGAAAAGTTATTTCTTCCCTTTTATAATATATTAATAATATATACTTCTTAAGAATTTTTGTTAATAAATGAAAACCAGCAAAGTATAATTTATTTACAATACTGATAACAGAATCTTCTTTATTAATAAGTTAATTCAATTTATTATCTTTTAGACTAACTAAAACAAATGTTGTAATATTTATTAGAGTAATACTAAATGGTATTTTGATATCTTGAAAAATCTTTAGTGCTTACTTTATATATATTTTATATTCTGATATGAAAGCAAGCATTTATAATAATCCAAGAATACCAGCTCCTCTAAGATCAGTAGTTGGATCTGCACCCTAAAATCCAATCATTTCCCAATGAGATCCATATCTTAAACAATAGTCAGTAGACATAAATTGGCAATAAATTGTATAAAGAATTCTAAAATGAGATTCATTATTATCATCAAATGATAATTACGACATTAAGCAAACCTTGTTTAGAATTATAATACTTGGTTTTTTTCTTAAATTAGTCTATTACTTTTCAAATGTATACTGAAACATCCAAATAATTTATCTAAAAAAGATGTCTTTTTTTAGATAAATTAAATCTAGTCTTTAATATCTTAAGAACCTTTTAATTTATCCCAAGCTTCAATAAAGTTAATCTATTTGATTTCATTTTTCTTCTTTTCTAAATCCATTATTCTCTCTTTATTAGCTTATTCGAATTCTTCTTCAATTTTACCAATACTTCTTTCTGACAATCTAAAAACTTTTTTATCTGGACTTTCTTCTCCTTTATCAATACGTGGTTTCTCATTTTCATCCTCACTAAATTAACATTATTATTTAATAGGTGTCTCATTATTGTTTTAATTATTCTATAATGCTATGGTTTTTGCTTTGTCTTTAAGATTATTTAATAAATGTCCATTTCTTTAATTTACATTAGTTCCTTTCTTATTTAATTTTTAATTAATTTTTTATCTAGCTTATTCAACATGATCAGTTGATTATTAAAAGACCTATTTATTATCAATATCAAAATCATCATCATCTTTTGCTTAAGCAGCTGATATTCCAGCCCATTCTGCTACTTCTCCAATTTCATCATCATTATCAATAATATTATGTATATTTCTCTTTTTTTAAATGGCTCTTTAATTAGCAATCATTATAATAAATAATGAATTAATAAGTAAAAGAACCACTTAATCCAGCAGTTTGTGAAGTATTTTAAAAACTCTTATCTGATGTATTCATTAAGAAGATATGGAAAGTATGAATTATATATAAAAATAGGAATTTAGAGAATCAGGTAACTTATCAGAAGGTAAAATGACAAAATCTAACTTCACTAAAGAAATGTTAAAATAACTTAAATTACATGTTAAAAGTAGAGAATATAGTTATATTTCATCTTAATTCTTTTTAATTTTGGCACCTGAAGAATTCACAAGATATTAAAATAAAATGAAGAATGATTTTGAAGCAATTGTTGAAAGATCATGTGCTGAATCATATAGATTTGATCCAGATACATAATTGGTTAGAGAACCTGCTTAAAGAAGAGATAATTAATCAGAAAAACATTAACCACCAGATTAAGCATTTGAAAATTGGTTTAAGTAGAATTATGATTAATAATTTCTTAAATGGTTTGGAACTAATTATAATTCAGATAAAAAAAAGATGAAGATATCTGCTTTGGATAGTTTATTTGAAAGGTGGTTTAGATCAAATAATGTATAACCAATATTTGAAAAAGCATAATAAGAGAAATCTTAATAAGAGAAAACATATTTTGAAATTTGGGTTGGTAAGAAATTTGAAACATTATTTGAAAAGTTATTTGAAAGTAATATCTAATAATTATTATATAGGATTTTAATTAGAATTTGATGATAAAATTGAAATATAAGATTTAGTATTATCTCTTGGAGTATTAGCAAGAATGGAATTAGAGAAAAAATTAGAATTGATATTTGATTTAAGTGATGTTGATGAAGATGGATGTTTATCTATTGATGATATATAATAAATGATTAAAAGAATAGAAAAGAATTTTACAAGAGAAACATCACTTATTACTAGTGATTCATAAGCATTATAAAATGAATTGGCATTTAAAAGAGCTATGAGAAAGTTTTCATGGGCAACTATTAAAATGGATAAATAAATTGAAATTAAAAATGATGAATTAGGTTTAATTGAAGGTAAAAAATTTTTAGATTCTCTAAAATAAAATAAAATGTTATTTGAAACATTTTTACCTGGTTAATTATTATTATATGATGTTTTAATGACAGATTAAGGAGAAAAAGAGTTTTAAATATAAGAAATTGATAATAAAATTTTAGATGAAAAT